ATGAAATGCTACCCCGGTATATAACACCCTTGCATGAAATACTATGTAACACCCCTTGCATGAAATACTCAATAACACTCTTGCATCAAATACTCAATATCACCCTTGCATGAAATACTATATAACTACCCCTTGCATGATATACTCAATAACACTCTTGCATCAAATACTCAATAACACCCCTTGCATGAAATACTCAATAACACTCTTGCATGAAATACTCAATAACATCCTTGCATGAAATACTCAATAGCACCCCTTGCATGAAATAACACCCTGGTATCAAATTGTCAACCCCCTGGTATCAAATACTTTAACACCCTTTCACCAAATGCTCAATAACACCCTGGTATCAATTAATAACACCCTTTCATCAAATAATCAATAAAGCCCTTTCATCAAATACTCAATAACACTTGGCATGAAATGCTCAGTAATGTCTGGTAGACAAGAAACTATAGCAGTGAATACAGATGTACAACTATGACAGCCTGCGGAAAGCAAGCATTCTGACAATGTTGCTAAACCAGAAAACAAAAACTGCATTTGTATCGCATAAACCTTATCTGATAAAATCACTTAAAAAGGTCTAGTTTTGTGCTACATATATTCAGTGTTAAGTACATATATCCCCTATATAAAAGCATACTTCCACATGAATATCTTTCACTGAAGTTACACAAGTTGTACGTCTCATAGAGGGCCATCAGTGTCAGACTGATCAGCCCAGAGATGTGCTTGAAGTCACAGTGTGACACGTCTCATAGAGGGCCATCAGTGTCAGACTGATCAGCCCAGACATGTGCTTGAAGTCACAGCGTGACACGTCTCATAGAGGGCCATCAGTGTCAGACTGATCAGCCCAGAGATGTGCTTGAAGTCACAGCATGACACGTCTCATAGAGGGCCATCAGTGTCAGACTGATCCGCCCAGAGATGTGCTTGAAGTCACAGCGTGACACGTCTCATAGAGGGCCATCAGTGTCAGACTGATCAGCCCAGAGATGTGCTTGAAGTCACTGTGTGACACGTCTCATAGAGGGCCATCAGTGTCAGACTGATCAGCCCAGAGATGTGCTTGAAGTCACAGCATGACACGTCTCATAGAGGGCCATCAGTGTCAGACTGATCCGCCCAGAGATGTGCTTGAAGTCACAGCGTGACACGTCTCATAGAGGGCCATCAGTGTCAGACTGATCAGCCCAGAGATGTGCTTGAAGTCACTGTGTGACACGTCTCATAGAGGGCCATCAGTGTCAGAGTGATCCGCCCAGAGATGTGCTTGAAGTCACAGCGTGACACGTCTCATAGAGGGCCATCAGTGTCAGACTGATCAGCCCAGAGATGTGCTTGAAGTCACAGTGTGACACGTCTCATAGAGGGCCATCAGTGTCAGACTGATCAGCCCAGAGATGTGCTTGAAGTCACAGCATGACACGTCTCATAGAGGGCCATCAGTGTCAGACTGATCCGCCCAGAGATGTGCTTGAAGTCACAGCGTGACACGTCTCATAGAGGGCCATCAGTGTCAGACTGATCAGCCCAGAGATGTGCTTGAAGTCACAGTGTGACACGTCTCATAGAGGGCCATCAGTGTCAGACTGATCAGCCCAGAGATGTGCTTGAAGTCACAGCGTGACACGTCTCATAGAGGGCCATCAGTGTCAGACTGATCAGCACAGAGATGTGCTTGAAGTCACAGCATGACACGTCTCATAGAGGGCCATCAGTGTCAGATTGATCAGCACAGAGATGTGCTTGAAGTCACAGCATGACACGTCTCATAGAGGGCCATCAGTGTCAGACTGATCAGCCCAGAGATGTGCTTGAAGTCACAGTGTGACACGTCTCATAGAGGGCCATCAGTGTCAGACTGATCAGCACAGAGATGTGCTTGAAGTCACAGCATGACACGTCTCATAGAGGGCCATCAGTGTCAGATTGATCAGCACAGAGATGTGCTTGAAGTCACAGCATGACACGTCTCATAGAGGGCCATCAGTGTCAGACTGATCCGCCCAGAGATGTGCTTGAAGTCACAGCGTGACACGTCTCATAGAGGGCCATCAGTGTCAGACTGATCAGCCCAGAGATGTGCTTGAAGTCACAGCGTGACACGTCTCATAGAGGGCCATCAGTGTCAGACTGATCAGCCCAGAGATGTGCTTGAAGTCACAGCGTGACACGTCTCATAGAGGGCCATCAGTGTCAGACTGATCAGCACAGAGATGTGCTTGAAGTCACAGCGTGACACGTCTCATAGAGGGCCATCAGTGTCAGACTGATCAGCCCAGAGATGTACTTGAAGTCACAGCGTGACACGTCTCATAGAGGGCCATCAGTGTCAGACTGATCAGCACAGAGATGTGCTTGAAGTCACAGCATGACATGTCTCATAGAGGGCCATCAGTGTCAGACTGATCAGCCCAGAGATGTGCTTGAAGTCACAGTGTGACACGTCTCATAGAGGGCCATCAGTGTCAGACTGATCAACACAGAGACGTGCTTGAAGTCACAGCGTGACACAATCTCCTGGTCGCGGTGGTATCAGTTGCGTATACAATACATTCCTCTCTGTTGTTGATGTAACACACACTTTGAAATGAGGATCTGTGTGTGGTTACCTGGGGCTACACAGCTATGTTATACGGCTGTATATAACCTGCTTGACTCTCTGTGAAAGAAAGAGTGGATGATATACAGTCGAGCATGTCTGAGATATGATGCTCCTTTGTGAAGGAAGATGACTTTGCTTGTTCGTGACATAGGGCCCCCAATAATAGGAATATGTAGTCATCTTGCATTTAGTAACGCTCAGGGTGTGACAGATAGGGTATCAAGTCATTGTATTGTATGGGGGAGACACTCCCTGTGCTATTTCTTTAAGGGAGAAGCCATTAGAACAAAATGACATACCTGCAGTATTGCACGTCACAACTATGTTGTAATGGGTCATTGATAACCCTGATAGTGACATTGTTCATCAAAGGAAATTGCATTTTGCTCTTCCCCCATGTGGATTCTGGTTTAGTGTGGGTCCCAGCAACAGATGCGTGGATCAATGCTTATACATTGTATGTAGCATCAATCACTGGATTGTCAGCTCCAGACTCAATTACTTACAGGCAACCACCAGTTGTTTGAATATTGCTGAAATAAGCATTAAACAACACACAATCAAAAGCAACAAACTGTTTTGTTGTTACTTGACAACGGTGGTCCGGCCTGCCTTTCAGTACCCTCACACACTTGTGATGAGCAGATGGCTGTGTGTATTCACACCTTGCATTCCTCACACAGACGTCCCCAGGAAGAATATTTGATTTATTCATACGTCCATGTTGGCAAGTGGTACTTTCGAGGGCCAGTTCTGGTCAACAGTAGCTGATCCTAAAGTTCAGTAGATTATTTTTTGTCAGTGGGATTGTAAAGATTTGGTCCCTGGATAGGCCTGCCCCAGGAAGTACTGGTGGGTGGTGGGGGTGGGTCTAGGGGTGGGGGTAGCCTTGAGGTTAAAGTGTTCACTTGTCATTCCAAAGGCCCAAGTTCGATTCCCCTCAATCGTGTGAAGCCTTTTCTGGTGTGTGTGATATTACTGAAATATTGCTAACAGTGGCGTAAAATCCAACTCACTCACTCACCCTTCACTGGGGACTTGTTTCTCCGCTATACATCAGTGTTAGTAGCAAGGTTTGCTTCAGAGCAACTGCTGCCTTGTGTTGCCCGATTTCTGATCACCACACAATCCTATGTGCACAGTACTTACTTCCTTAACCATCCAATAGCAGAATTGAAAAAGTTGTGATGAGATAGGTAATTAAACATATATTTAATCATTTTTTTTTTCTTGAATTGCATGACAATTTTGCATGTGTGAACATTGTTTTTCAGTGAGTCAATGCTAGTCTTTGGTCAGACACACACATATAGTATTCCAGGGCTTGAATCCTTCAAGTCCTCTTTCACCTGAAAGGAAATCTGTAATATTGAAGATTCAGTTTATTTTTACATCATATTTTCCATTCGTTTTACAAACTACTCATGGATAACATGATATGTGATGTAATATATGACCCAATGTGATATGATATGATGTGATATGATATATGACCCAATGTGATATGATATGATATGATGTGATGTGATATGATATATGACCGAATGTGATATGATATGATGTGATATGATATGATATATGACCCAATGTGATACGATATGATGTGATATGATATATGACCCAATGTGATATGATGTAAAATATATTATATATGACATGATGTTATATATGATATCATATGTGATGTGACATGAAATCATGTCATATGATATGTGACATGACATGCTATGGTATGTGACATGACATGACATGATATGGTATGTGACATGACATGATATGGTATATGACATGACATGGTATGGTATATGACATGATATGGTATATGACATGATATGGTATGTGACATGATATGGTATATGACATGATATGGTATGTGACATGATAAGGTATATGACATGACATGATATGTTATGTGACATGACATGATATGGTATATGACATGATATGGTATATGACATGACATGACATGATATGGTATGTGACATGATGTTGTATGTGACATGATGTGGTATGTGACATGACATGATATGATATATGACTTGACATGGTATGTGACATGATATGGTATGTGACATGACATGATATGGTATGTGACATGATATGTTATGTGACATAATGCGGTTTGTGGCATGACATGACGTGATATGGAATGTGACATGATATGGTATCTGACGTGATATGGTATGTGACTTGATATGGTTTGTGACATGACATGATATGGTATGTGACATGATGTCGTTTGTGACATGACATGACGTGATATGGTATATGACGTGATATGTAATGTGACATTATATGGAATGTGACATGATATGGAATGTGACATGACATGGTATCTGACATGATATAGTATCTGACATGCTGTGATATGATTCCCTTCCAGTGACGGTGCAGGTCCAGCGTCGCCACCATCCAGAGCCATCACCGAAGAGCCTGCGTTCTCCGAGTCGCAAGATCTCCCTGCTGCATCGGCTGTCCAACCGTTTCTCCAAGACCAAGAGGGTCAGTGCCGCCACCCCGGGGAAACTGGTCGGTACATCTGCTCATGTGTCATGTGTGCACTGTCCTCCGTCTCGCCGCATGTGCATCGTGTGTCAGATGTCCTCACCTCTCACCGCTTCCTCCAACCACTCTCCCAGGAGGACATACCTCTGTCGACATTAATAGAATATCCCCGTGTTACGGGTTTTAGGACGCTTAAACATTCATAGTTTTCTCGCTAATCCCAAGAACAACTGTAAAACATTTCACTAGCTTATAAAAGACAACTTTTTCTTAAAAGCAAGGCATCATCTGGGTATTTACAATTCTGTGTGACATCACCCTCCTTGTTATAGCGCCAATAATTGTGATAAACATGGCTGTCCAAAAACATATGGAGTCCGAAAACCTATGACACGAGGATATCTGAAGTCGGTGCTCATCTCAGAAGTTTGCTGTGAAAGTTTAGTTTGGGGTTCTTCCCTCTCAGTGAATATCAATTGTTATGACATCAGCAGATAATTATGTTAATTTGATTTAAGGGACTGAAGTCCATTTATATCTGGAGAATGAATATTTATATTTAGCAGGGGAATTTATGTGTTGGTTCATTTACACCTAGCCAGGGTTCAGGAAATAGTGTGAAGATTGTTTAACCCCTGGCACTCCGACAAGTTGACCTTATACAAGAGGTATGTAGGACTTCTGGTGATGGTGAAAGGAGTTTCAATGTGGGGGGAAATAAGTGACAGGACCCAGTGGTGTTCATGAGGGCCAGGGACAGACTTTGGTCAGTCTGTCATGTTGTCAGGTGTATTTGAACTCATTCTTACCATACATGCCATAGAGTATAACATTATATATGACTCCAGTGACTAGCCTGTTGGATTCACTTTATGATTCATCAATGTCTACAGCAACTAACTAAAGCTTTGAAGATGTTGAATCATTGTGCATGTACTTGTGCTTGATCCATCCTGCTACACTGTCCCATCTCTGCTGTGTGTTCTTGTAACGGTACAGACCTTGTCTCCCTCCCCGTATACACCCTCAATAAGCTGATCCACAGTCCCATCTCTGTGTATTCATGTAACAGTACAGACCTTGTCTCCCTGTATACACCCTCAATAAGTTGATCCACAGTCCCATCTCTGCTGTGTGTTCATTTAACGGTACAGACCTTGTCTCCCTCCCTGTATACACCCTCAATAAGCTGATCCACAGTCCCATCTCTGCTGTGTGTTCATGTAATGGTACAGACCTTGTCTCCCTCCCTGTATACACCCTCAATAAGCTGATCCACAGTCCCATCTCTGCTGTGTGTTTATGTAACGGTACAGACCTTGTCTCCCTGTATACACCCTCAATAAGCTGATCCACAGTCCCATCTCTGCTGTGTGTTCATGTAATGGTACAGACCTTGTCTCCCTCCCTGTATACACCCTCAATAAGCTGATCCACTGTCCTATCTCTGCTGTGTGTTCTTGTAATGGTACAGACCTTGTCTCCCTGTATACACCCTCAATAAGCTGATCCACAGTCCAATCTCTGCTGTGTGTTTATGTAACGGTACAGACCTTGTCTCCCCGTATACACCCTCAATAAGCTGATCCAGTCCCATCTCTGCTGTGTGTTCTTGTAACGGTACAGACCTTGTCTCCCCGTATACACCCTCAATAAGCTGATCCACAGTCCCATCTCTGCTGTGTGTTCTTGTAACGGTACAGACCTTGTCTCCCCGTATACACCCTCAATAAGCTGATCCACAGTCCCATCTCTGCTGTGTGTTCATGTAACGGTACAGACCTTGTCTCCCCGTATACACCCTCAATAAGCTGATCCACAGTCCCATCTCTGCTGTGTGTTCTTGTAACGGTACAGACCTTGTCTCCCCGTATACACCCTCAATAAGCTGATCCAGTCCCATCTCTGCTGTGTGTTCATGTAACGGTACAGACCTTGTCTCCACGTATACACCCTCAATAAGCTGATCCACAGTCCCATCTCTGCTGTGTGTTCTTGTAACGGTACAGACCTTGTCTCCCCGTATACACCCTCAATAAGCTGATCCACTGTCCCATCTCTGCTGTGTGTTCTTGTAACGGTACAGACCTTGTCTCCCTGTATACACCCTCAATAAGCTGATCCACAGTCCCATCTCTGCTGTGTGTTCATGTAACGGTACAGACCTTGTCTCCCCATATACACCCTCAATAAGCTGATCCACATTCCCATCTCTGCTGTGTGTTCTTGTAACGGTACAGACCTTGTCTCCCTGTATACACCCTCAATAAGCTGATCCACAGTCCCATCTCTGCTGTGTGTTCATGTAACGGTACAGACCTTGTCTCCCCGTATACACCCTCAATAAGTTGATCCACAGTCCCATCTCTGCTGTGTGTTCATTTAACGGTACAGACCTTGTCTCCCTCCCTGTATACACCCTCAATAAGCTGATCCACAGTCCCATCTCTGCTGTGTGTTCTTGTAATGGTACAGACCTTGTCTCCCTCCCTGTATACACCCTCAATAAGCTGATCCACAGTCCCATCTCTGCTGTGTGTTTATGTAACGGTACAGACCTTGTCTCCCTGTATACACCCTCAATAAGCTGATCCACAGTCCCATCTCTGCTGTGTGTTCATGTAATGGTACAGACCTTGTCTCCCTCCCTGTATACACCCTCAATAAGCTGATCCACTGTCCTATCTCTGCTGTGTGTTCTTGTAATGGTACAGACCTTGTCTCCCTGTATACACCCTCAATAAGCTGATCCACAGTCCAATCTCTGCTGTGTGTTTATGTAACGGTACAGACCTTGTCTCCCCGTATACACCCTCAATAAGCTGATCCAGTCCCATCTCTGCTGTGTGTTCATGTAACGGTACAGACCTTGTCTCCCCGTATACACCCTCAATAAGCTGATCCACAGTCCTATCTCTGCTGTGTGTTCTTGTAACGGTACAGACCTTGTCTCCCCGTATACACCCTCAATAAGCTGATCCAGTCCCATCTCTGCTGTGTGTTCATGTAACGGTACAGACCTTGTCTCCCCGTATACACCCTCAATAAGCTGATCAACAGTCCCATCTCTGCTGTGTGTTCATGTAATGGTACAGACCTTGTCTCCCTCCCTGTATACACCCTCAATAAGCTGATCCACTGTCCTATCTCTGCTGTGTGTTCTTGTAATGGTACAGACCTTGTCTCCCTGTATACACCCTCAATAAGCTGATCCACAGTCCAATCTCTGCTGTGTGTTTATGTAACGGTACAGACCTTGTCTCCCCGTATACACCCTCAATAAGCTGATCCAGTCCCATCTCTGCTGTGTGTTCATGTAACGGTACAGACCTTGTCTCCCCGTATACACCCTCAATAAGCTGATCCACAGTCCTATCTCTGCTGTGTGTTCTTGTAACGGTACAGACCTTGTCTCCCCGTATACACCCTCAATAAGCTGATCCAGTCCCATCTCTGCTGTGTGTTCATGTAACGGTACAGACCTTGTCTCCCCGTATACACCCTCAATAAGCTGATCCAGTCCCATCTCTGCTGTGTGTTCTTGTAACGGTACAGACCTTGTCTCCCCGTATACACCCTCAATAAGCTGATCCACTGTCCCATCTCTGCTGTGTGTTCTTGTAACGGTACAGACCTTGTCTCCCTGTATACACCCTCAATAAGCTGATCCACAGTCCCATCTCTGCTGTGTGTTCATGTAACGGTACAGACCTTGTCTCCCCATATACACCCTCAATAAGCTGATCCACATTCCCATCTCTGCTGTGTGTTCTTGTAACGGTACAGACCTTGTCTCCCTGTATACACCCTCAATAAGCTGATCCACAGTCCCATCTCTGCTGTGTGTTCATGTAACGGTACAGACCTTGTCTCCCCGTATACACCCTCAATAAGCTGATCCACAGTCCCATCTCTGCTGTGTGTTCTTGTAACGGTACAGACCTTGTCTCCCCATATACACCCTCAATAAGCTGATCCACAGTCCCATCTCTGCTGTGTGTTCATGTAATGGTACAGACCTTGTCTCCCTCCCTGTATACACCCTCAATAAGCTGATCCACTGTCCCATCTCTGCTGTGTGTTCTTGTAACGGTACAGACCTTGTCTCCCCGTATACACCCTCAATAAGCTGATCCACAGTCCCATCTCTGCTGTGTGTTCATGTAATGGTACAGACCTTGTCTCCCTCCCTGTATACACCCTCAATAAGCTGATCCACAGTCCCATCTCTGCTGTGTGTTCATGTAACGGTACAGACCTTGTCTCCCTGTATACACCCTCAATAAGCTGATCCACAGTCCCATCTCTGCTGTGTGTTCATGTAATGGTACAGACATTGTCTCCCTCCCTGTATACACCCTCAATAAGCTGATCCACTGTCCCATCTCTGCTGTGTGTTCTTGTAACGGTACAGACCTTGTCTCCCTGTATACACCCTCAATAAGCTGATCCACAGTCCCATCTCTGCTGTGTGTTCATGTAATGGTACAGACCTTGTCTCCCTCCCTGTATACACCCTCAATAAGCTAATCCACTGTCCCATCTCTGCTGTGTGTTCTTGTAACGGTACAGACCTTGTCTCCCTCCCTGTATACACCCTCAATAAGCTGATCCACTGTCCCATCTCTCCTGTGTGTTCTTGTAACGGTACAGACCTTGTCTCCCCGTATACACCCTCAATAAGCTAATCCACAGTCCCATCTCTGCTGTGTGTTCATGTAACGGTACAGACCTTGTATCCCTGTATACACCCTCAATAAGCTGATCCACAGTCCTATCTCTGTGCGTTCATGTAACGGTACAGACCTTGTCTCCCTGTATACACCCTCAATAAGCTGATCCACTGTCCCATCTCTACAGTGTGTTCATGTAATGGTACAGACCTTGTCTCCCTCCCCGTATACACCCTCAATAAGCTGATCCACAGTCCCATCTCTGCTGTGTGTTCTTGTAGCGGTACAGACCTTGTCTCCCTGTATACACCCTCAATAAGCTGATCCAGTCCCATCTCTGCTGTGTGTTCTTGTAACGGTACAGACCTTGTCTCCCTCCCCGTATACACCCTCAATAAGCTGATCCACAGTCCCATCTCTGCTGTGTGTTCTTGTAATGGTACAGACCTTGTCTCCCTCCCTGTATACACCCTCAATAAGCTGATCCACAGTCCCATCTCTGTGTATTCATGTAACAGTACAGACCTTGTCTCCCTGTATACACCCTCAATAAGTTGATCCACAGTCCCATCTCTGCTGTGTGTTCATTTAACGGTACAGACCTTGTCTCCCTCCCTGTATACACCCTCAATAAGCTGATCCACAGTCCCATCTCTGCTGTGTGTTCATGTCATGGTACAGACCTTGTCTCCCTCCCTGTATACACCCTCAATAAGCTGATCCACAGTCCCATCTCTGCTGTGTGTTTATGTAACGGTACAGACCTTGTCTCCCTGTATACACCCTCAATAAGCTGATCCACAGTCCCATCTCTGCTGTGTGTTCATGTAACGGTACAGACCTTGTCTCCCTCCCTGTATACACCCTCAATAAGCTGATCCACTGTCCCATCTCTGCTGTGTGTTCTTGTAACGGTACAGACCTTGTCTCCCCGTATACACCCTCAATAAGCTGATCCACAGTCCCATCTCTGCTGTGTGTTCATGTAATGGTACAGACCTTGTCTCCCTCCCTGTATACACCCTCAATAAGCTGATCCACAGTCCCATCTCTGCTGTGTGTTCATGTAACGGTACAGACCTTGTCTCCCTGTATACACCCTCAATAAGCTGATCCACAGTCCCATCTCTGCTGTGTGTTCATGTAATGGTACAGACATTGTCTCCCTCCCTGTATACACCCTCAATAAGCTGATCCACTGTCCCATCTCTGCTGTGTGTTCTTGTAGCGGTACAGACCTTGTCTCCCTGTATACACCCTCAATAAGCTGATCCACAGTCCCATCTCTGCTGTGTGTTCATGTAATGGTACAGACCTTGTCTCCCTCCCTGTATACACCCTCAATAAGCTAATCCACTGTCCCATCTCTGCTGTGTGTTCTTGTAACGGTACAGACCTTGTCTCCCTCCCTGTATACACCCTCAATAAGCTGATCCACTGTCCCATCTCTCCTGTGTGTTCTTGTAACGGTACAGACCTTGTCTCCCCGTATACACCCTCAATAAGCTAATCCACAGTCCCATCTCTGCTGTGTGTTCATGTAACGGTACAGACCTTGTATCCCTGTATACACCCTCAATAAGCTGATCCACAGTCCCATCTCTGTGTGTTCATGTAACGGTACAGACCTTGTCTCCCTGTATACACCCTCAATAAGCTGATCCACTGTCCCATCTCTACAGTGTGTTCATGTAATGGTACAGACCTTGTCTCCCTCCCCGTATACACCCTCAATAAGCTGATCCACAGTCCCATCTCTGCTGTGTGTTCTTGTAGCGGTACAGACCTTGTCTCCCTGTATACACCCTCAATAAGCTGATCCACAGTCCCATCTCTGCTGTGTGTTCATGTAATGGTACAGACATTGTCTCCCTCCCCGTATACACCCTCAATAAGCTGATCCACTGTCCCATCTCTGCTGTGTGTTTATGTAACGGTACAGACCTTGTCTCCCTCCCTGTATACACCCTCAATAAGCTGATCCACAGTCCCATCTCTGCTGTGTGTTCATGTAACGGTACAGACCTTGTCTCCCTCCCTGTATACACCCTCAATAAGCTGATCCACAGTCCCATCTCTACAGTGTGTTCATGTAAAGGTACAGACCCTGTCTCCCTGTATACACCCTCAATGACTTAAAGCTGCTGCATAAATGCTTTCATTTGTCATTAACATGTTGGATTAGGGGGTGAGCCTCAAGACATTGTTATTATAGCAAAGTTTGAGTAAAACATCCAAACACTCTTTGTCATTTTTGTTTCGGATCAGCAGACATGAACAAATTGCAGGGCTTGAAATTGGTAAACACAGGTTAAAAAATCCAACTGAAAATCTGATTTTCATACCTGAAACATTTACCGTATATCGCTGTGTATAAGGCGAGTTTTTCGAAACTAAAATGAGGGGGTTAAGAAGGGGGGTCGTCTTATACACAGAGTCGAAGATCTCACATTTTTTTCCACTGGCGATGTCAACCGGCGTCCGATAGCCAGCCCAGCATTTGACAATAAAACTTCGCTTTTCGTCCTAAATAACTTTTCCAATAACTATTTCCATACATAAACATGACTTGTATCTCTTTTCCTTGAATAAGTTTTAATAATTTCTGCAAATAAAGTTGAAATGACCCTCGCCTCGATGCAGATTGTCAAACCAGCTGACACAGTAAAACAATCAACATCCGTGAGTAGAGAGCCGGAAGTACCGGTAAGCATTTGCATATTGCACATCTGACCTAACATGTGATAACCGGTGAAGCTGAAATCAATTCCCGCTGTTTTTACAGTTGTATTAACAACTGTTGGAGACGGTGTGTATAAGGGATTGTGGAACAAACACGCTGAATGTGAAGTGAAGCAAACATAAGCCTAGTTAGTTAAAACATAGTTAATTGGCGATTAAATTACTCACCATTCTCTCATATGTAATTACTTCATAAATGAATTTTATTTTACGGGCACCAATTTGGGGTCGTACCGTGTAAACACAAAATGGCAACATGTACTGGAGTTACACACGCGACCAATCATCGTAGAAAAAACAACACAAGATAAACATATTTTTATTGCATATATAAGGTTTTGTGTGCGCACTTGTGATGTGCCTTATTCCAGGTCGCCTTATACACAGAGTATAGGATTTTTGGTTGATTTTGAAGGCGTGTACAGGGGGGTCATCTTATACGTGTGGTCGCCTTATACACAGCGATATACGGTACAGTATTGAGGTTGTGCTGCTGGCCCATATTTACTTTCCCCAGTAGTGTGCAAGTGGTGCTGTATGTAAAGCAATTTTGTTTCAAGCCCTGAATGGCTGTAGAAATATGTGTTCGTAATGAACAGTCAGAAATGGATATGTTATGCTCAGTTACCTTTCTATTCTACATATGCTTGAAAAATGTTCCCTGTAAAGTGAAATCGGGAATCCTCCCTGCCCAGGGTACAGTGGCCATGTTCACACAGGACCAAATTGTCCCGCACAGAAGTATGGTTTACAGGATACTGAAATGGTTTTATCTTGGCTTTTCCAGAAAAAAGAGGTCTGTGATGCTGTGGACAACAAAATGTTTGGCAAGTCTGGCCAGAACATGGACATTATGGACGTAAGTGTTGTGTTGTAGTTGTCATCTGTTGCCAGGCAACAACCATCTTCTCCAGGCAAGGGAGTTAACTGAATTTTAAAGCCCAGTTTCCGTGCTGAACTACGCTGGAATTTCGTGGCTTGATTGTAGCGCCACCAGTGGCTATTACAAGTTTTTGACCAATCAGATTCCACCTCTCATATCACTTTTGCATTAAATTAAATGGCCGTGCCCAGTCAAGACGATCTGATCGATAAACAATATCTATGTTGTAATAAAAGGGGTCTTACCTCGCAAAGTGCATCAAATCATTTGAGCACCTTGATTAAAAACATGGAAAGATTTGGATAATATGTGTCAATGCCCAGTTGACATTCTCTCCAATCCTGCAGTCAACGGAAATCTGCACGTTGAAATCCATGTTGTTTACGAACTGGATGTCTAGTTTGTTGCGGAATTTTGATTGGACTATGCACAGACTCGTTAATCCAGCCAAAATGTAACTCCAGAATTCCAGCCTAGTTCAACAAGGGTGGAAACTGGGCTTTACAGTCCAGTAACTCCCTTGCCTCAGGAAGATGGGCAACAACAGTCCTCAGCTGCAACTTTTTATATTTGAAAGAAAAACCTAAAATGTTTCAAATATTATTTTTAAAAAATTATTTTTGCGAGAGTAAACTGATACTGAATTTGATTTACTGGCGTGATGTCGAGATTCCAGGCCTTGTCTGATATGAGGTGTAATATAACTCAAACTTCATCAACCCTGGGTTGGAATTCTGGTTAGTATAGGTTCCCAGCAACCTTTGCTGGTCGTAAGAGGCTACCAAATGGATTGGGTGATCAGAGGGTCAGACTCAGTGACTTGGTTCATTGCGTGTTATCTTACTCTGATGGCATGGATCTTTGCACACAATATCAATCACTGGATTGTCTGGACCAGACTCAATTATTTACAGGCCGCGATCTTATAGCTGGAATATTGCTGAGTGCAGCATTGAACAACAAACTCCATTAACTCCGAATTAGGACCTGGAACCTTTTGGTCTAGCTTGTTGGTTGCATTAGGATCTCATGTCAGCACTGAACATGTCTAAAACTATGGAGTGTCGAAAAACTGTCAGTGGTCCCCAGAACTAGGTTAGCAAGGTTCAGTATGTTGATCTGATGTTGATGTCGGTTGCAGCGAGAGAGAAGTGTGGAGCTCACCAAGTACAGCAAGCTGCCGATGGAGGAGATCGCCAACAAGCTGTTCGTGGACAAGAAGCCAGAGGATCTGCCCAAGGGCAAGGACAACGTACAGAGCGGTGTCAGCGTGACTGCCATGGCCGAAATCCTCGCGTCCAAGTTCAGGGGGGAAGAACCTGCAGCGCAAAAGAAAATGGTGAGTTTGGTGTAACTGGCGTACAGTAGAAGTCCTTGCTTGGGATCTGGTGCCACACAGGCTACAGGAATGATGTTGGTGTGGTAATGCCCAAGTAGATTTTAAGAATAATTTTGTGACTGGTCATCAGTTACTGGCCATCATTGGCTAGTTCCGGTAAAAACATAACTGTCCCTTCAACAATCTGACTAGGCAGTAGGGCCAGGACAAAATCCTTTCAATTGGTCTTCTCAATCTAAATAAAAGTTTTTAGTCATCAAAACAGATAATATTGTTTCATAAACATCTGTTATCGACGAGACATGATCACAGAAGCAGAAACAGTTAATAATTATCAATATCGTTTATGAGGGGTGAAAGTTTGACTAGACACGTGGGCCCTGCCATGTTTTTACTGGCCATGTTACAGATCCTTTTTGATTTCTAGATCTTGTGATTTAATCACCCTTTTTTTACTACTTTAGCCCTACTGTTTCCTTATATAAATCCAGAACTTGCAGAGAATCGAAAGTCTGTCATATGAACATGTGTGATAATTTTCTCAACAGTATTTTAGCGTTTGTATCAACCTGTACCCAAGATGGCGGACTGTATGTATGTGTGGGTTGTGATGTGTTGCAGAAGACACCTGGTGTGCTGGTAGCGGCCAAGCCGGAGAGTGAGTTCTGTGTGTTCTGTCTCAAGCGGGTGTATATCATGGAGAGGATGAGTGCGGAGGGTGTTTTCTTCCACCGTGGCTGTCTGCGCTGTGACTACTGCAACACCAACCTCCGCCTCAACAACTACTCCTGCGAGAGGGAGATGGATGGAGAAGGTAGGAACCCGTGGCCATGTCATCTCATGTAGGTCCGTGTTTGGGCTGGGATGTGTTGACAATATTCATGTTCTAAATATAGGGATTTGTCCAGGAAACGAAGCACCCTTGGCAGGCAATATGGGGGAAAATTGTTATTGTACTCAAACTGGTCAGTGAAATACAAGTCATGAAGCCATAAGATTAGTCACTACTATATAACATGAATTGGGAAATTTGCAATTCCAGTTTGGGATTTTTGCGGACATTTGCTGCAGATTTGTGGCTGAATAGTGGCCTCTGAGCAGGTCAAGATAAATGCCAGGTTTCCTTTGGTTCCTATATATTGAAGACATCTCCATTGTGTAAGATAGAAAGATCATCTCTGATAAGGAAGACAATTTATGAATGTCAACTTCTTTATTATGAGGAACACAACGTTTCAAAGTATATGCTTACTCCTTCATCAGGTAGATAAATTCACTTCCTTATGTGTATCACTTCTAAATGCCTTTCAAAGACTTAATTCGACATCATCATCTCTGATGCCTGTTTGAACAATGTTTGGTTGTGACGTAGAGTTTAATTCTTTCTGTCATCTGCTGTAGACTTGGGGCAGAGTATTGGCCTCTGAGTGGGTCCAGGTCAACCCCTGAAATGTCCTGATTCATAAGATTGTTCAATATAAGCATCGTTGTGGGTCATTTAGGGACCTGGTACATTATAGGTGGCGGTCTACTTGAGACTAGGGTCCCGCCAGTGTGGTCCTTGTTTCCCTAAGTGTAGAAGACAGATCCCTTATAAAGTATCCACCTCTGTGTCTACCTGTGTTGAGGGTCTGTGTTGAATCTGTGACAACTTGTATTTTCAGTGAAGTTCTACTGTTACCGCCATGCCAATGCTGACCAGAGAATACGCTTGAAGAGAAAGAGAATCATATATGACGATGATGGTTCGAAGGTATGATGCTTCAATCTCGTCTGACACATCGTTAGGTCTGGTCAGGTTGCATCCTCAGGATCTCTTAGTTCCACATTGGGATCCCTGTCAGTTTGTTAAACTGTACTGTCTTATGAACCCAGCTGTTGGTGGCCCTGTCGTCTTAGTCACAGCAGTGTGCTGTGCAGAGTTACGTCTCTTGAGCATGTCAGGAGCCTAGGATTATGGTTTTGAATCCCGGTTCTCCCCAGTTGTATGTCTAGGTCTGTCAGCACCATAGCCATGCTCGTGGGTTTCACCAAAGCGGTAAACGTCTAAGACCTTGCATCACTTTCCTCCCACATTAAGCTCACTCACTCATTGATGCCAGCTGTCATTCAGTTCCTCAAATACTGCTGCCATAAAAAGCCTTAAGCTGATTAATCTCTTTTCAGAAATACATCTTCACTGTGAAAATCAATGTGTGTCAGCGTCTGTTAAACTTTATTTTTTTCAAGCCTTGTCAAGCCTTGCGTTCATGATCACAGTATATTTGTTCCAAGGGTGAGCCCATGCATGACAGTCATCCTCGTTACCCCGCTAATGTTTCCGTGTCTCTATGTGTCTAATGTAGGAGAACATTCCCACCGTAGTCACCATGTCCATGTCCAAGACCGGCAAGGACAACATCATCCTCCCGCCACAGAAGAAAGAAGAAACACCGAAGAAGGGATGTAAGTAGATATCTTCCGCGTAACATGGCTACTATCTTCAGCAACCCATGCTTGCCGTAAAGGGCGACTGTGCTTGTCATAAGAGGCGACTAGCAGGATCGGGTGGTCAGGCTCACTGACTTGGTTGATAAATGTCATCATATTCCAATTTTGTACATCAATGCTCATGGTATCAATCAATGCATTGTCTGGTCCACACTCGATTATTTACAGACTGCCGTCATATGTCTGGAAAATTGCTGAGTGCAGCATTAAACAACATGGAACAGAACATGCTAATTCATACTTTTGATTTGTGCAGTCTGGACAACTGCCCTTCTTCTTAGTCCTCTTATACACCGGGACATGATTTGGTGTCTTGTTAAAAAGAACCTGCAGTCTGCGATTTTATCCACTAGTCAAGCAAAATATATTTAGGTCTAGTAAGATCAACATGTAATAGTCCATATGCTAAGATTATTATCTACTGAAAGTAATACCACAATACAAGTTCGGACTTGTGGACGCAAGTCTGGTACAGACTGATTTGTCTTAATGAAGATCTCCATTTTGTTTGTACAGCAGCCCTCAGCCCACTGATGGTGCCTGAAGACCCGTACGAGAAGGCGAAGAAGACGCCGGAGCGTGTTGAGTTTGAGAACACCTTCGAGGGTCTGGAGGAGGAGTCGGAGGAGGAACAGTTCGAGCACAACCTCCGCGCGTCGTTCTCCTCGGACAAGCTGCTCGACGGGGAGGAGGACTATGACGAGAGCGACACCGACTCGGAGTAAGTACAGCCCTGTGTTGGTTGTAACACTTCAGTTTATCTGAGAAATAACACTCTTGGTAACACTGTTTATTTTATGGATTGTGAATATTCTTCTAATTGGCTAGGTTAGAATCCAGTAAGAATTAACTTAATGTTATTTGGGTTGATTGATTGAGTTGGAAAAAAAATAAATGCTGATTCTCTTTAAAGTTCAGTATGTTTTGTACAGTAAGATGTGCATGTATTCTGTCAGTGAAGGCCTCGGTTCCTGGGCCCCGTTCCACGAAGCAGTTGTAGCACTAAGATGATCGTAAGTCACATTGTTTAGCAGAGGCTTGCGACAGTCATAGCCCTATGATCGTTTTGTGGAATGGGGGCCCTGTTCCACAAAGCTGTATTTGAGCTAAGTTGACCATAACTCCTGTTAGGGCTGTAGAAGAGCATTGAAAATATAGAAGAGATTTAGGAACTCTACTCCAAAGTTCCATTGTTTCTGTGTGGACGTATTAATTCCAATTATTCACTTTTGTCTGTAATAAAGGGAACTTGTATGAGGCAAGGTTTATGCTTGTGATGGATTGTGGGTACACAGGATACAGTCGTGTGATTGGTTATGATGCCAGTAAACATAACTACAGGATCGGCACTTTGTGTTGCAGAAGTGATTACCTAGATGACCAACAAATGGCTCATATTTTGTCTCAATGGTAATTTCACTGTCCTGGCTGCCCATGTTGTTTTGAAACTTTTGATCTCTTTATGTGATGTACGTGTTTGTGCCGCGCCGTGTGATGCCGAACTTCCAGTATTTGAGTGTGCCATATCATATCATATATCTAACCTCCTGCCTAGTCTCACACAATGGGGATTTTCTAATCAACATTTAAGGTTAGGTCATGTAGGTCATGTTATACTTGTATTGTAGTTTGACTTGTGACATGACATTGTGTTGATAATTCATTGCCAGAACAGGAAGCTGGGATACAAGGACTGAAATCACTTGTGTTTCACAATGTACTAAGGCTGAAATAATTCACCCGATTCTCATAACGGTATCTTTATGTCGTAATTATGCATGATAAAATCATTAAATGTCAAACAGTAAAATTTGTGAAACCGTGCTTTTCAATGCATAACAAATCTCATGTGTATATCAGAGGAGGTTTCGAGAGACCCACTTATATAAGGTCCTGGAACTTGCTGTGCAGAGTTGTCTCCCTTAGACAAAACCTCAGGGGTTCGAATCTTGGTTTGCCTTGATAATGTTCCCAGGTTTGTGAGCAACAACTCACCGTGTGAGATCTGATATAAACTCAGTTTGTGTATCAGATGCTGTAGTTTGTTATGACAACGTTCCTGTGAATTGAACCCGTGAAGATCGGGGTTAGAATAGGTCTTCAGCAACTCATGCTTGCCATAAAAGGCGACTACCCTTATGTTTGTCGAAAGTGGCAACTAACGGGATCAGGTGGTCAGGCTTGCTGACTTGGTTGATGCATGTCATCATATCCCAATTACATGGATTGATGCTCATGATGTCAGTCACTGGATTGTCTGGTCCAGACTCGATTATTTCCAGACCGCCGTCATACAGCTGGAATATTGCTGAGTGTGGCGTTTAACAACAAAGAACACAAAAAATCCTGTGAATTGTTTCAGCTTTACTACATAAAAAAAGAATAAACTGTACTATCACGGCCGCAGTATTCTGCATGTTTGACTTGTATCCCGAGTTTCCTGCGTGCGTCACTGACCTGGTCCCAGGCGGTGAGATAACTCATGAGCTTGTGTGGCGTGTGTAGCATGCACGTGTGTTCTGTTTACAGTATGCAGAGAAGCGTGCACATGTGAGTCAGCCAACCCACGTTACACCGACTATTTCAGTTTGCCTTGTTCTGTGATGGTTGTTTATACAAGTTGATTTTCGTTATCATTATTATCATTATTATCATTATTATCATGATTTTAAGAAATTTGGCAAATGAGGCAGTAATTCCAGTCTCATTGCTTACCACGAGTTTGTGATATATTCTTGCATACTGGAATATTTATATCAAATAAACACATTCTTGATTATTTTTTGGTTCTTGGGTTCAGACTGCATCAACAAACAGCATGACAGTTTTATTCTTTTAAAATAGAACTCACTGGTCGTAGTTTACAGTACAAAAGTGCCACACTCTCTGCACTTGTTATCACAGGTCAATGACTGAACAATGATTGATTTTATTGACTTGCTATTGCACACGTTTCATGTAATGAATGTTCATATAATGTTTTTGGTTTTCGTCATGTTCAATTTGAAACAAACAAAAAAAACTTGTAAAATCTGTACTGCGTTTGCCAAACTTCTGTGAAGTCACAACACGTATGTGACGTTAGTTGATCGGCGGTTGCCTGTTCACGTTAACCGTCCTGCCCAGCAGGTCAGCATGATGGTGTTTGCCCCGTGGAGGCCACGTGTACTATATATCAGGATCGGATTTTGTGACCTATTCCATGCTCCATTTGAACATAATCAGTTTGTTAACGGATCCAATAATATAAATCGACCATTTTTGTTGCCCAGTATTCCAACAGACTTTCTTGAGAAAATCGCAAGAGATGAAGTAAACGCACTTTTGTCAATGACTCTTTGCTATGCTATCAGATTGTCTGTAAATTGTGAAGAACATATTGTCTAAATCATCTTTATTGTGGTATGTAGTAGGTGTATGACGTTATACACATAGTTATGTACAGGCAGTAGTTAGGATGTGAGTGGCAGTGGAACTGAAACATACTCCAGTTTCTCTGACCCAAACAATTACCAAATATTTGAGAAATGTTATTTTGGCAAGAAGTGACATATGTACCCACCCGAAACATGATAATACTGGTATATAATATTCAGATATAAATGGTAAAACTGTTTGAATTAAAACTCCAAATTTTAATATTAAAATATTCCAAGTATTCTGCTTGCAATGTTAGGAATAATGGCGGCGCATGGAACGGGTCACTTTCCAAAGTGACAAATGTTACGTGTAATTTGTTCAATACAGGTTCATTATGGTGAAGGTTTTCTTTCTAGTTGCTGCAGAGTTGTGTTTGTGGTGCAGCACAGACTCTAGAACTAGGTCCACAGTCCACTATACTCCTTGTGTTCGTGCTGCGGCACAGACTCTAGAACTAGGTCCACAGTCCACTATACTCCTTGTGTTCGTGCTGCGGCACAGACTCTAGAACTAGGTCCACAGTCCACTATACTCCTTGTGTTTGTGCTGTGGCACAGACTCTAGAACTAGGTCCACAGTCCACTATACTCCTTGTGTTCGTTCTGTGGCACAGACTCTAGAACTAGGTCCACAGTCCACTATACTCCTTGTGTTCGTTCTGCAGCACAGACTCTAGAACTAGGTCCACAGTCCACTATACTCCTTGTGTTCGTTCTGCAGCACAGACTCTAGAACTAGGTCAACAGTCCACTATACTCCTTGTATTCGTACTGCGGCACAGACTCTAGAACTAGGTCCACAGTCCACTATACTCCTTGTGTTTGTGCTGCCGCACAGACTCTAGAACTAGGTCCACAGTCCACTATACTCCTTGTGTTTGTGGTGCAGCACAGACTCTAGAACTAGGTCCACAGTCCACTATACTCCTTGTGTTTGTGCTGTGGCACAGACTCTAGAACTAGGTCCACAGTCCACTATACTCCTTGTGTTTGTACTGCGGCACAGACTCTAGAACTAGGTCCACAGTCCACTATACTCCTTGTGTTTGTGCTGTGGCACAGACTCTAGAACTAGGTCCACAGTCCACTATACTCCTTGTGTTTGTACTGCGGCACAGACTCTAGAACTAGGTCCACAGTCCACTATACTCCTTGTGTTCGTTCTGCAGCACAGACTCTAGAACTAGGTCCACAGTCCACTATACTCCTTGTGTTTGTGCTTCGGCACAGACTCTAGAACTAGGTCCACAGTCCACTATACTCCTTGTGTTCGTGCTGCGGCACAGATTCTAGAACTAGGTCCACAGTCCACTATACTCCTTGTGTTTGTGCTGCGGCACAGACTCTAGAACTAGGTCCACAGTCCACTATACTCCTTGTGTTTGTGGTGCAGCACAGACTCTAGAACTAGGTCCACAGTCCACTATACTCCTTGTGTTCGTGCTGCAGCACAGACTCTAGAACTAGGTCCACAGTCCACTATACTCCTTGTGTTTGTGCTGCGGCACAGACTCTAGAACTAGGTCCACAGTCCACTATACTCCTTGTGTTTGTGGTGCAGCACAGACTCTAGAACTAGGTCCACAGTCCACTTTACTCCTTGTGTTCGTGGTGTTGCATGACTATTGTTAGCCTGTACTTACACTAGATGCTCAGGCTTGTGTTAAACATCGGAGGGCTGACTGTGAAGAAGATCCTAAATTTTCATCAACCAATGTTAAAGATTTCAAATGTGTAAATATATTTATATGTGTAAAATAATAGAAGTACAAGTTTGGTTGCTATGGTTATGAACAGTTTGGTATTGTTAACGATGTTGCCTCCTGTCTGTGCCCTAACACACTGATGTTCTGTCAGGTGGTGCGCAGACTCCGTCGGTCAGTTTTGACAACTTGGGAATAATCCCCGAACTCTGCTTAATGATACGCACTAATGTTTCTTGACCTGTGTGGGGGCTGTGGGGGTAGCCCAGTGGTTAAAGCATTCGCCCGTCATGCCGAAGACCCAAGTTTGATTCCCCACATGGATACAATGTGTGAAGCCCATTTCTGGTGTCCCCCGCCGTGATATTGCTGGAATATTGCTGAAAGCGGTGTAAAACCATACTCACTTACTTACTCACTTGACCTGTATTGTGTCTGTGGATTATATCAGTGAGAGATGCTAACATGGTCCCGTGTTGTAGGTCTGGAGCCGAGGATGAGGTGTTGGTGGATCAGAACGACAGTGACATCAGCAAGTCCATGACGTGGGAGGAGGCGTGCCAGCTGGCTGAGAACTGGAACAAACGCCACTCGCGTGAAAACCTGGCATCTGCCGGCGCGGACGAGGGGGAGGAAGGGGGAGCGGCGTACTCGCGACTGGTAGACGAGGGGGAAGAAGAGGAGGAGGAAGAGGATAGCACCGAGGTGGAAGGTGAGGGTCGTGGAAGGTGTAGTGAAGGTCATTCCTGCAGTTACCGCATCTCTTTTCCTGCTCGTTATTTTATTCTTTCATTATTTTGGCATAATCTTTTCAGAATTTAAGAGTGCTTTAACATATGCACTAATTGATATGCATTTGCTGTCAAAAATGTTCTTTTGGAATAACCTTTTCAAAATTAGTAATTGCTTATAAATACTCACCGCCAAAAGAAACATGAACCATAGAAACATATAGAGAAGTATGTACATTAAGGAGAGATGTTTCCAATATGTACCACGTAATGACAACACTAACAATCAGCCAAGTGTTACCACACCGTGTCTTTATTCTTATCACGATATGCTGCATGTGATTTACAAATGAGACAAATGGTGCATCTTGGGACATTGATCTGTGACGTCACAAGAGATGATTCACAAGTGTCAGTTCACACAACATACCCGTATGTTCGTTTGTGAATCGAAACAATCTAATTTCTCTTGAATATGAGTTATTCTTCATATATTTACCGGGGCGGTCGGGTAGCCTATTGGTTAAAGCGTTCGCTCGTCACGCCGAAACCTGGGTTCGATGCCCGACATGGGTACAATGTGTGAAGCCCATTTCTATTGCTCAAAGCGGCGTAAAACCATACTCACTCACTCATATATTTACCAACATATATGGTATTCATGTTTCTTTTGTCGGTGAGTATCAATGCACTGATTACTAAGCAGGTGTCACTGTGTTCCAGTGTCCGAGTATGAGACAGAGGAGGAGACAACCGATGTTGAAACTGAAGAGGAGAATACAGAGAGCAGGGAGGAGTCTGCCCCCAGGAGTGAGAACACTCGCAGCGATGGAACATTCCAACACACCACGGAGTCAGTCTCCCCTCTCAAGTCCCCCTCTGTGTCAGCAGTGGTGTCAGCAAGGGCCAACTTCTTCGCCACACCCCCGGAGCCAGTGAGGATCGATGCTGTGAGGGCCCTGGGCCTCACTGAGCAGCAGAAGGCACAAGTGTCCCTGGAGGAAGAGCCTTCAGACAGAACACAGACAGACAAGACGGACAATCAGGTATCTGAGATATCTGAGTTTGAACAAAACCCTGAACAAGGTGGAGAAGATGCTGGCACAGATGAGGACGTGCTGGATGTGGATATTGAGGATGAAGATGAGGAGGAAGCCAAGTTGGGCAGTGCAATGTCAAATGATGAGGGGGAGGAGGCAGACGGGGAGGAGGAGATGGAGACGGAGTCCGAGGGGGAGGGGGACCGGGGCCAGAAGGAGGCGGACCTGGACAAGACTGCTGTAAGCAGGGCCATGGAACAGCTTCTCAAGGACATGGACAATCGGGGCTCAGTTGATTCTGAACAGGGGGAGGGAAGGGTGGTGTTGACAGATTCGGGAGAGGAGGAAGAGGAGGTGTTTGGGGAAGGAGAGAGAGATGGTGAGATCGGAGAGGACACTGAGATGGCTGTGTTGAGGAGTGTCCGGGATATGGATGACACTGGGGGTGAGGGGGAGGACGGAGGGACTCTTCAGCAGGTCCTGCAGGAGGTGCTGGACATGGACGAGAAGAAAGAAGATGTTCACCTACGAAACATCGATGATTCATTTGTGACTCGACGGAGGAAGAAGAAGCTGTCAGGAAAATCTTACAATCCACCTGGACATGTGTCCGACTCAGACACTAGTTTTACAATTTCTACTCCTTCACAGAACTCTTCCACCAGCTCTTTAAACGATGAGTTTGAGAATAACAAACACTACTTAGGTGATGACGATGACTTGAAGCCGGATGCTGACATGTTGAGAGACTATACAGTCACACTGAGCACAGCACTGGATGAGAGTTACTCAGAATCAGAGATGCCATTACAGAACCAGCCTGAGGAAGAGGAACTGAACAAGACAATACAAGGAGATAAAACCCTCAACGACTCGACCAGGTCGGGAAACGACAGCGTATACCTCACCCCGACTGTAGGTGCCAGTAATGAAGAGCAGGCTCCGTCCTCGGGGTCTGATGTGTTCCTGACTCCGGAAGTTACCGACACTAAGCCAGACGTACTGGAGACTCCTAAGGCTCCCTCTCAGACTGATAAACTCTCTCCAAAGAAACTCATTAAGATTTCAACACCAACTCCAAAGAAAGCTGTCTCTCCAACTCTTGTGAAGAAAAGTGTCTCCAAACCTAACAATAAGACTTCTCCGCCAACTAAGAGTAAAAGAATCATTCTGTCGCCTGTGAAGATCACAACAGAACCAGAACCGAAGGGAAGGGCACTGCCAAAGCCAGCTCCTCGGAAATCTGATTCAAAACTCACTTCAAAGGTTAAGACTGATACTAAGCCCATTCCTAAAATATCCACATCAAAAACTGATACCAAACTGAGCCCAAGGACTTCTGCCGGGAAAACAGAATCTAAAATCAGTCCCAAACCAGCTCCTCGTAAACTACCCATTCCTCCGAATGTCAAAGGTCAAAGTTCTTCACCTCGTTCTCCAGCGACTAAAGCTCGGGCTAATACATCAACCACGTCGGACTCTTCCCCGTCATTCAGCCGACCAACAGCGTCCTCCAGAGCCAAGAAATGGAGTGACACCGACAGCCGAGAGGGCAGCACTTCACCCGGGTCATCACAAGCCAAGACTCCACGGCAGAACAAAACTAAAATATCCGTGGACAGGAACGTACTTCTGTCAGACTCGTCCTCTGAGATCCTCACATCGGATGGAACTGAGGGCACAAAGAAGAAGATTCCTCTTGACAAGAGCTTGGTGAAAAGCGACAACCTTGCCCAAAAGAGCTTTGATGAAGGGATTGAAGATATTCCTTTTGCGGATGAGAGTGAGTTAGATGAGAGATTCTACACTCCAGCCACATCCGTTAAGGCCCGAGTCCTGCCTGTTCCAAAAGAGGACACAAATGTCCGTAAACGCCTCCTCCCATCACCACCAAAGAACAGCGGAGGTGTTCCTCCTGCCAACCAGATCCTCGAGATTCAGAAGGCGCAGAAGGAGAGGAATAAAATCAAGATCAGAGAAGCCCCTCAGAAGAAGGAGGATGAAGGTAGTGGCGGGCTTCAGTGTGTTAATAAGACCTTTCAGAATCCTGTTGTTCCTCGTCAGGGAAAGAAGTCTGAGAACTCTGAGCGTGACCGACGGAGCACGTCCTACTCCTCAATGGATCCCAGTACGAGTGACATGGTGACGGACAGTGACGACAGCCGTCTGTATGGTTTACACACACCAACATCTAGTGCTCCTGAATCGGAGAACTCATTGCTGGGTAGTAAAGGCAAGAAGAAGAAGAAAGGTGCTGATAAAACATTCATCGATAAGGAAAAGAAACGCAAATCTCTGTTGTCTAAGCTATTGCCAATTAAGTCTCCAGAGAAGACGTTGAAAGACAGGTCGAGCACACCCAACCTCTCGGACTCCAGTAGCAGTGCGACAAAGAAGAAAAAGACACCGAAGTCGGACAAGAAGAAGCGGACCAAGACGAAGGACATCGCAGATTCGAGTCTCAGTGACAATTTGAAGGACCTGCGGATTGGTTCTGTGTTCACCACGGACCTGTCCAAACTGCCTGGCAACAGGCACCACATGGGCTCCACACTACCTATAGCTCCCAAGGCAGAGGGTGAGTATGTCTACTAGTGTCACCCACTGGGCCAGATAGGATTGTTTATGTTATATAGTGCCAAAGCCTTGACTAATACATTTTTTATACCTACCAAATGATATTTACCATACAGAAACTCAATCATCTAAGAATCTTTATTGATTACCTTCCCTGTCTGTTCGTCAACACTGACCTGAAATTCTTATGACTGTAGTGACATGGGGTACCTTCTTTCGTGTATTGTGTTCTATTACTTTTGTCCTTCAGCATACCGGTGGTATACTCTTTTCTGTAATCGACAGAAAGTGCAAAGTGTGTTTTGACAGTTGCTGTACTTTCTTACGAATGTGCACTGCCATTCTTAGGTACAACTTTCAGGAGGGGGGTAGTATAAAACTACATCGCTGAAAGTTTGACAGTTAACTGGTATACTTCATTTTGGCCTGTTAGATGTGATTGTTTATGATGACTGACTTACTGTAGATGATCTTACTTCCTTCAGAGGGTAAACTCTGTTATTCAGTAAACTGTGCGACATTATGACTAGTAAGCCTTGTCAAGGCTTGACTACTTACAGGCCACTGTTGTGTAGATGTTCTATTGCACATGTAAGATCAAAAACATATTTCACTCTCACTGGCTGTATGGCTATAAATGCAATCGCCATACTTATAACACTACTAGGCTGTGTGTTATTAAAGAAACTTGTGTGTTGTCCTTGCAGTGGATGAGTTCTCAGACTCGGGTGAGAGCATGATGTCAACCAGCACGCTACATGGCAGGAAGGTGGGTATTACAAAACCAGTCCCAGCATCACCTCTGCACCTCTCCATCACCCTGTCCACCACCTCTCCATCACCCTGTCCACCACCTCTCCAACACCTCTCCAACACTCTGTCCATCACCTCTCCACCTCTCCATCACCCTGTCCACCACCTCTCCATCACCCTGTCATCACCTCTCCATCACCCTGTCCATCACCTCTCCATCACCCTGTCATCACCTCTCGATCACCCTGTCCATCACCTCTTCATCATTCTATCCATCACCTCTCCATCACCCTGACCATCACCTCTCCATCACCCTGTCCATCACCTCTTCATCACCCTATCCATCACCTCTTCATCACCTCTCCATCACCTCTCCACCTCTCCATCACCTCTCCACCTCTCCATCACCCTGTCCATCACCTCTTCATCACTCTATCCATCACCTCTCCATCACCCTATCCATCAACTCTCCGCCTCTCCATCACCCTGTCCATCACCCTGTCCATCACCTCTCCATCACCTCTCCATCACCCTGACCATCACCTCTCCACCTCTCCATCACCCTATCCATCATCTCTCCATCACCCTGACCATCACCTCTTCATCACTCTATCCATCACCTCTTCATCACTCTATCCATCATCTCTCCATCACCCTGTCCATCACCTCTCCATCACCCTGACCATCACCTCTCCACCTCTCCATCACCCTGTCCATCACCTCTCCATCACCCTGACCATCACCTCTCCGCCTCTCCATCACCCTATCCATCATCTCTCCATCACCCTGACCATCACCTCTTCATCACTCTATCCATCACCTCTCCATCACCCTATCCATCAACTCTCCGCCTCTCCATCACCCTGTCCATCACCTCTCCATCACCCTGTCCGTCATCTCTCCATCACCCTGACCATCAACTCTCCACCTCTCCATCACCCTGACCATCACCTCTCCACCTCTCCATCACCCTGTCCATCATCTCTCCATCACCCTGACCATCAACTCTCCGCCTCTCCATCACCCTGTCCATCACCTCTCCACCTCTCCATCACCCTGTCCATCATCTCTCCATCACCCTGACCATCAACTCTCCGCCTCTCCATCACCCTGTCCATCACCTCTCCACCTCTCCATCACCCTGTCCATCATCTCTCCATCACCCTGACCATCAACTCTCCCCCTCTCCATCACCCTGACCATCACCTCTCCACCTCTCCATCACCCTGTCCATCATCTCTCCATCACCCTGACCATCACCTCTCCACCGATCACCTCTCCATCACCTCTCCACCTCTCCATCACCCTGACCATCACCTCTCCACCTCTCCATCACCCTGTCCATCACCTCTCCATCGAATCTCCATCACCTCTCCACCTCTCCATCACCCTGTCCATCACCTCTCCATCACCCTGACCATCACCTCTCCGCCTCTCCATCACCCTATCCATCACCCTATCCATCACCCTGTCCATCACCTCTCCATCACCCTATCCATCACCCTATCCATCACCTCTCCGCCTCTCCATCACCCTGACAATCACCTCTCCACCTCTCCATCAACCTGACCATCACCTCTCCATCACCTCTCCACCTCTCCATCACCCTGACCATCACCTCTCCATCACCTCTCCATCACCCTATCCATCACCTCTCCACCTCTCCATCACCCTGACCATCACCTCTCCGCCTCTCCATCACTCTATCCATCACCCTATCCATCACCCTATCCATCACCTCTCCACCTCTTCATCACCTCTCCAATCAACTCTCCACCTCTCCATCACCTCTCCATCACCCTATCCATCATCTCTCCATCACCCTGACCATCACCTCTCCGCCTCTCCATCACCCTGTCCATCACCTCTTCATCACCTCTTCATCACCTCTCCATCACCTCACGATCACCTCTCGACGTCGCTATATAAGTGCAATAATCTTGGACGCGACGTTAAACCCCATTTCACCTCACCTCACTCGATCACCTCTCCACCTTTCCATCACCTCTCCATCACCCTATCCATCATCTCTCCATCACCCTGTCCATCACCCTGTCCATCACCCTATCCATCACCTCTCCGCCTCCCCATCACCCTGTCCATCACCTCTCCACCTCTTCATCACCTCTCCACCTTTCCATCACCTCTCCATCACCCTATCCATCATCTCTCCATCACCCTGACCATCACCTCTCCACCTCTCCAACACCTCTCCACCTATCCATCATCTCTCCACCTATCCATCATCTCACCATCACCCTGTCCATCACCCTGTCCATCACCTGGTCCTCTAGATGCTAAGATGATTTTTGTTTCATCCATTGACACAATCCTGTTGTTCAGTTTCACGTATGTAACAAAGCAACTATGGTGTGTGTATTGGAAATGTTGACCTTACTTCGGGTTCTGTTACGTTTACTAATGTGACTTCTTTGGGCCAAAATCAGTTTTGATATTGTATGGTCGTTGTGCTGATGGTTTCAGCAATTCAGTTGTGATATACGTTTTTGACTGTTTTATATTTCATGTTTCTTTGTATTTATTTTTCAGAGTTTCAACTTAACAGACAAACCAGATGACAAAGTTTCCCGTCGCATCCAGAAAGCAGCTGTGAAGCAGCACAAACAGGCGGAACAGAAGCGGCTTCGTATGGCGCAGGAGATTCAGCGGAAGCTGGAGGAAGTCGATGTCAAACAACGGGAACTTGAACAACGCGGCATTATTGTGGAGAAGGCATTACGAGGGGAGGGACCAGGTAGGTGGAACAACGGGGCATTATTGTGGAGAAGGCATTACGAGGGGAGGGACCAGGTAGGTGGAACAGTAGGGCATTATTGTGGAGAAGGCATTACGAGGGGAGGGACCAGGTAGGTGGAACAGTAGGGCATTATTGTGGAGAAGGCATTACGAGGGGAGGGACCAGGTAGGTGGAACAGCGGGGCATTATTGTGGAGAAGGCATTACGTTTTGTGTTTGTGTGTTGTTTAACGCCGCACTCAGCAATATCGAGCCATATGATGGCGGTCTGTAAAATAATCGAGTCTGGACCAGACAATCCAGTGATTGACATCATGAGCATCAATCAACGCAATTGGCAAGTACGGCAAGTATGGGTTGCTGAAGACCTATTCTACCCCAGAATCTTCACGGGTCAGAATGCATTACGAGGGGAGGGACCAGGTAGGTGGAACAGTAGGGCATTATTGTGGAGAAGGCATTACGAGGGGAGGGACCAGGTAGGTGGAACAACAGAGCATTTTTGCGGAGAATGCATTACGAGGGGAGGGACCAGGTAGGTGGAACAGTAGGGCATTATTGTGGAGAAGGCATTACGAGGGGAGGGACCAGGTAGGTGGAACAGCGGGGCATTATTGTGGAGAAGGCATTACGTTTTGTGTTTGTGTGTTGTTTAACGCCGCACTCAGCAATATCGAGCCATATGATGGCGGTTTGTAAAATAATCGAGTCTGGACCAGACAATCCAGTGATTGACATCATGAGCATCGATCCACGCAGGGAGGGTCCAGGTAGGTGGAACGAGGCATTATTGTGGAGAAGGCATTACGAGGGGAGGGACCAGGTAGGTGGAACAATGGGGCATTATTGTGGAGAAGGCATTACGAGGGGAGGGACCAGGTAGGTGGAACAACAGAGCATTTTTGTGGAGAAGGCATTACGAGGGGAGGGACCAGGTAGGTGGAACAACGGAGCATTTTTGCGGAGAAGGCATTACAAGGGGAGGGATCAGGTTGGTGGAACAGCAGGGCATTATTGTGGAGAAGGAATTATGACTGACGGTTGTTCAGTGGCTTGTGTGTGTGACCTCATACTCTTTCTGACTCCAGACGCAGACAAGGAGGAGGCCGGGCTGATGCAGGAATGGTTTAACCTGGTTCACGACAAGAACAGCCTGGTCCGATACGAGTCCGAACTCATGGTGCGGTGAGTATCAGCAATCGCGGCAGACCTTGTGATGATGTTGCTGGTTGTGATGATGTTGCTGGTTGTGACGATGTTGATGTTGTGATGATGTTGCTGGTTGTGACAATGTTGATGGTTGTGATGATGTTGCTAGCTGTGATGATGTTAATGGTTGTGGTGATGTTGCTGGTTGTGAAGATGTTGTTGGTTGTGATGATGTTGATGGTTGTGACGATGTTGATGTTGCTGGTTGTGACAATGTTGCTGGTTGTGAAGATGTTGATGGTTGTGACGATGTTGATGGTTGTGACGATGTTGATGGTTGCGACGATGTTGATGGTTGTGATGATGTTGATGGTTGCGACGATGTTGATGATGCTGGTTGTGATGATGTTGATGGTTGTGATGAAGTTGATGTTGCTGGTTGTGACAATGTCGCTGGTTGTGACGATGTTGCTGGTTGTGATGATGTTGCCCGGTTGCGACGATGTTGATGGTTGTGATGATGTTGATGGTTGCGACGATGTTGATGATGCTGGTTGTGATGATGTTGATGGTTGTGATGAAGTTGATGTTGCTGGTTGTGACAATGTCGCTGGTTGTGACGATGTTGCTGGTTGTGATGATGTTGATGTTGTGACGATGTTGCTGGTTGTGACAATGTTGCTGATTGTGATGATGTTGCTGGTTGTGATGATGTTGATGTTGTGACGATGTTGCTGGTTGTGATGATGTTGCTGGTTGTGGTGATGTTGATGTTGTGACGATGTTGCTGGTTGTGACGATTTTGCTGGTTGTGATGATGTTGATGGTTGTGACGATGTTGATGTTTGTTGTAGGGCCAAAGAGCTGGAACTGGAGGACCGCCAGGCGCGTCTGGAGAACCAGCTCCGGGAGAGGATGAACTCAGGAGGTACAGTGACATACAGTTGTATTCATACCCTAGCTTCCCTCTACATGTAGTCCACATAGGAAAAGAAACTGTGCGGCAGGGCTTATGTATCAAACTCATAATTCATACAAACACATTTATTCAATCCAAGATCGTAACTGTATTGTGTTTCTTCGGATGAATACAAGCCTCGTAAAGAAGGTTTTGGTTTAAACAAAACCAGATTTACATATCCTGCCTTGCCAGTTTTGTGTTGTGTACACAAGATTGTTAAATGATTGGCTGTTGTCAATTGATTGTATGATACAGCAAACTTCAGGGTACAGGAACCTGTGACTGTTCCATGTCACTGTTTAGGAATATGATATCTGGAGACCTTTCACAGATGCGACCAACCATCAGATGAGGGACCTTATGGGTGAAAAATCACAGTTTGACTTTTCATTATAGTGTGAAACTACAGCATCTTTGGAGTGAGTGAGTGAGTGAGTTGGGTTTAACCCCGCTTTTAACAATATTCCAGTTATATCGCGGCGTGTCAGCTTAATGTGGGAGGAAAGCCCGAAGTGATGCAGGTCTCAGACGTTTACCACTTCGGTGAAACCCACGAGCACGAGTATGGTGCTGACAAACCTAGAAACATAATCGGAGCGAACCGGGATTCGAACCCACAATCATAGGTTTCTGGCATGCCCAAGGGACACAACTCTGCACAGCGAATCGCGGCGCCTTAGACGACTGGGCCACCCGTGGCCCCCAGCATCTTTGGAACACAAAACTACAATTCACAAGCTTCAATTCATACATACTACACAGATACATGACATCACACATGCTAACTAAGTAAGTTGACGTCAAACATCTTTATGACGTCACAGCTCAGTTGTGTCCTAGCACTCATAAGGTCCTTTTTCTACTGAGGTTAAAATGATGTTTTATATAGGACCATCCAAATCTTTGATATTACTATAAATATTAGTATTACTAATAATATGAAAGAATAGGGTGGTCCTTAACTCTTTTGAGTAGTATATATCAGCACAGTTACTTTTCTACTCTTAAGCCTTGATATGTAATCCGTAGGGCTAGGAGGACTGGCTAGAGGACCTTGGCTGATATCTCCACCAGGGTCAATAAGAGCATGATCTTGTAGCTGTCTCTCTCTACTGAATAACTCTTCCTGCTAAGAATAGCTACACGCACTGGAGAACAATATCTGTAGGCAAAGTTGTGTCATGAAACAGAAAGTTAATTTATATGAAATTAGTTGTCCATTTGTTAGTACTGTGTAGGGTTTATACTAAAACTATGTTGTCTGTGATTAAATACTCCACTTCTATTGTGAATGTAGAGCACTGTTTTTACTAATGGGCAGATTTGTCCAGAGTGTTTGATCCTGTGGTCCAACTCCTCCCAGTGCAGGTCAGGAGAAGGTATAGAGCAGAGGCATGTTCCCCCTTTCTTTCCTGAGGCATGCTCTTGCACCATGTTGAGTTCCCCGTAGTTGCTTTGTTGCTGTAGCACCAGACACACTTGTAGAGGACTCGGTGTTCAGGGTAACCATGGGATTACCCACGGTAACCACGGTATTGCACTAAGCAAACACAAAATCCGTGTTCACACACTCACAATGGTACAATAGGGGAATCCTTTACTGGTGTCGAAGTACATGGTATCAGTCCCTTCCAGATATCTATATACACAAGGTCGGTACCTTACCGATGTCCATATACACGAGGTTGGTACCTTACCGATGTCCATATACACGATGTCAGTCCCTTCCTCGTGTCTACATACACGATGTCAGTCCCTCCCCGGTGTCCACATACACGATGTCAGTCCCTTCCCCGTGTCCACATACACGATGTCAGTCCCTTCCCCGTGTCTACATACACCATGTCAGTCCCTTCCCCGTGTCCACATACACAATGTCAGTCCCTTCCCCGTGTCCACATACACGATGTCAGTCCCTTCCCCGTGTCCACATACACAATGTCAGTCCCTTCCAGATGTCCATATACACAATGTCAGTCCCTTCCCGGTGTCCACATACACAATGTCAGTCCCTTCCCGGTGTCTACATACACAATGTCAGTCCCTTCCCGGTGTCTACATACACGATGTCAGTCCCTTCCCGGTGTCCACATACACGATGTCAGTCCCTTCCCCGTGTCCACATACACGATGTCAGTCCCTTCCCCGTGTCCACATACACGATGTCAGTCCCTTCCCCGTGTCCACATACACAATGTCAGTCCCTTCCAGATGTCCACATACACAATGTCAGTCCCTTCCAGATGTCCATATACACGATGTCAGTCCCTTCCCCGTGTCCACATACACGATGTCAGTCCCTTGTGTTGTTCTCAGAACAATAGGGATCTTATACATTTCTAAAATCAGTTATGAGTCCAGTGTGTGTGTGCGTGCATCTGTGGAGAATTATCAACACCTGAGGCAGGCATCACCAGGCCCTGTCTCCGTTTCCCAGATTGAGTGTAGTCATGTAGCATGTTGTGTGTACTAACTGCAGATCTGGACAAGTCTGATGCAGAGATCATTGATGAGAAGAACATCCTTGACGAGCTGCTGGAAGTGGTGGAGCAGCGAGACAGCCTGGTGGCCATGTTGGAGGAAGACAGGCTCAGGTACACACAGGAGAGCTGGGCAGGGGAGATAACTCACCAGGCAAACAGCCTGAGACTCACTGTGATCATTTTATGTTTCGAAAACATAAAATGACAATGGATATATATATAATATCTGAGGTTTACTGTTCATTTAAGTCATACTGCCCATTGTCAACTGGTAATGAATCATTTTGCTTTTCCCTTCCGCTAATTCTGTGCATGGCATGGTGGTTTGTGCATGATGTGTCGTCACTCTGACTGACACTAGATTCAACCAGGAATAGAACATACTGAACCCGCCTGTACTCAGGGGTCATGTGACTTATTGTGTTTCCCGTGTCTGCTCTACACATAATAGCTTTTATGTTTTTAGCTCACCTGACTGAAAGTCAAGTGAGCTTATGTCAGGGCCTGTTTATCTGGTGTCTGACATGTGTCGCAAGCATCTTCTTTCTCAAAACCTTCAGGGCCAATAAAGATTCACTTGCGTGTTCCCACCGTTGATGACACCCTGATCTGTTTAAGCAGTTCAAATCCGCAACAGCAGCCTTAATGTTTTGTATATTTGTAGTCACTTATAGGGCTCAACATATATGTTCCGCTTTCCATGACCTTTTTTTTTTACCTTTGCTCTTGGACCACACTCCAAAATGTTGCCAGATTGCATTTCCTTGCACTGTAGACCGTCGACTGAAGAAGCTGAAACCTCACTTACTTGTTATGATAGCAGCTGAATCTATTCAAGAGGTTCAAATCCGATTTTCAATATGGCCACCATGGCAGTTATTTTAAGAAAACTATTTATGGATGCTATTCAGCTACGTCTGTAGTTAGTCTCCAAAATGTTCTGACAATATTCTGATTTAATTCTGAAAATTGTTGTAAATATGACTTCTTTTTTTCTCTTATCTAAATTTGAATGTGTCAGAAATATATCAGGTGAGCTACAGAGCCCCTGCTCTCTTTTCTGTTAAGTTGATTCATAGAATAACCTATAACTAACCTGTCATACATCAGTATAACAGCAGTTTGCTTTTCTTCATTTTTTGTGTGGCAATTAGATCACATGCCTCCATTTCATTCTTAGAATTTCTTTGACCAAAAAGATGTGCATGTGCAAAGCTGACGTTGAGTTGTCTCTTGACTTGCTTGAGGAGATACGTCCAGAGCAAATAACCACAGAGTTACATCAATCATAACAAATAATCAATCACTCATCATCATGGACCTGTTATGTGGAGAGGTCTTGGGAATAACAGGGCGTTATTACACATGCAACATGGGTAGTATCACTGGTTATCAGAGGTCTAGGGAATAACAGGGCATTATTACACATGCAACATGGATAGTATCACTGGTTATCAGAGGTCTAGGGAATAACAGGGCATTATTACACATGCAACATGGGTAGTATCACTGGTTATCAGAGGTCTAGGGAATAACAGGGCATTATTACACATGCAACATGGGTAGTATCACTGGTTATCAGAGGTCTAGGGAATAACAGGGCATTATTACACATGCAACATGGATAGTATCATTGGTTATCAGAGGTCTAGGGAATAACAGGGCATTATTACACATGCAACATGGGTAGTATCACTGGTTATCAGAGGTCTAGGGAATAACAGGGCATTATTACACATGCAACATGGGTAGTATCACTGGTTATCAGAGGTCTAGGGAATAACAGGGCATTATTACACATGCAACATGGGTAGTATCACTGGTTATCAGAGGTCTAGGGAATAACAGGGCATTATTACACATGCAACATGGGTAGTATCACTGGTTATCAGAGGTCTAGGGAATAACAGGGCATTATTACACATGCAACATGGGTAGTATCACTGGTTATCAGAGGTCTAGGGAATAACAGGGCATTATTACACATGCAACATGGGTAGTATCACTGGTTATCAGAGGTCTAGGGAATAACAGGACATTATTACACATGCAACATGGGTAGTATCACTGGTTATCAGAGGTCTAGGGAATAACAGGGCATTATTACACATGCAACATGGGTAGTATCACTGGTTATCAGAGGTCTAGGGAATAACAGGGCATTATTACACATGCAACATGGATAGTATCACTGGTTATCAGAGGTCTAGGGAATAACAGGGCATTATTACACATGCAACATGGGTAGTATCACTGGTTATCAGAGGTCTAGGGAATAACAGGGCATTATTACACATGCAACATGGGTAGTATCACTGGTTATCAGAGGTCTAGGGAATAACAGGGCATTATTACACATGCAACATGGGTAGTATCACTGGTTATCAGAGGTCTAGGGAATAACAGGGCATTATTACACATGCAACATGGGTAGTATCACTGGTTATCAGAGGTCTAGGGAATAACAGGGCATTATTACACATGCAACATGGATAGTATCATTGGTTATCAGAGGTCTGGGGAATAACAGGGCATTATGACACATGCAACATGGATAGTACCATTAGTTATCAGAGGTCTGGGGAATAACATGGCATTATTACTTGTTACATCAACACATGTAACATGGACAGTATCATTGGTTATCAGGGGTCTAGGGAATAACACGGCATTATTACTGGTTACATCAACACATGTAACATGGATAGTATCATTGGTTCTCAGGGGTCTAGGGAATAACACGGCATTATTACTGGTTACATCAACACATGTAACATGGATAGTACCATTGGTTATCAAAGTCTAGGGAATAACACGGCATTATTACTGGTTACAACAACACATGTAACATGGATAGTACCATTGGTTATCAGAGGTCTGGGGAATAACACTGCATTATTACTGGTTACAACAACACATGTAACATGGATAGTACCATTGGTTATCAGAGGTCTGGGAAATAACACGCCAATATTACTGGTTACATCAACACATGTAACATGGACAGTAACATTGGTTATCAAAGTCTAGGGGAATAACACGGCATTATTACTGGTTACATCAACACATGTAACATGGATAGTAACATTGGTTATCGAAGTCTAGGGAATAACAGGGCATTATTACTGGTTACATCAACACATGTAACATGGATAGTACCATTGGTTATCAGAGGTCTGGGAAATAACACGCCATTATTACTGGTTACATCAACACATGTAACATTGATAGTACCATTGGTTATCAGAGGTCTGGGAATAACATGGCATTTTTACTGGTTACATCAACACATGTAACGTGGATAGTACCATTGGTTATCAGAGGTCTGGGAAATAACACGCCAATATTACTGGTTACATCAACACATGTAACATGGACAGTAACATTGGTTATCAAAGTCTAGGGGAATAACACGGCATTATTACTGGTTACATCAACACATGTAACATGGATAGTACCATTGGTTATCAAAGTCTAGGGAATAACACGGCGTTATTACTGGTTACATCAACACATGTAACATGGATAGTACCATTGGTTATCAAAGTCTAGGGAATAACACGGCATTATTACTGGTTACATCAACACATGTAACATGGATAGTACCATTGGTTATCAAAGTCTAGGGAATAACACGGCATTATTAGTGGTTACATCAACACATGTAACATGGATAGTACCATTGGTTATCAAAGTCTAGGGTATAACACGGCATTATTACTGGTTACATCAACACATGTAACATGGATAGTACCATTGGTTATCAAAGTCTAGGGAGTAACACGGCATTATTACTGGTTACATCAACACATGTAACATGGATAGTACCATTGGTTATCAGAAGTCTAGGGAATAACACTGCATTATTACTGAATAAATCAACACATGGAACTGAGGGTGGTTATAAGCAATTAGCCACAGTCTCTGAACTAAGACAATACTGAGGTTTGTATGTCATGACTTTTGAAAGGCAAGGTTTGCTAGTGTATGGTTGTATAGTTTAATAATCTTCCTTCTAAAAGAAACAGAGTGATTAGGGAATACTGTGAACATGCTGTTTGAATTGTAAACCTCATCAGAGCTTAGGGTTTTAAATAACTATTCACTCAGGTTGGTTTATATGTCAGTATAAGCAATATGTTTTTCCAGATAGTAATGTAGTCTTTAAGTGATGTTGTCTGTCAAGCCTGTCAGAGACACATGGTTGAACTCTCTCACTTCTTTCGGTTTCAGAGAGCAAGAAGAAGACAAAGACCTAGAGGAAGTAATGTTGAAGAAGGGCTTCGCGTTGTCCCCCATCTGTGTGCCGGAGAGTGAGAAGTTGGAAGTCTCCTGATCCACGTTATAGCTCCCTATAGCCTGCCTCAAGTCCCACAGGGCAACCCAGCCAGTTGTACTCATAACTCATTGAAGTCCTCCTAGTTCAGTAGAACACTACAATACAACCCACAGTTGTTGTACTCATGGCACGACTCAGTGCTTAACTCCTGATGCCAGACTGGCATTACAAACGTAGTCTGGAGAGCCGCTTGCTTTACAAACGATAGTGGTCAGGAGAGCCGCTTGCTTTACAAACGATAGTGGTGCTGTATGGACGCTTGTGTAGATGTTCAAGCAGCGATCTATAAGCAACGCCGTCATCGATGCATTTATCTTCTATATGCAGTTGTACCACTAGACTAGCTGTCCTCACTCCAGGACTGATGTGAGGTGTTTTCTACCTACATGTGATATTGCTGTTTATCCCCCGATTCCTTGTATCATATGTGGATCATGCATTCCCCGTGTTCAGGTGGTGACGAAAGGGTTAATTATTGTAATTATTGTATTTTGTTACCATGGTAACATGCATTGTTAGAACCCCTTGCTTCAGCATTAGCATGTGTGTTTAAAGTTAGATGTGTCAATAATCACATGCCGTTATGAAGCAACAGTCAGCATGAATCTCTTGTAAGCCGACACTGAACTCCAGCATCGTGTGTGTCCAGCTAGATCCATCATTACCAATGTGAAACACAGGTCTCTATACCACGAATCTCTTGTGCGGTATACATCTGGGCTATTGCCCCAGACTTAAATGTTTGAGTTGTCATGGGTGTGTCAACACACTCTCTCCATGTTGTTAGGAACTTAGGAACGTATTTCTTTGCCGATCTCCCTGAGATTGGTAACCTAACAGTGATTTAGCTACATCAACACTGCTCTAAATAGCCTGACTGTACTGCCTGTATCAACACAAGTTCCTCATGTTAATGTTGTCTTCAACACATCAATTATTACTGATTCTTGTACCGACACTAGGCTCTACCAGGTTCCACAAGACACAAGATTGATGCTGAACCCTGAGCAGCTGTTGAAGCAGAAGAAAGATTGTCTACCGCTGGGATATGGAAGCACCTTTTTTTGCCCTGAACTTGTACAAGATTTATTTTGGGGTACACGAACCATTGTTCACATTGTTCACATTAACAGAGCTACAGATAATCTGCGTATCTGCGTATCTGCGTATCTGCGTAAAATACCCCCCCAAAATGTTCAAAACCCAATTACTTTCAATCAACTTTTGTACAGAAACGCATGCATTAAATGAAAAACTCAAATGTATAAAAACACCATGTGTAAATACCCGATAAAGCTTTTTCAACATGTGTACAACCGGGCTAATTTATTTTCCGAGTCAAGCCTATAAAGTTAGAACTGTTATATACATCTAAAACATTATTATTATTTTTTTTAATCATAAAATATTTACTTATTTTGGGAAAAAACAAATAGAGTGATGAATAGATGAGGGAAAAAATCATGGTTACCCAATGAAAAATGTAATAACCAAATTAAAATAGAAACCTTTGAGTAAAAAACTCAATTGCTCAGAAAGTTATCAGGAGCTCTGCATTAATATGAGGAAGTAAAAGCATGTGTACTGTTCATGTTTCTGCTATGAAGACCCACTGCGCTATACAGCTTGTATGTAGCCTGGCTGTGGTCCACCATGTATATCCCTGAGGCATTCTTGTTACTTACAGCATGTGTACTGTTCATGTTTCTGCTATGAAGACCCACTGCGCTATACAGCTTGTACGTAGCCTGGCTGTGGTCCACCATGTCTATCCCTGAGGCATTCTTGTTACTTACAGCATGTGTACTGTTCATGTTTCTGCTATGAAGACCCACTGCGCTATACAGCTTGGACGTAGCCTGGCTGTGGTCCACCATGTCTATCCCTGAGGCATTCTTGTTACTTACAGCATGTGTACTGTTCATGTTTCTGCTATGAAGACCCTCTACGCTATACAGCTTGGACGTAGCCTGGCTGTGGTCCACCATGTATATCCCTGAGGCATTCTTGTTCCTTACAGCATGATGTAACACAGATCAGAAGATTGGAGAACAGGAATATTGACAGGAAGGTCTCCTTGCCCTGTAAAATTATCTTCAGTGGACTGTTGCTTGTATGCAGGTGCTCCGCCCGGCCCCACCCCACGCTGGGGGCTGGCAGGCTGGTCTCTCATATGGCTTCAGCATTTTTTGATGAACTTGCACAAGAGACCTTCTGTTTGCTAAATGGAACTTGTTTCTTTTCTCAGCATTAAACTGAATACCGTGAGGATGAATCTCAGATTGTGTCATGTAAATGACATGTGAGTTCCTATGTGATGACCACTCTTGAAGTTTGCTGACATTGCACATTGTCGATGTGGGTGAAGTTTACTTTGCACATGGCATGTTAATTTGGATTTGATAGATATTTGAAATACATGTAAACTCTATCTGTGTCAGTTGTAGCTGGAGTATGATGACTGGTTGTAGTATTTCATATTGGTTGTTCCCTTGCTCATCTGAGATGACAGCTGTTTAACTTTAAGTTAACACCAAAGATATTTCCTATCGCATCATTGACCTCAATCTCATATCATTTTAGTATTTAAAGTTTTAACAGCAGAATTTTTAATTTATGTGCATAAAGGATTTATTTACAAGTAGATCACATACATGCTTCAATGTCACATGAAGTGCATCGATGTGTATTTATTCACACATGTATTCAAGATGTCCATCAACTGTAACCATGGTAACTGGTCTGGTCACAACTTCATCCAACCAGGACCACTCATGTCACACTAATTACACACTTGATTTATTCAGCAACTTAGAAAAGTATTCAAGTAAAAGAACCAATGTTAAGAACAAAGAATGTGTATTCTAGATATTGTCAAGACCAATTGTTGGCCCTGTTGATTGTGTGTCTGTGCCGATGGAGTGTGTGTGTCCTATGGTGTGGCCCTGTGACTGGTGCTACTATCTCCACACCTCACGCTGCGTGTGCAACGTTATTATCACCATCTTGGCGAGGCAAGGGCGTTAACTGACTGTAAAAGTCCTGTTTCCACCCTTGCTGAACTAGGCTGGAATTTCTGTACTCAATCGGAGCACCACCAGTGGCTGTTACGAGTTATGTTCCTTCTATGTCCTTCCTCTTGACAAATCAGATTCCACCTCTCACATCACTTTTATTTGCTTTAAACAAAATGGTGGCGCCCAGGTAAGACGATCTGATCGATAATCAAAATGTATGTTGTGATAAAATTTGTCTTTCTTCCCAAAGTGCAACATGAAAAGATTTGGAAAATACCTGTTGATGCCGAATTGGCAGTACACATGCTTTGCAAATCCTGCAAGGGACCAAATTCTGTATGACAGTTTACTAACCGGATGTTGACTTCGTAACGCAATTTTGATTGGACATAGACTCGTTAGTCCAGACAAAATAAGACTCCATAATTGCAGCCTAGTTCAGCAAGGGTGGAAACTGGACTTTTGGTATTTGACATTGTGTACATTGATGTGGCCCCACTCTATAGAAGTTGACAGTGGTTCATCGTTGCCATCACCTGTGTTTGTAGGTTGACACTGTGTACATCGTTGCCATCACCTGTGTTTGTAGGTTGACACTGTGTACATCGTTGCCATCACCTGTGTTTGTAGATTGACACTGTGTACATCGTTGCCATCACCTGTGTTTGTAGATTGACACTATGTACATCGTTGCCATCACCTGTGTTTGTAGGTTGACAGTGTGTACATCGATGCCATCACCTGTGTTTGTAGGTTGACACTGTGTACATCGTTGCCATCACCTGTGTTTGTAGATTGACACTGTGTACATCGTTGCCATCACCTGTGTTTGTAGATTGACACTATGTACATCGTTGCCATCACCTGTGTTTGTAGATTGACACTATGTACATCGTTGCCATCACCTGTGTTTGTAGATTGACACTATGTACATCGTTGCCATCACCTGTGTTTGTAGATTGACACTATGTATGCCTCTAGCAAAATTAATGTTGTGCTGTCCCTTTTTTTCTGAGGAATTTCACATGCAATTTCTGTGATGCAAAGCTTCAATGATATTAGGTCATCCCTGTAAATGTACTGTTATATGAACTGGTTCAGACTAACAGCCAATGGTTCCTTTTGAACATGTTACTTTGTGGTTATTTTTTAAGGGTATTTATCTCATATGTTTGGTTGTATTTCAGAATATTATTTTGAGCGAGACTCCGAGGTACGAGAGCCTCAATGCTTGTTGTGTGTATAAACCTGTGTACATATACGTCCCGGACTGCGTCCACTCGTGTATAGCCTGCTTCCTTGTTCAGTGTATATATACAAGCATATTGTTGTCAGCTATTATTTATGTTGTTGTTGAAAGAATCAAGATTCCTGTCCATTTGTCTGTCCATATTACAGTGTCCCACTACCGTGGTTACATAGATCTCATGTCAGCACAATCATTAATCCAGCTGCTGCTTCACGCGACTCCAGTCTGTCCCTCCCATGCTATTCTCTACACGTCCACCTCTTCTCATCACGTGAGGGGCGGTCGGGTAGCCTAGTGGTTAAAGCGTTTGCTCGTCACGCCGAAGACCCGGGTTCGATTCCCGACATGGGTTCAATGTGTGAAGCCCATTTCTGGTGTCCCCTGCCGTGATATTGCTGGAATATTGCTAAAAGCGGCGTAAAGCCATACTCACTCACTCACTCACTCATCACGTGACTCGAGTCTGTCCCTGCCATGCTATTCTCTACACGTCCACCTCTTCTCATCACGTGACTCCAGTCTGTCCCTGCCATGCTATTCTCTACACGTCCACCTCTTCTCATCACGTGACTCGAGTCTGTCCCTGCCATGCTATTCTCTACACGTCCACCTCTTCTCATCACGTGACTCCAGTCTGTCCCTGCCATGCTATTCTCTACACGTCCACCTCTTCTCATCACGTGACTCCAGTCTGTCCCTGCCATGCTATTCTCTACACGTCCACCTCTTCTCATCACGTGACTCCAGTCTGTCCTTGCCATGCTATTCTCTACACGTCCACCTCTTCTCATCACGTGACTCCAGTCTGTCCCTGCCATGCTATTCTCTACACGTCCACCTCTTCTCATCACGTGACTCGAGTCTGTCCCTCCCATGCTATTCTCTACACGTCCACCTCTTCTCATCACGTGACTCCAGTCTGTCCCTGCCATGCTATTCTCTACACGTCCACCTCTTCTCATCACGTGACTCCAGTCTGTCCCTGCCATGCTATTCTCTACACGTCCACCTCTTCTTATCACGTGACTCTAGTCTGTCCCTGCCATGCTATTCTCTACATGTCCACCTCTTCTCATCATGTGACTCGAGTCTGTCCCTGCCATGCTATTCTCTACACGTCCACCTCTTCTCATCATGGGACTCGAGTCTGTCCCTGCCATGCTATTCTCTACACGTCCACCTCTTCTCATCACGTGACTCCAGTCTGTCCCTGCCATGCTATTCTCTACACGTCCACCTCTTCTCATCACGTGACTCGAGTCTGTCCCTGCCATGCTATTCTCTACACGTCCACCTCTTCTCATCACGTGACTCCAGTCTGTCCCTGCCATGCTATTCTCTACACGTCCACCTCTTCTCATCATGGGACTCGAGTCTGTCCCTGCCATGCTATTCTCTACACGTCCACCTCTTCTCATCACGTGACTCCAGTCTGTCCCTGCCATGCTATTCTCTACACGTCCACCTCTTCTCATCACTTGACTCGAGTCTGTCATTGTGCTGCTGGTGTCTGCGAGTCTCTCTCACAAACCTAGCCACCTAGGACCAATGCACTGATGACCAGTAAACTGCTCAACCTCCTATGCTTTACCGCTTTCTAAGTGCATCAATCTCTTTTAACTAACTCTCAGGCTCATGCTTTAAACATTTGCCATGATCTATGTGCAATTCATGAAACACTCACTTGTTGTCCCGCGCTGCATGAAGTGGTGTCAAAACGTTCTTTTTGTCACTAAGCACATTCATCCATCCTTAAGGTTCTTCCTAGTTACATTCAGTGTGAACAAATGATAGGCATCTTCCATAAGATCTTGGTAAGGATATGGCATTAATTCCATGTTCATCAATTTATGTTGGTATCACTTCTTTTTTATCAATGTAATATGGCCAGTATTTGTGAAGAACTGAATTAGTTCTATTGTAATTATATTACCACTTCTTACCACTTTGTAGAAATGTAAACATACACATCGATATTTATGTGTTATTTTCAGGTTTCAAAATAATTGTTATTTGCATCAAATTCTCAATGTCCAAGATGCTTGAAATGAGTAACAGATCCCATACAGGTTGAGTGAGAGTTGTCTCCCCTTTGATCTACAGGCCGCATTATGACTGGTCCTGCTAGTCTGTTCTGTGTGTGTGTGATGTGTCTGTAGATACTCCAGCCAGTGATGTCACAAGGAAGATATTGACAAGTATTCACTGGTCATGCAGGAACTCACATTGAGCTCACGTAAAGAGAGGATATATGTTTTGTTTGTGTTTTGTCAACCACTTTGTTACGTGATACAATGTAATTGAGCGACTTCCCTTCGAAGGTCTACTGTCTCTGTAAGTTACTCCTATGTTAAGCTGTAGTTAGAAAGTGAAAGCAATAATTGTATTATTACTGATGTGAGTGAATGTTGTTTTGTTGTATCACGACAAGTGTTATCCGGGCAAACAAATCATGTGTCAGTCCTCCGCCACATGTTGTGATGGGATTTCCCGTATTCTGCTTCTGTGGCGACTTGTGCACTGAGTGCAACATACACCATGTGTGCTGGGCTCCTCATATGCACTTACATGCATTGTCACTGCACTCCCTGATGACGTAGTCCACACCGGAAACGTCATGGGTGTCCTGTTACTAAGTAAGCTAGCTGAAGGTTGCACAGTGTCATGTTGTTGCTGCCATCGTGTCATGTCATGCTGGTTGCTACCCTCGTGTCGTGTCATGCTGGTTACTGCCATCGTGTCGTGTCGTGTCATGCTGGTTGCTACCCTTGTGTCATGTCATGCTGGTTGCTGCCATCGTGTCGTGTCATGCTGGTTGCTACCCTCGTGTCATGTCATGGTGGTTGCTGCCATCGTGTCGTGTCATGCTGGTTGCTGCACAAGACCCTGTGTGTTGATTAAGGGGAACATTTGTGTTCGTAAACTATGCCAGAACAAGTAGTGTGATCAAATCCCAGATTTTCCCCAAATATAATCCTTGATTCTGACCGCCACACCAATACTCCATGTTTCCTCCAAATTGGGCTGTTGGCCCACATAAGCTGACACACCATTTGGATGTTCCAAGCTGCATTAAGCCCAACTCATTTGCCAGATGTCAACAGTCTTTATGTGGGATGTCAGTTTATTATTAGAACTAATATATTGTTAACATTTTTCACTCCTTGAATAAGAACGCTTTTTCTGTTCCGTTGACATGATACAGCTGTGAATGTGGTTCTCACCCTAATTGGCTGCACTGACGTCAGTTTAGATGAATACAGCGAGGAAATGTGTTGTGCAAGATGGCCATTGGTCCTGCGAACAGTGGTTGAATTGCACACCGCAGTCTGTCATTGATCAACTGTTGGTTGACTGGTTGAATTGTACACTGCAGTCTGTCATTGATCAACTATTGGTTGAATTGCACACTGCAGTCTGTCATTGATCAACTGTTGGTTGAATTGTACACTGCAGTCTGTCATTGATCAGCTATTGGTTGAATTGCACACTGCAGTCTGTCATTGATCAACTATTGGTTGACAGTGGTTGAATTGTACACTGCTCTTGGTGAGAGAGTGGTTGTACCGTGTTTTGTTGGTGATTGTGGAGTGTGGCTGGCTTTGTTGTTGGGTTTTCTCCAGCCAGTAGCAGCGCTGTTCATGTAGGGCACCATGTTGTTGAGTTGTTCATGTTTTCAGTGTTCTGAAGTTGATAAAAGTTGTTAATATTCTCAAATATTTTATTAATACCAAATCCTAAGCCTACTTTGTTTAGAATACTATCAGATATATTTCTGACAGTGGCTAGTAATGGACATGTACACCAGCAGCAATAGGGATATTTTTGTATATTAACTTTTGTAAAATATTGGCAGTGTTCATGTCATATCATTTTGAGCAAGTGTTCACTCATAGTTGGTTGCTTAATAGCCTGCAGACATGAACCTCCTTTCTTTGACAATGAGTTCTTCCCAGAACAATCTGCCAGCATTATTGTAGAGCTTTGTTGTTGGTAGTGGGGTAATTATTACCTATTGTTTTGAGACATATACAAGCTTTGTATCCAATAGATAGATGTTTAGTCTGAAGTCTAGCTATATGTTTGTATAGCACCTAGACATTGGTTCTGGATGGTAATGTATTGTTGAAAGTAGGATCGAATCAAAAATGAAAAAGATGTGTAAATTATCAACTGAAATCGATTCCAACACATCCTCAGCAATGACATACGTAACAAATAGAACCTCCCTTAGTCATTTTTCAGTTTACGCCATTTCTATTCATTCATATTTATTTTGAAAACATGAAGATCAACCCAGTACCTTCATGTCTCCCTGAGACAGTGTTGTCCGCGTTGGACTGCAAACATCTACCTGGACTTCAGCCAGTGTGAGTACTGTAGGATAATGTGTGTCAAGTTTTGTACAGGTCTTCACAACAAGGCGCCATATAACCATTTGCCTGCATATCACCCTTGAGATTAATTGTTTCTAGTCATTTGCCCTGCTTTGCCTCTTGCTGAGCAGCAGTAACTTAGCATTGCTGTGGCCTTGACCTACAGGTGTTAGTAACCTAGAAACGCTGTGGCTTTGACCTACAGGTGTTAGTTACCAAGCAATGCTATGGCCTTGACCTACAGCTATCAGTAACCTAGCAACGCCATGGCCTTGACCCACAGCTGTCAGTGTTGCTCTTTGTGGGATATGACTGTTCTCTGCTTCATGGCTGGTGTCATTTGACTAAAATTATTTTGTTTCTTTGTTTGGATAATGTGAGGCTGGGTGATGACCAAGGAGATATTGGACTGCTTCTCTGCAGGTCACAGTATTGGGACACTAGTATCTCTTACCAAAGTGGGGCGGTCGGGTAGCCTAGTGGTTAAAGCGTTCACTCGCCACGCCGAAGACCCGGGTTCGATTCCTGACATGGGTACAATGTGTGAAGCCCATTTCAGGTGTCCCCCACCGTGATATTGCTGGAAATATTGCTAAAAGCGGCGTAAAACCATACTCACTCACTCACTCTTACCAAAGTAGGGTTTTGGATACAAACAGTAACAATTATACATTCTCAATAAGACTCAATAAGAAAAGAAAATTCACGCCAGAACTAACTGAAAGGACTGATAAGCAAGAACAGTTATAAACCTTGACTGTGATAAGATAACTCTATACATATAATGATGGGTATGTACATTCTTCACATTTCTTGTACAAAGCTGAGTTTGAGTTCAAAACAATTTCTTGAAAATTCAAGAAAATAATTATCGTGTTTCCTGTCATATTTTTTTCCCATGATAATGAAGCCGTGGCTGGTGCATTGTAAAACATTTCCTTTTTCAAGTGAATAGCAGAATTATTTACACATTACATCGTAATATTTGATACATTAAGTGAATGTTCTCCATCCTCCGTCATACATGTGCTCAGTACCTCAGATTGTCAATTGTCCAGTCTCCAAGTTTACATCATTTCCTGCCTGTTTAAATGTTGAAGATGACACTGCCTCAAAGTGTACGGCAACAATCTCATTTTTAAACTGTTTTCTGTGTTTCTCACTGTCTGTGTGAATTGTGATTATTTCGTGGGGTAAGTGGACGAGGTCAAGGATAGCCTGTGTCCACGAGTACATCGAGGAAACTCCAGCTCTTGCGGAATATATCAATAAAACTAAGTACTCAGTTGGTTGTTTGTCCTTTATACCTGAGCCATCATTAGCAACGAGCACAGGTGCCCCAGCAGCGTACGAACCTGGGCAGGGTTGCATCCCTTAGTTTCCAGGACCAATGAAGATCCGGGGTAGAATAGGTCATGCTTGTCGTAAAAGGCAACTTACAGGATCAGGTGGTTAGGCTCACTCACTTGGTTGATGCATGTCATCGTATCCCAATTGCGATCGATGCTCATGATGTCAATCACTCGATTGTCTGGTCAAGACCGCCATATAGCTGGAATATTGCTGAGTGTGGGGTTAATCAACAAACAAACAAAGTTTCCAGGATCCGCTGATCATGAGGTTGAACCTGAGATGACTGCCTTGGTTTGTAGGAGTGGTCCAAGTGGTCCATGGTTCCTCAACACATGCACAGTAGCCCTGACAACGCCGCCTCCATGGTCCAGTGGGAATTCTGCCCGGAGAATGAGAGGTCGGGGGTTCGATCTCCAGCAGTATAATACAAAAAGATGTTAAAAGATGGTACTTGTTGTTACCCTGTCTGGCGCAGTAAGGGGCTAAAACAAGGATTGGCTGGCCCTGAGTCAGTACTCTGTGTCTGAGTTGGGTATCCATGTTAAATTGTGACATGGTATCTCAGTGGGGTAGCACTTGTTATTGTAAGTGCAATAATCCTGAACACGACCTCCAATATCCCTGCCATAGTTCCAAATTCCTGGGATTCCAGGTTAGAATATGTTCTTCCGCAACATGCACTTTTGTAAGAGGTGACTAAATAAATCGGGTGGTCAGGCTTGATGACTGAGTTCATTGACTGATTATGCTTCAAGGTTTGTCGACACCAAAGCTGTGCTTGCAGGTTTCACCAAAACGGTAAATGTCAGAGACCTGCATCATTTCCAGCTTTCCTCCCACATCAAACTGACACAGCGTGATACCTCAAATCTTCAAATACCTCCACACAACACATAACAGACACACTGATGCCTTTAGCTCATTAACAATATATTACTTTGTGTTTGTTGTTTTCACAGACCACCCCATGGATACGATGTGACAGTTTCTACCGGGAATACCACAGTGGGGAAGAAAAGTGACATTGATCAACGTATAAGATAACAGCACATGTTCACTAACAAAAGCAATACAAATCCCTCTTTAACTATAATCGTGTAGAAATCTTCCATAACCCATTGTTTCTATATTTAAAAGTCTCGGTGACAAAATGCATAACTCAGAAAATAGTGATTTTTGCTTCCTCATACAAACTGTCATACGTATGGGAAATGTGACCCGCGAGGGGACCACATGGTCGATCATCGTTTAGGAAATAAAATTGAATGATTAATTTTTGTGTCCAATATGAGTGAAAAAACAATTAAATGACAATGCACAACATTGTCCGATTTGAAGCTATTCAGTTCATTTCTTGGAGGGATGATTTCGGTGTGATGACATTGTAGATTATGAATCCACTCTGAAGTCAATACCGACCAGGTGGCCCCTTTACTAAAAGCTTTCCCCATATCTAAAGTGCCATGTGACAACAGTGTGGGATGGTCGCTATAGTATCCAAGTAGGCTGGACTATCCGTAGACTGTGTGAAGGTGACCAACAATTCTGAACCAGAGATATTTAGAAGGAAACATACAATACAAAACAAATAAATAGAACTTGTATCACAAAACCTAATCGTTTGGTCCCCCTCAGTGCCATAACGTCTCAGTATTGACTTGGTCCTGTCTTGGATGTTGCAAGCACCCATCTGGTCTCCACCCCTCCATTCAAGTAAGAACATGAGGTTCTGTGATCTCTGGCTTCACCTTTGACCTAGCTGAACTCTCGATGAGGTTGACGACGTCAGCAGCGACTGTCTGCAGCCCGTGTACCTCGATCCTCTTCACTATAAATCCTGTCCATGCACAAACAGCGATGGCAATGATTAGCAGCAGCTTGACGAGAGAGAGGAGGAGCGGGGCCGAGGGTACAAGCCCTCCCGACGTCTCCAGGAGATACAGGAGGACGCTCAGCACCAACACCTGGACCTGGCAGACAGAGAGACACTGACCTGTACATAAATGTTTACCCCAGGGGGATTCCAGTAACCTATGCTTGGCATTCCACACACAGCTGTTTACTGACCTGTACATAAACGTTTACCCCATGGGAATTCCAGTAACCTATGCTTGGCATTCCACACACAGCTGTTTACTGACCTGTACATAAACGTTTACCCCATGGGAATTCCAGTAACCTATGCTTGGCATTCCACACACAGCTGTTTACTGACCTGTACATAAACGTTTACCCCAGGGGAATTCCAGTAACCTATGCTTGGCATTCCACACACAGCTGTTTACTGACCTGTACATAAACGTTACCCCCATGGGAATTCCAGTAACCTATGCTTGGCATTCCACACACAGCTGTTTACTGACCTGTACATAAACGTTTACCCCATGGGAATTGCAGTAACCTATGCTTGGCATTCCACACACAGCTGTTTACTGACCTGTACATAAACGTTTACCCCAGGGGAATTGCAGTAACCTATGCTTGGCATTCCACACACAGCTGTTTACTGACCTGTACATAAACGTTTACCCCAGGGGAATTCCAGTAACCTATGCTTGGCATTCCACACACAGCTGTTTACTGACCTGTACATAAACGTTACCCCCATGGGAATTCCAGTAACCTATGCTTGGCATTCCACACACAGCTGTTTACTGACCTGTACATAAACGTTTACCCCAGGGGAATTCCAGTAACCTATGCTTGGCATTCCACACACAGCTGTTTACTGACCTGTACATAAACGTTTACCCCATGGGAATTCCAGTAACCTATGCTTGGCATTCCACACACAGCTGTTTACTGACCTGTACATAAACGTTACCCCCATGGGAATTGCAGTAACCTATGCTTGGCATTCCACACACAGCTGTTTACTGACCTGTACATAAACGTTTACCCCATGGGAATTCCAGTAACCTATGCTTGGCATTCCACACACAGCTGTTTACTGACCTGTACATAAACGTTTACCCCATGGGAATTCCAGTAACCTATGCTTGGCATTCCACACACAGCTGTTTACTGAGCTTATATAAACGTTTACCCCAGGGGAATTGCAGTAACCTATGCTTGGCATTCCACACACAGCTGTTTACTGACCTGTACATAAACGTTTACCCCATGGGAATTCCAGTAACCTATGCTTGGCATTCCACACACAGCTGTTTACTGACCTGTACATAAACGTTTACCCCATGGGAATTCCAGTAACCTATGCTTGGCATTCCACACACAGCTGTTTACTGAGCTTATATAAAAGTTTACCCCATGGGAATTTCCACACACAGCTGTTTACTGACCTGTACATAAACGTTTACCCCATGGGAATTCCAGTAACCTATGCTTGGCATTCCACACACAGCTGTTTACTGACCTGTACATAAACGTTTACCCCATGGGAATTCCAGTAACCTATGCTTGGCATTCCACACACAGCTGTTTACTGAGCTTATATAAACGTTTACCCCAGGGGAATTGCAGTAACCTATGCTTGGCATTCCACACACAGCTGTTTACTGACCTGTACATAAACGTTTACCCCATGGGAATTCCAGTAACCTATGCTTGGCATTCCACACACAGCTGTTTACTGACCTGTACATAAACGTTTACCCCATGGGAATTCCAGTAACCTATGCTTGGCATTCCACACACAGCTGTTTACTGACCTGTACATAAACGTTTACCCCATGGGAATTCCAGTAACCTATGCTTGGCATTCCACACACAGCTGTTTACTGACCTGTACATAAATGTTTACCCCATGGGAATTGCAGTAACCTATGCTTGGCATTCCACACACAGCTGTTTACTGACCTGTACATAAACGTTTACCCCAGGGGAATTGCAGTAACCTATGCTTGGCATTCCACACACAGCTGTTTACTGACCTGTACATAAACGTTTACCCCATGGGAATTCCAGTAACCTATGCTTGGCATTCCACACACAGCTGTTTACTGACCTGTACATAAACGTTTACCCCATGGGAATTCCAGTAACCTATGCTTGGCATTCCACACACAGCTGTTTACTGACCTGTACATAAACGTTTACCCCAGGGGAATTCCAGTAACCTATGCTTGGCATTCCACACACAGCTGTTTACTGACCTGTACATAAACGTTTACCCCATGGGAATTCCAGTAACCTATGCTTGGCATTCCACACACAGCTGTTTACTGACCTGTACATAAACGTTTACCCCAGGGGAATTCCAGTAACCTATGCTTGGCATTCCACACACAGCTGTTTACTGACCTGTACATAAACGTTTACCCCATGGGAATTCCAGTAACCTATGCTTGGCATTCCACACACAGCTGTTTACTGAGCTTATATAAAAGTTTACCCCATGGGAATTTCCACACACAGCTGTTTACTGACCTGTACATAAACGTTTACCCCAAGGGAATTCCAGTAACCTGTGCTTGGCATTCTACACACAGCTGTTTACTGAGCTTTTATAAAAGTTTACCCCATGGGAATTCCAGTAACCTATGCTTGGCATTCCACACACAGCTGTTTACTGAGCTTATATAAAAGTTTACCCCATGGGAATTTCCACACACAGCTGTTTACTGACCTGTACATAAACGTTTACCCCAAGGGAATTCCAGTAACCTGTGCTTGGCATTCTACACACAGCTGTTTACTGAGCTTTTAAAAAAGTTTACCCCATGGGAATTCCAGTAACCTATGCTTGGCATTCCACACACAGCTGTTTACTGAGCTTATATAAAAGTTTACCCCATGGGAATTTCCACACACAGCTGTTTACTGACCTGTACATAAACGTTTACCCCAAGGGAATTCCAGTAACCTGTGCTTGGCATTCTACACACAGCTGTTTACTGAGCTTTTAAAAAAGTTTACCCCATGGGAATTCCAGTAACCTATGCTTGGCATTCCACACACAGCTGTTTACTGAGCTTATATAAAAGTTTACCCCATGGGAATTTCCACACACAGCTGTTTACTGACCTGTACATAAACGTTTACCCCAAGGGAATTCCAGTAACCTGTGCTTGGCATTCTACACACAGCTGTTTACTGAGCTTTTATAAAAGTTTACCCCATGGGAATTCCAGTAACCTATGCTTGGCATTCCACACACAGCTGTTTACTGAGCTTATATAAAAGTTTACCCCATGGGAATTTCCACACACAGCTGTTTACTGACCTGTACATAAACGTTTACCCCAAGGGAATTCCAGTAACCTGTGCTTGGCATTCTACACACAGCTGTTTACTGAGCTTTTAAAAAAGTTTACCCCATGGGAATTCCAGTAACCTATGCTTGGCATTCCACACACAGCTGTTTACTGAGCTTATATAAAAGTTTACCCCATGGGAATTGCAGTAACCTATGCTTGGCATTCCACACACAGCTGTTTACTGAGCTATATATAAACGTTTACCCCATGGGAATTCCAGTAACCTAAGCTTGGCATTCCACACACAGCTGTTTACTGAGCTTATATAAAAGTTTACCCCATGGGAACTTCCACACACAGCTGTTTACTGACCTGTACATAAACGTTTACCCCAAGGGAATTCCAGTAACCTGTGCTTGGCATTCTACACACAGCTGTTTACTGACCTGTACATAAACGTTTACCCCAGGGGAATTCCAGTAACCTATGCTTGGCATTCCACACACAGCTGTTTACTGAGCTTATATAAAAGTTTACCCCATGGGAATTTCCACACACAGCTGTTTACTGACCTGTACATAAACGTTTACCCCAGGGGAATTCCAGTAACCTATGCTTGGCATTCCACACACAGCTGTTTACTGAGCTTATATAAAAGTTTACCCAAGGGGAATTCCAGTAACCTATGCTTGGCATTCCACACACAGCTGTTTACTGAGCTTATATAAAAGTTTACCCCATGGGAATTTCCACACACAGCTGTTTACTGACCTGTACATAAACGTTTACCCCAGGGGAATTCCAGTAACCTGTGCTTGGCATTCCACACACAGCTGTTTACTGAGCTTATATAAAAGTTTACCCCATGGGAATTCCAGTAACCTATGCTTGGTATTCCATACACAGCTGTTTACTGAGCTTTATATAAACGTTTACCCCATGGGAATTCCAGTAACCTATGCTTGGCAAACGAGGCTGATGATGGCATTGTACCATGACCGAGTATGATGTTGCTCATAATGTCAATCACTGGTTCGTGTGGTCCAGACTACTATTATTTATATTATTTAAAAGTTGCCATGATGGAGCTGGAATTTATCTGACTGGTTTTAAACAACAAACTGGCTTGGGTGTCACTGTTTACAAATCTGGATACAAAGGTTTATTGGCCAGGATAAAAAGGTTTATTGACCTGGGTATAAAGATTTACAGGCAAGGTTATATAGAATTACTGGCCAGGATATAAAGGTTTACTGGCCAGGATATAAAGGTTTACTGACCTGGATATAAAGGTTTACTGGCAAGGATATAAAGATTTATAGGCCAGGATATAAGTGTTTACTGGGCAGGATATACAGATCTACTGACCAGGACATATAAAGGTTGACTGACCAGGACATATAAAGGTTGACTGACAAGGACATGTAAAGATCTACTGACCAGGACATATAAAGGTTTACTGACCAGGACATATAAAGATCTACTGACCAGGACATATAAAGGTTTACTGACCAGGACATATAAAGGTCTACTGACCAGGACATATAAAGGTTTACTGACCAGGACATATAAAGATTTACTGACCAGGACATATAAAGATCTACTGACCAGGACATATAAAGATCTACTGACCAGGACATATAAAGGTCTACTGACCAGGACATATAAAGGTCTACTGACCAGGACATATAAAGGTCTACTGACCAGGACATATAAAGGTTTACTGACCAGGACATATAAAGGTCTACTGACCAGGACATATAAAGGTTTACTGACCAGGACATATAAAGGTCTACTGACCAGGACATATAAAGATTTACTGACAAGGACATATAAAGATCTACTGACCAGGACATATAAAGGTTTACTGACCAGGACATATAAAGGTCTACTGACCAGGACATATAAAGATCTACTGACCAGGACATATAAAGATCTACTGACCAGGACATATAAAGGTTTACTGACCAGGACATATAAAGGTCTACTGACCAGGACATATAAAGATTTACTGACCAGGACATATAAAGATTTACTGACCAGGACATATAAAGATTTACTGACCAGGACATATAAAGATTTACTGACCAGGACATATAAAGGTTTACTGACCAGGACATATAAAGATCTACTGACCAGGACATATAAAGATTTACTGACCAGGACATATAAAGGTTTACTGACCAGGACATACAAAGATTTACTGACCAGGACATATAAAGGTCTACTGACCAGGACATATAAAGATCTACTGACCAGGACATATAAAGGTCTACTGACCAGGACATATAAAGGTCTACTGACCAGGACATATAAAGATCTACTGACCAGGAGATATAAAGATTTACTGACCAGGACATATAAAGATTTACTGACCAGGACATATAAAGATTTACTGACCAGGACATATAAAGATCTACTGACCAGGACATATAAAGATTTACTGACCAGGACATATAAAGGTTCACTGACCAGGACATATAAAGATTTACTGACCAGGACATATAAAGATTTACTGACCAGGACATATAAAGATCTACTGACCAGGACATATAAAGATTTACTGACCAGGACATATAAAGGTCTACTGACAAGGACATATAAAGATTTACTGACCAGGACATATAAAGATCTACTGACCAGGACATATAAAGATTTACTGACCAGGACATATAAAGATTTACTGACCAGGACATATAAAGATCTACTGACCAGGACGTATAAAGGTTTACTGACCAGGACATATAAAGATTTACTGACCAGGATGTATAAAGATTTACTGACCAGGACATATAAAGATTTACTGACCAGGACATATAAAGATTTACTGACCAGGACATATAAAGATCTACTGACCAGGACATATAAAGATTTACTGACCAGGACATATAAAGATTTACTGACCAGGACATATAAAGATCTACTGACCAGGACATATAAAGATTTACTGACCAGGACATATAAAGATTTACTGACCAGGACATATAAAGATTTACTGACCAGGACATATAAAGGTCTACTGACCAGGAGATAAAGGTTTATTGGCCAGGATACAAAGGTTTACCTGGAAGAAACTCTTGTCACTCTCTGTCTGTTTCTGTCCACGCTCTAGTTCTGTCAATGCTATCCCCAGAAGATTGTCTCTCTCTGACAACCTGGCATCCCGTGATTCTGCAGACTCTGTGATTTAATATGATATAAAATAAAAAAGTGGTTAATTAGCATTTTCATGAAGAAAACTTATTTAGTCTTAACAATAACAACTTCAAATTCTCTTTAATTCAGATCTATCTCATCCACTTGTACTGAAGGCATCAACATGGAGCTACCTGCGGAGTCGCCCGTCTCTAGGCGCAGCACGGCCAGCACGGCCTCGTGGTCGGAGAAGTTGTAGCTGCGCCCGGGGATCTTGTTCATGATGACGCTGCACTCCTCCACACTCACACTTTTGTCTGTACGGGATACAAAACTCCCATGAGTATTAGGAATCTGTATGATATAGTCGTAAAGAGGTGAAAAACAACTTGGCTTCTATTAGTCTCTGGGGACTAGTACACTGTACTTAGTACCCAGCAGTGTACAGCAGGGTGAATTTCAGCTTTAAAATAGTACTCCATGCTCATCATAAAACTGGAATATCGTTTACTGATGCAGTTTTGAGTATACAAAGATTATCACAAACTATCAGCAACCGGGACTGGAAACTTGTATTCAGTGGTAGAGTAGGTCCAAATCATTCCAAACTTTTTGTAGGATCTGCCTGATGGATCATACAGTTAACATGATGTGACCTGGCTGGGTGTGTGCAAGGAGGCCCTGACAGTATGGATCAGCACTCATTTGTGGGAATTTATACTCTGGATGGCATGACATGGCTGGAATAGATTGCTGACTTCAGCTCTAAATATTCACTTCACCTCATATCCTTTGTGTTGGCCAAAACAGGTATATTCTGATGGGTATTAATTGGGTTGCCCTTTTGTTCTCTGTCAGTGACTCAAGACACTTGAAGCCATCAGCCTAATTTGCTGTGGTCTGCAGAGTGCTCATCAGGGATTGATTTTGTTTGTATGTTGTCCCAGGTGCTACACCCGGTCAGCTTCATCAAGTTTACATCAAACATCACGTGTAGTAGTATATCAATCTAACAGCTGACAATTACCGTAATTGCATAATGTTTCTGAGGTCCCCCCGGGAACTGCCTCTAGACCTACGCTGATAACACTGCCTCTGTGGTCAAGAGGACACAGCGTCTGCCTTGGGAGGTTGGTTGCTTGATCCTGTTGCTGCGTCACACCGAAAGATGTGAAAAGATACTTTTTCTTTCCCTGCCTGGTGATCAGCAGTAAGGGGCTAAAACAAGGACTGGTCGGCTCGGGAGTCAGTATACTGTGTCTGAGTGGGGTATTCATGTTAAACTGTGGCATGGTATCTCAGTGGACTAAAACAAGGACTGGTCGGCTCGGGAGTCAGTATACTGTGTCTGAGTGGGGTATTCATGTTAAACTGTGGCATGGTATCTCAGTGGACTAAAACAAGGACTGGTCGGCTCGGAGTCTGTATACTGGGTCTGAGTGGGGTATTCATGTTAAACTGCAGCATGGTATCTCAGTGGGTCAGCACTATAAGTCTGGACGAGTACAAGCAATGACGCTAAAGTCCATTTCACCTCACCTACACTGAACATGGACCAGACTGTAGAGCACAGCCCCACTTTAAGCCGAAGTGTGTTCAACGTATATAGTGACAATTTGTTTAAAGGCCTACTTGGACTAGGTCTGTAGAGCCAGTAGTCGATGCGCTTCCCATCGGGGTAGCCCGGCTGTGGGCTGGAGAAGCTGTTGCTGGGGACCTCATCTGTGTTGCCATGCTCATATCCTGACGTCCGCTTCTGTAAAACAAAGGGAGATAATCACCATGACAATAATTGACAAGCTGCATCACCAAACACTATAGTTACGTAATAGTCACACAAACTTAAACCACAGCAATAAAGCTAAATCCTGCTCTAACTTTACTTTTTCCATATTTTTTTCACTTTGGAAATGGAAGTCAATACTCCATGCTGCACCCTGCTGCAGTCATTAAAAGTTGCCAGAGCAAATATGTTGGCTTGAACTAAAGGTATTTCAGTTATGCTGTGTCAGCATAATGTGGGAGGAAAACCCCAGCTGCTTGAGAAACAACATTTGACTTTAGTCTTTGACTCTCCTCCCACAATAAACATGTGTGAAACAATGTACACCATCAGTTCCATGAATAATTAACAACATATCCTGATTTTACATCAAGGATCATATATTTCCTCATATTACAGCTGACAGGTAATACCTGTTTGGTGGTCAGTAGCGTAGCGATCATTCACTTGTCAAATAGACAGGACGATTCTCTACATGGGTACAAGGTGTGAAGCCCATTCCTGGTTGCACAGTCAAGCTATTACCAAACTTGGATTAAATTTTCTAAAAAAAATAAAACTATCATTTTAAGTTTGGGTGGTGGGTAGCATAGTGGTTAAAGCGTTCGCTCATTACGCCGAAGACCCGTGTTCGATTCCCCACATGGGCAAAATGTGGCGTAAAACCATACTTACTCACTCATTTAAAGTTCAGCCAATCCATGTCAGTGCTGAATTCATAGACATGCATGAATATTCTTTATTCTTACCAAACAAAAATCAACAATCACGATTCCAAAAAATGAATGAATGCTATGATTCACCAGATGAAGGAGTAAGTATATTACTCCAAAACATTGTGTTCCCATAATAAAGAAGTTGACATCCATAAATTCTCTTCCTTATGTGAATCACTTCTAAATGCCTTTGAAAGACTTGACTTATTTCAAGTTTGTGTGGATTCATGATCAGATCCACTGTTGATTCTGTCAGGGTAAAGTAGGGGCGAGGCATTGCATCACCTTCTTAAAAAACAAATACCAAAAAAACAAATCTAACATATATATATAAATGTTTCTTGTTTTAACAATCACATACAAATATGGTTGGTAAAGTTAAATAATAAAAACTTTAAAGGGTTTCATTTCAGTGAAATGCTATTTCCCTCCCTGTCCTGACCTACTTTGAAGTTTCTTATGTTACTGAAATTCCTTCACAGACCCAAAATACTTTCCAAATTTATTATATACTGGGAAATAAAAAAATGGTAAAAATATCAAATGAAATGAAAATGAAAGAACACAGAAGACTTCCAAATTTATTATTTTACTCCAAACTCTGAAATTTAGGTCTGTCAATCTGTGAACACCTCAGTCCCCCAGACAGGAAGAGATGTACCACCCACCTTGTCCAGCCAGCAGTCCAGCAAGTGGGCATTGGTCCGGATCAGCTTATACCCCAAGTCCACTGGCTCCACGTTCAGGTCCCCCCCAAGCAGCACGAGGTCACACGCCTCCGACGTCAGTCTCACAAACTGGCTGATCTGGAAGGCCTGGGCGACGCGGTGAGCCAGGTACTCGTCATGGTCACGTCTGTACTCGGCATGGAACTGGTCGGTATCAACATGTGTAATGGAACATTAATATCAAACTGTCATCAATGAATTAATGTTAATTTAAAAAGTGACTTCATTTTTTTTTTTCATTAATATGTAAATCTGTGTACTGTGTACTGTGTAATAATAGTATTATGACTTAGCTTCACTTACTGAATCAATAACACCAAAACACTACAAAGAATACAAAATGATCAACAGCACCATGATGCAACAAAAGTGCCGCCAGTTCTATTATCAGCAATTCAGGGAAATAGCAGTCCATTAGTGGCCATGGTCTATTTTGGGGAGTGAGTGAGTGAGTTGGGTTTAACGCCGCTTTTAACAGTATCCCAGTTATATCACGGCGGGACAGCTTAATGTGGGAGGAAAGACCAAAGTCATGCAGGTCTCAGACGTTTAACACTTTGGTGAAATCCATGAGCCCGGGTATGGTGCTGAAAAACCTAGAAACATAATTGGGGCAAACCGGGATTCGAACCCACAATCATAGGTTTCTGGCGTGCCCAAGGGATGCAACTCTGCACAGCAAATCGCGGCGCATAAGACGATTGGGCCACCCATGCCCCCCTATTTTGTGGGTGGGGGTGGTAATTGAGAAAAGTGTCAAATCAGTGTCCCGTTTGATGCATTGTTACAGTAATGCACTGTTTCTCAAAGTCCCCTACAGATGCATGTAATGAGAGATCACTGTGTCATATTTAGTACACCTGAATAATAGCACTGACATCATCCAACAGTCCCTTACATGTGATCCATACACATTGACCGTCAAGCCGTTGACGTTGAACTTGCAGAGTCCGACACCTTTGCCCCCGAACCAGTCCCCGTGGTAGGGCTTGTGTGCAAATCCATTGAGAGAAAACTGGTGGAAGACGGTCTCAATCATTGGGTGGACGGAGAACATACACACGCCGCTGCCAATGGCGCCACTGTAACAGACAAGATGCCAAGCATGGTCAGGGACGGTTGTTTCTACAAAATGTACAGACACTAGTGTCAGTTTGTTTGTTGTTTAATGCCCCACCCAACAATATTCTAGCTGTGTGATGGCGGCCTGTAAATAAACATGCTGGAGCAGAAAATCTAGTGAAAGAAATTATGAGCATCTACACAATCAGGATACAATGACATGCATGTGCGAAGTCAGCAAGTCTGACCACCTGATTCTGTTAGTCGCCTCTTACGACAAGCACGGGTTGCTGAAGACCAATTCTAAATCTTCAATTGATATCTTCGGAGAGTTTCTGTTCCCGAAAATACTAGGGAAAAATACTTTGTTCTCAGGTTTTACAAACTAAAGAAGAGTGAATAGATCCAATGAAATGAAAATGAAATTACCACATTAGTGGAAGAAAACATGTTAAATACCAGAGGCAGTCTAAGATAGCACGTATATCTTCATATTCAAACATAGGGCTCTGAGGCAAACTGTAGGGTTAACAAGAAACACATCTGGAGTTGTGACTGTAAGAAATCATGACATGGCTTGAGATGACGATGAATACTGACAGGGTCGGGACAGTGGGAGTCTTGTGCATCACCACTCAGACCCTCACATTGAATCATTCGCACAATCGTCTGCCTTTGAAACTGACTTACCTGTAGAAATAGTGGGAATGTGGCATTCTGGGTATAAGTTTTTTACACAGGCGTTGGTAATCACTCTTCAACCATACCTGCAGCATAATATCACACTTGGGAGTAAACATGAATTTGCAAAGTGAGTAATTTTGTTTGTTTGTTATGTTACGACAGTTAGCAATACTCCATAGCACTGTGGCCTGTAAATAGTTGATTCCGGGACAGATAAACCACTGGCTGATACTATGAGCAACATAGTTGTGGTACAATGACACGCAATCAACCAAATCACCAAATCTAATTACCAGATCCAACTTAGACAAGCAAAAGACTGGGCACCTACTCCCACTCCGGTGCGGAGACCAGCAATAGAAGTCTGGAGACTTACTGCCACCCCTGTGTCCCATGTGGAGACCAGCAATAGAGGTCTGGAGACCTACTGCCACCCCAGTGTCCCATGTGGAGACCAGCAATAGAGGTCTGGAGACCTACTGCCACCCCGTAGTGGAGACCAGCAATAGAGGTCTGGAGACCTACTGCCACCCCAGTGTGGAGACCAGCAATAGAAGTCTGGAGACTTACTGCCACCCCTGTGTCCCATGTGAAGACCAGCAATAGAGGTCTGGAGACCTACTGCCACCCCGGTGTCCCATGTGGAGACCAGCAATAGAGGTCTGGAGACCTACTGTCACCCCGGTGTCCCATGTGGAGACCAGCAATAGAGGTCTGGAGACCTACTGCCACCCCGTTCTCCCATGTGGAGACCGGCAATAGAGGTCTGGAGACTTACTGCCACCCCGGTGTGGAGACCAACCACAGAGGTCTGGAGACTACTGCCACCCCTGTGTGGAGACCAGCAATAGAGGTCTGGAGACCTATTGCCACCCCGGTGTCCCATGTGGAGACCAGCAAGAGGTCTGGAGACCTACTGCCACCCCGGTGTGGAGACCTACTGCCACCCCGTTGTGGAGACCAGCAATAGAGGTCTGGAGACCTACTGCCACCCTGGTGTCCCATGTGGAGACCAGCAATAGAGGTCTGGAGACCTACTGTCACCCCCGTGTAGAAACCAGCAATAGAGGTCTGGAGACTTACTGCCACCCCGTTATGGAGACCAGCAATAGAGGTCTGGAGACCTACTGCCACCCCGGTGTCCCATGTGGAGACCAGCAATAGAGGTCTGGAGACCTACTGTCACCTCCGTGTGGAGACCAGCAATAGAGGTCTGGAGACTTACTGCCACCCCGGTGTGGAGACCAGCAATAGAGGTCTGGAGACTACTGCCACCCCTGTGTGGAGACCAGCAATAGAGGTCTGGAGACCTATTGCCACCCCGGTGTCCCATGTGGAGACCAGCAAGAGGTCTGGAGACCTACTGCCACCCCGGTGTGGAGACCTACTGCCACCCCGTTGTGGAGACCAGCAATAGAGGTCTGGAGACCTACTGCCACCCCGGTGTCCCATGTGGAGACCAGCAATAGAGGTCTGGAGACCTACTGTCACCCCCGTGTAGAAACCAGCAATAGAGGTCTGGAGACTTACTGCCACCCCGTTATGGAGACCAGCAATAGAGGTCTGGAGACCTACTGCCACCCCGGTGTCCCATGTGGAGACCAGCAATAGAGGTCTGGAGACCTACTGTCACCTCCGTGTGGAGACCAGCAATAGAGGTCTGGAGACTTACTGCCACCCCGGTGTGGAGACCAGCAATAGAGGTCTGGAGAACTACAGCGACCCCGGTGTCCCATGTGGAGACCAGCAATAGAGGTCTGGAGACCTACTGCCACCCCGGTGTCCCATGTGGAGACCAGCAATAGAGGTCTGGAGACCTACTGCCACCCCGTAGTGGAGACCAGCAATAGAGGTCTGGAGACCTACTGCCACCCTGGTGTCCCATGTGGAGACCAGCAATAGAGGTCTGGAGACCTACTGCCACCCCGTAGTGGAGACCAGCAATAGAGGTCTGGAGACCTACCGCCTCCCTGGTGTAGAGACCAGCAACAGAGGTCTGGAGACCTACTGCCACCCTGGTGTAGAGACCAGCAATAGAGGTCTGGAGACCTACTGCCACCCTGGTCTCCCATGCCCTTCTTTCACTATGACAGTCAAAGAATTTCAGAGTGAATGTGTTTAACTGTCACTCATAAGACATCATGTCACCTTGACGATTGTGGAAAGCCTGACGTGATGCAGGTCTCAGACATGTCACACTTTGATGAAACCAATGAGAACAAGTACAGTGTTGACACACCCTGAAACATAATCAGTGGGATTCAAACTCCCATTGTTGGATGTAACTCTTCACAGCAAGATGCGGTTTGCTGGACAACTGGGCCACCCCTGCCTCCCTTATAGTATTCATGCATAAAACGGTTGTAATTTGATTGTGTATCATGTGAACACTGATGCTTTTCTGATTCTAAACAGTCTCCGCTTACCTCACATAATACGACAATGTCATAATGCTGCTGAGAGATATCCTCTGCAATCGCCTCAATACGTTCACGTCGATACTTGACTGTACCCGGGATAAACACACCCCTAAACAGAACACAATGTCATGAACATCACAGTGAGTGAGTGAGTGAGTGAGTGAGTGAGTGAGTGAGTGAGTTTATTATCATGATTATATGCAAGCAACTCAAAATTAATTGGGCTGTGATGATATATTTTTCGTAGTTTACGCAAATATGCAATTTATCTGGAGCTTCAAAGGCACTCAGCCACAATTTCTAAACACAGAGGGGATAAGCTCCCGGAAGACATTATTATTCAAGACAATCAACTGATTGTCTCTCCCGAAAAATAAGCACGTGTTGGGAGAACGATGAAACCCAATTATGAATGAGACTGATACAAAGCAACAAATTATGGAAGTAAAGGTCAATCCCTCTATCAATGTACTTGAACATGTATTTCATTAGATATTACTATTAGAAATTATATTAAATACCACAGTAACTTCTTTTTGTAAAATATTTATAGAACGTATTCGTCAAGGGAGTCTTGTTGTCTTACCAGCAGTTGAGGGTGAGAACTCTCAGTGTCGTCATCACTGTCTAATCTTCACTGAAAATATCTTGTTTCCTTCCAGGTAATTGAGGGAAATTCTGAAATAATTCAGTTTTCATGAATAAACATTCATCTGTTCAAACCACATAAATTCTACTTTTTCTGTCAAAGAAAATACTAGATGTGAAATGACACATCGGTGCACCTGTGTATTCACGTGATGATACGATATGCGTTACCACTTTGTCTGTACAAGACGATAAATTTGGTACAAGTAAATTACTTACTACTCATTAGGGTTGTTACGATTCACTCGCGTATTTGGTGAATCGAACCGTAACCATTCATAAATTGAATTCATTATTCATGGCCACTAGAATCGAATATTTATGAATTTGCTATCATGTATATTTACATACCCTGTACCTAAAAATATCCATAAGAACATATTATATGCATAGATTTCTTTCAATGACAACACTCTAATAATATTTAATTTGACAGTATTGTTGTCACTGGTCATTGAGCAGATACTAGTACCTGGATAAGTGCAGTATATAAATGTATAATTTATTAAGAATTAACAAACCATGTCAAATAATTTATGTTATTGTTTCACTGAATATAATAAATAATACATAAACTGCTGACTTGTTATTGTAATTGTTAATTGATATTCGTATTCGTTACCCTATATTCGTGATATGAATTGTATTCGCCTCACAGTGTATTCGTTGCAGCCCTACTACTCATCTAATGACACCCACTAACACACCCACCCCAAGCCTTTATATCAGTTAAATATGGCAAAAATGGGTTGTAATTAGCAATTAAAGTTCACTAATAAAAATAGCCACTACGAACACGTGTCTATAGGTTTTCTATTTGAAGCTGCTCTGAAATATTTATAGTCAAGAAGTTTCCATGCGACTATATATGTCTGATGTTTTTTTAAATATGTGTTTATGTTTGAGGGGCAGTGTGAAAAACTGACCTGCGCTCACCGGGCTTAGTTGCATCTCCTAATCTGAACCGTGTTCATTTAGAATTGATTTCTGGACTTCACTTCATTCACCTTACCTATTTCTGAGTTGTTTGTTTGTAGTTTAACGCTGCACTCAGCAATATTCCAGCTAAATGAAGTCGGTCTGTAAATAATCAAATCGCCTCTTATGACAAGCATGGTCACCTATTACGGCAAGCATGGGTTGCTGAAGACCAATTCTAACCCGGATCTTAATCATCGAAGTCATAGCTATATTGTTATAATTTGATGAAGTTCTCTGCATAACATTCGAGGTGGCAAATGCACAGCTAGATTTCAAATGTCTTCCCACGTGCTGGGGGACAGATATTTGTGTGTTGGTGGTGTATCATGTTTGAAAATTAGTTTAATGTGTCTGTGATTTTAAATGATATATTATAAATATTACATTTATAAACTATGATTTTTAAAATTTATCATTTGCATCTAGTGTGGTATATCTTCATTTTATCATCCAAAACTGGCTCCTACAGGAGATATTGCTTGGATGAGATCAAGCGATATCTACACTGTAGATATCGCTGCAATGAAATTACATCACAATGCTTTGCAGACCATTGTGACATCACTGGTTACCATGACGTCACAATCAAATGACATCACTAATGGCTCTGCTACTGAAGCTGTTAGCAGTACTTTTTACACTGAAGACACTATTAATTACTGTCTCCAAATTGAAAAAGTTGGAAGAATGATGTTGGATGATAAATAAAATCTCACCCTCGTTTCTTTTGACATCAAATATATCAACACTCGTTGATAAAAGTGGCAAAAATCCGCGGCAAGCCTCAGAATTTTTCCACTTTTATCAACTCGTGTTGATATATTTGATATCAAAAGACCCTCGGGTGAGATTCTCTTTGTCACATATCATGTAGCGGGTAAATAAAACAACGGGAATGAAATATCGGCTGTTGTCTACTTTTGATATGACTCTACCCAGATGCTACTCTCATTGTTTAAGTCAATTGGAAGGGGAAGGTGACTATAGCCACCAGGTACAATGTTGTCCCACACTATAAAAAGTCGCCTGCATGCAAATGAACCGGTCATGTAGCTATGAAATGTAGCTATTTGACGAGGTGGTCACATGTGGGGAATGGGGGCTGGAATTGCCCCCAGCAACCTGTGCTGGTTGTAAGAGTGATCTAACTGATCGGGAGGTCAGGCTCTTTGACTTGGTTCATTACACAGCATTGTTTCATAACAATGGGAGAAAATAGCTAAACAGGGTTTTAGAACTGTATTATTTTTAAGAAATGACAGACAGGTAGTAAGCAATGACAAAACAAAATGTGCATCATCATGTTGTTGTGATATATGGACTATATTGCAAGACTCACCACTACCCCACTAGTCATATCACCGGCGTAGGGATGTCGATACGTTCTCTTGTACCGCCATTGCTATACAGTAAACATGTAGACTGAACACGCTCTCGTTATCTATGCATAGACTCACGACCTTAGAAGCCTCGATAGCATAGAAATATTACATGGTGGCAGCTAGCGAAACGATCTACGCCAGATGGGAGACGAAACATGTCAAGAAACGGCGAATTCAAGCTTTGAGTGCAAAATATCAAACGGCAAACCGTGAGTGCGAACTATTCAGTCTGATGTAGAAAACGGGACAATCTAAAGATTTCGTCACTCTGTGCTTCGGCTTAGGAAAGTGTCGGCATCAAATCAACCGTTCATTCTATTCAAAATACGAATCTGCATCGCCAATAAGCTCAGCAAAACGAACTATATATATACGGGAAGATAGAGGGACACCGTAACCTTATCACACACCACGTGCGATCCAAGATGGCGGCGCCCATAATGTAAACATCCGCTACATAGCGGCAAGCATCTATACCCACCTGTAAGCAAGGCTAGCGGTATTTAAACAGGGAAATGGATTCGGTGGCCCTTCCCAAGCTCAACTGGTCAAGTGACGAAATAGCAAACGACTTTAGGCTTTTCAAACAACGATGTAAACTGTACTTCTCGGTGAAAAACATCAAGAATGACAAACAGGTCGACCACATTCTTCTGTTCACCGGAGACGACGGACTCAAGGCCTTCAACTCATGGACACTAACTGAAGAGGAAGCGAAGGACCCGCAAGTAATTTTCAAGAAATTTGAAGCCCACTTGGAGCCAAGAAGTAACTTCAGAGTGCAGAGATTCTACTTACAAAGATACAGGCAAGACACATTGGAATCAGTCGACAACTATATGACTAGATGCAAACTACAGGCCTTTAAATGTCGTTTTGGGGAAGCCGAATTAAAAGAGAGATTAATTGAACAATTAATCATTGGGACAAGGATTCCGGAGTTGCAGAAGGAATTATTAGGCAAAGATGAACAGATGTCATTGGATCAAGCCATGGATATAGCTAGAGTGCATGAGGCATCCATCAACAACATGGCCCAACTGCAAGGGGTACAGACAACGAAGACTGACATTCACCAAGTAAGGAAAGAGCAGCCATGCAAATACTGTGGACGGCAACACCCACCGAATCGCTGTCCAGCTTATGGCAGTGAATGTGAAAACTGTGGCATAAGAAACCACTGGAAAGTGATGTGTAGAAGGAACGCCACACAGCACACACCATACAGGGGCAGAGCAAGAGGCAACAGTCGAGGCAGAGGTCGTGGTCAGCCTCACACTAGAAGGCCACACAGAGGTAGAAGTAGGTCACGACAAGGACAACGTTCAGTGAATAGCATGACAGGAAATGATGACCTGGATTTCGAAACAGCTTTCGAAACACTAACATTCGAGTCACTTTCAATTGATGCTATACTCAACGACAGAGACACTAGAGACGAGGTTTTCGTGACCCTCAATATCAGTCTAGAAGACAGACCACAGCAAGCAGCCACCCTCAAAGCCAAAGTCGACACAGGAGCCCAAGGTAACCTCCTACCCCTGCGCATATACCAACGTATGTACCCAAATACACTGGACAGCAATGGGAAGCCCAATGCAAACTCAACTAAGCAGAGCAGCACCATACTGAGAGCCTACAACGGCACACGAATAGCCCAGTATGGTAAAATATCCTTACCCTGCACCTTCAATGGCCACACATCTCAAGCAGACTTCTTCATCTCAGGCGAAGAAGGACCGGCCATCCTTGGACTCCCTACGTGTAGGCAGCTGAGAGTCGTAACCCTCAATTGCGAAATAAAAGACTCACCTCCAAAGCAGAAGGTTGACGGGAAAGAAGACCTAATAAGAAGCTACCCAGACAGATTTCAAGGCATTGGCCAGTTCAAGAAAGAGTGTCATATTACAGTCGACCCCTCAGTACCGCCAATGACACATGCGCCAAGAAGATGCCCCATCCACCTCAAAGACGAGATAAAAGCTGAACTCGACGAGATGGAAAAAATCAAGGTCATCGCCAAAGTTACGGAACCAACTGACTGGGTGTCAAGCCTGGCATACAGCAGGAAAGCTAGCGGCAAGCTCAGGGTATGCCTGGACCCGAAAGACTTAAACACAGCCATTAAGAGGCCCCATTATAAAACCCCTACCCTTGAGGAGATAACCCACAAATTCTCAGGAGCGACAGTATTCTCCAAACTGGACGCAAGGCATGGCTATTGGTCTGTCAAACTCGACGAGGAATCCAGCATGCTGACGACCTTTAACAGCCCATTTGGCCGCTACAGATTCCTAAGACTCCCCTTTGGATTGAATCTGAGCCAAGATGTGTTCCAAAAGAGTATGGACATGATCCTAGAAAAGTGCCCAGGCACAGTTGGCATAGCAGACGACATCGCGGTATTCGGCAAAAATAAAAAGGAGCATGACAACAACTTGATCAACCTCATGGAGGTCGCCCAACAAAGCGGCCTGGTATTCAACCCTGGGAAATGCGAAATCAAGACCGACCAGATCAAATTCTTTGGACTTGTATTCGATGCAGAAGGTGTCCACGCCGACCCAGACAAGGTAAAGGCCATCAGGGAAATAGGATACCCAAGCGACGCCAAACAGCTCCAAGAATTCTTAGGCATCGCAACATACATGGGACCATTTATTCCCCACCTTTCCCAGATAACCGCACCACTCAGGGAACTGATCAAGAAGGACGTGGAATACAAGTGGTCAGAGTCCCACCAATCGTCGTTCAACAAGATCAAAGAGACCATCTGCAAGGAAGTAACGCTGACTTACTTCAACCCCACACTGGACTCCACTCTCAGAGTGGACGCTTCCATGAAAGGTCTCGGAGCAGTCCTGCTGCAAAACGAAAAGCCGATAGCATTCGCCTCAAAATCTCTAAGCGAGACAGAGCAAAGGTACGCAAACATAGAGAGGGAGATGCTCGCTGTTGTATTCGGGTGTGAACGCTTCCATACATATTTATACGGGAAACAGTTCATCGTGGAAACAGACCACAAACCATTGGAGATGATCCACCTCAAAAACCTGTCAGCAGCGCCCCAACGACTTCAAAGAATGCTACTACGGGTACAGCCTTACGACGTGACCATCAAATACAGACCAGGAAGTATGATGGAGGTGGCAGACGCCCTCTCCCGATCACCCGGCAAGACCAGCAAGACAATCGACTTGGACATCCGTGTAGACCTGACACAGTTCTCCGACAAAAAGATACAGTCCCTAAAAGAAGAGACCAGTAAGGACGCTACACTACAAGCTCTAAAAGAGATCATCTTGGAAGGCTGGCCTGAAAGACCAAAGCAACTACCAGCCCCCATCAGGCCCTACTGGGCATACAGGGACGAACTATCCATTGAGGATGGATTACTGCTGAAGGGGGATTGTGTCATCATCCCAACAAGTATGAAGCAAGAGATACTAGGAAAACTACACGAAGCACATCAGGGGATAGAAAAGACCAAACTCAGAGCGAAGACATGTGTCTTTTGGTGCGGCATCGGGACCGACATTGAAAACATGGTAAAAAGCTGCCATGTGTGCCAAGAGTTCCAGAAATGCCAACCTGCAGAACCCCTGCTCCAACATGAACTTCCCACACGACCGTGGCAAGTGCTGGGAACCGATCTATTTTACATGGAGGGAGAAGAATACATCATAGTAAGTGACTACTATTCTAAATTTCCCATAATCAGGAAGATGTCCGGAGGCAGCAGAGGTACCATCTCAACACTGAAAGCCATATTTGCAGAACAAGGCATACCAGAGAAAGTCATTAGCGACAACGGGCCACATTTTTCAGCTGAACGATTTCAAGAATTTGCCAAAGCCTGGGGATTTACCCATATAACATCCAGCCCACACTATCCCCAGTCGAACGGCTTCATAGAGCGGCAAATCCAAACAACAAAACGAACACTGCAAAAAGCCAAGCTCTCCAACATCGACCCCAACATGGCTATGCTCATATTACGTGCAACCCCAATCGATCATAACCTTCCATCACCAGCTGAACTCCTAAACACCCGGAAAATGAAATCGAACTTACCAATGAGGGTCAAAAACCACAACACCATGCGGGAAGACGTTAGACGCCATCTAGAAGAACGACAACTTCAGCAAAAGGAACACTTTGACAACAGGGCAGGTGAGGAGCTTCCGCCACTTATCCCTAACCAGCCTATCAGTGTCAGAGACCAACAATCTGGAAGGTGGAAGAATGCCACTATAGTAGGAAAATCACCAGAGCCAAGGTCATACATAGTGGAAACCACAGAAGGCTCCATCCTACGTCGCAATCGACGTGATCTCAGGGAGATCACTGAGGAAAAGAGAAACACCAGCGCTGCCCCACTCGAACCACTGAGACAGGGAAACCAATCTACCTCGCCCCACCAAAACCAGCGGCGGGTCTCCTTCAACCCTAAGGACAACAAACCATCAACCAACAAACAGCTAGACAAGTTCGAGAAGCGCCCAACCACCACAACATCGCAGGGCCATTGTGATCCCAGCTCAGAGACAGTTGTATGTCGAACAAGAGCCGGAAGAGAAGTGCGACGACCAAAGCACTTGAATGAGTGACTCTAAATATAAATGTGAAATATAAAAGCAGACTAGTTACTCCTAGTGTGCCAAATAGGGTAGCAGACTAGAATAGCTCAGCCAACAGTTATGTTATGTTATGTTATGTTATGTTATGTACAAAGTGATCTACCTCAACCTACTGTGTCATGAACTGCTCAAGAATACCAAAGAACTTTAAAAGTGCAATTAGTTGAAAGTGCATTTATCTTGCACAGTGAGACCATCCGTCAACTTTCTCATCAATCATAATGTAATCAATTCCATGTTGTCCATCATATACTACTGATATCCACACGCCGTAAGTACCTTATCAAAAGAAGGGGGATGTGATATATGGACTATATTGCAAGACTCACCACTACCCCACTAGTCATATCACCGGCGTAGGGATGTCGATACGTTCTCTTGTACCGCCATTGCTATACAGTAAACATGTAGACTGAACACGCTCTCGTTATCTATGCATAGACTCACGACCTTAGAAGCCTCGATAGCATAGAAATATTACAGTTGTTAGATTTCTGTTCACGCGAGGAAGTCATGAGACAGAACCCGCACATATTCTAAAGTCGTATTTGAGCAAGGTACTTCTGTAGTGTTCGTTTCTTATATTTCCTTTCAAGTATCAGTTTTGGTTCATCATTTATTTCTCTCTTCTAATGAAAACGAGTGCAAGTAAAACAAGATGTGATCACATGTGCACTATAATCAAGAGGTTGGAGATAACCGGTCCTCGGGGATAACTGGTCGCTAACCAGTACTAAATTTAATCTGCACAGTTCTTAAAGTTAACTTACACATACAGGTACAGTTACAGCTGTATGTATAGTTCTTTTATAATAGTTACACCCATAGCTCTGCAGTTAATGTACTACACCTGCACAGTTAATTAATTACACCTGTACAGTTAATGTACTACACCTGCACAGTTAATGTACTACACCTGGACAGTTAATTAATTACACCTGCACAGTTAATGAACTACACCTGGACAGTTAATTAATTACACCTACACAGTTAATGTACTACACCTGCACAGTTAATTAATTACACCTGTACAGTTAATTAATTACACCTGTACAGTTAATTAATGACACCTGTACAGTTTATGGAGCCCACCATGCAGTCTCATTCACAATGACTCAATAAAGAGACAGGTAGGCAAGAAATGCACTCCCGCATTACAGCCCCGTGGTTTTGACGCTGACAGTGTGATTGTCACTATACATGTTGGTGGGCGAGAGAATACGAACCTTCATACGTTACACTGATCACGTGGAGTGGGATAGATGGATCGTATATCAGCTGGTTGTATACCAAACTGGATAATGCACCGGTAAAACGCGACGCTTCCGTCACAACTTGTGACACAAGACAAGGCTGAGGGATAAAATACGAAAATCGATTCACTTTTTTTAATTAATAACGAGTAGTACTAGAACTCGACATTATTCATCTCCTTCAGTATTTTATCAATAAACTTCGCGAGTGATGTTTCCTTATTTCGGTAATGTTATCAAATTGATCAAATACCTTTTTGGTCGTCCGCGATCTTCCTCCAAATTTGTTTACATTTATGCCGATTCCTTCAGATCTGTTAGGAGCTTTTGTTTATTAACTCCTCACAGCGATAGTCCGTTCGCGGAGTTTCAACCGGTAAGGGTAACGAAGGTGTCGGTCGCGGGCTGGGAAGGAGCTTGTTAGTTTATTTTCCAGGGGTAGATAACTCGGATATTACTAGTCGGGTTGTATGCTCTGATTTATGGCCTGGACGTGTTCCGACTGCCCCGTGGAATCCCGCCCCTGTGTTGCAGGCAGTAAACTCGACTGAGAGAGGATTTCGATATTTTGGTCCCCTCCCTTTCAAAATTGCTGGATCTGCCCTTGGGGTTAATGGGGAAAATATAATACTGGCTTCAATGTGATATCAAGTTTATCTCCCGATTAAAAAAAAGTATTATCACTCAGGACATAAACTTGATATTAAATTGAAGCTCGTGGACTATCCTGTAAGTCGTCTTTGCCTCCAGTTTGCGCACCGGACCTAGAACCGATATACACTTAAATATGTCATGAAGTGAACTAAACATACGATGTGACAAATGTTTGACCAAAGTTACAAAAACAGCATTTAGTGAGAGGTGATTGAATCAGTTTATGTGAAAATGGAAACAAAAGGGGACTGAAAAGTCCCAAATAAACACAGGACATAGCCCATGCACTGGACTCATGGAGTTAAGATGAAAACGTGACGTATACCTTATTCATAAGTTTGATAAAACATGATTCATTTCGTGGAGTGAGGTGTCCCATAGCAACCACTATAGATCTAGATTAGATAAAACTGGATATAATATTATATGTCCGTCATGGAAACATACTTATATCACTTCGTTCCGGCTGAAGATGATTTGGATGACAACAACCATCAGGTGTATTTCCAAATGACGACATCCGATGAGCTCCGCCGTTCTTTTTGTCTGTTTGTTTAGGCTGAAGAAATTAATTAACATGTGCCCTTTGTCGAAATCTTTATAGATGACAGTTAACCAATCAGTGTTCAAAAATGCGTAAAACAAATATTGCCTCCAGCCTCCAAGTTTATTTAGCTGTCCTTGCAGACGGTAGCCCAGTCTCTGGTCACGCTCAGCTGCGTAGCGTATCATCCGGGTACTCACGGGGAATAAAACAATAACAAAGGCAACAACCAGTCCGGAGAATTGCGTTAGATCAGTGCCCCTTTAAGATGGATGACTCAGAAAGGATGATGTCACCTATTTCCTGTTTAAACAGCTAGGTGGATGAGAGTGACGATAGAAGTGTCTAAGGCGTGGAAATAGATTTTTTGAAAAAGAATGGTGCATTGTAATTTCGCAATCCACGTTTAGTTATTGTTTCATTTTGTTGAAAATACATCACTATGTAGTATTAAGTATACTCTATCACCTTTTACAAACGTAGATGTATAATTTGTTTAGTGACTTTCAAGGTGTGTGCGTTGGGGGTGGGGTGTGTGTGTGTGTGTGTGTGTGCGGCGGGGGGGGGCTGCTATATGTCCTATATTGTTACCAATAAACGACCGAAAGGTTCAAAAGACAACACATGTGGCTAATCACCCGCTTGTGAACACCTATAGTTATATACTACTCAAAAGAAGTTAAGACCACCCGATTCGTCCATATTACTTTTGTTCATTTGTCAATAGTGTCCACGACAGAATAACTACAGTGAAATGTAGGAATCGGGTGTGTACATGTATGTATATGTACTACGTATAGGTAATTGGTAACTATCAGTGTGACTATAGTCACATATTTCACCTGTGGCGTTAGGAGAATACATAATTTCTCTATTATTGAAACAAGATAACCCAACACATTCGAACCAGAATTAGGTCACCTTAACTTGAGTAAGTCTTTTGGCTATAACTCATGTCATGTAATTGATAGCGTTATCACTGCGCTAAATCAATATGATAAACACGGGGCGATAAATATGCAAATGAGGTCAACAAGCAGGAACTACGATTAAGCCTCTACGTCGCTGCAATGTCTACATGATCAACAAAGTATTGACTACGTTCCCGGTACAGTACAGATATAGGGTCTCCCGACGCGTGGGCGCGTACTTCTGCAGATAACCTTTTGGTACTATATACCGAATGGGACGGTTCACTCAATCATGGTATTCAAGAGCAGTTTCTAAAGTCACTTCCTCATAATTCTCAGAAATCTCGTAAGTCTACATGTCACAAATCATTCACTTCGATTGGTGGACAATTTTGTCGGACAAGCCAGGCACAAGAACCTCCATGGCAGACAAAGCACTCGCTGCAGCAGCTACAACTCTGTAGAATATGCTCTCAATTTCCATCTGGACAATCTCCGCAGATTTAGAGAGGCCACTAAAACACATCAATTCAAGGATGCTGTCTTCCAGAACATTATATATAATTATGTTTCACTGCATGTCTGTTATACTTGGGATAACACTTCCTTAGTAAAGTACAAATTCTAGCACTTTGGGGGGTTTAGTCCCATCCGGGATTCGAACCCACACTGTCAGAGTGAGGCACCAAATCGCCAGCCTTGGGTAGATTGCTGACTTTGTGTGCTAGCGATGAGACAGGTAATGTCATGGAGATGTATGATTCATGTAACTATTTATACACGAACTCACAATGTGGGTTTCAGTTATAACAACATCTGCAGTGATCTAGTTCGTCATAAAATAATATTACAAAAATGTAACTATTACTTTGAAAAGATTAATTATGAAAAATATTAATAACTTAATTTACCAATGTAGATATACAAAACATTTGTTAGATGCGATTCCGTCCAGCCTTCTGTCACCGCCAATCTTGTTCGTTCAAGTCTAGACAATGCGACATATGTGGCTGACAGATGATGTGCCAGCAACAGTTTGTCATGCCATCCCATCCAGTTAAAATTTTAAATATATATCATGTATATCACTATCATTGTGTGAAAGGTAATAACTCTTGTTCCTTGAAAACAATAACAAAGGTTTCAAGAAGTCATTGTTGTGAAAACATATATGTAGTTTTGTTTTCTATTTTCTATTACATATGTATTTAAACCCCGAAGGTACCACATGCCAATTACAATGTGTTTTACCTCCTGTGACAATGTGCACTTTATGACAGTACAGGTACTTGCATCAAGAGGCAGGAAGGCTACAAAATGTCTTCGCGCCTTGTTGATCCTCTGGATCCAAGTTATCTTTACAATACATTATAGGACCGTGAAAATCTGGGGTAGAATAGGTCTTCAGCAACCCTAATTGCCGTAATAGGCGACTGTGCGTGTCGTAAGAGGCGATAAACGGGATCGGGTGGTCAGGCTCGCTGACTTGGTTGATGCATGTCATCGTGTCCCAATTGCGTGGATCGATGCTCATGATGTCAATCACTGACTTGTCTGGTCCAGACTCGATTATTTACAGACCGCCGTCATATAGCTGGAATATTGCTGAGTGCGGCGTTAAACAACAAACAAACAAACAATAAATTATGGCTGTATGATTTGTCAGACACTGGCTGACACTGAGCGCGGTGTCTGTGTTGAAGGACCGTCTGTGACTTGATCATAAAGTGGTATATTACCCTTATCACTTTCCTCCTTTCTGCTAAGGAAGACCGCATCCGCACCTCTGACCGTGCGTTCAACCATTGTCCCTGTCTTTGTTTATCATGGACTCGACAATGTATTACCTCTATCAAAGGGATGACTTCCTATACAAACTATATTATCATGCTTTAACGCGAATTTAAAATCAGATATTTTATTCGGATACCGGGGAATCAATAGGCCTACTAGGCTGTCATACAGACCATGAAACAAATATACCCAAAACAACCCATGCAAGTCTATAATGTTTGACAAGTCTAGATTACTAGTATCTGAAAATGAAGAAAGTCTCTGGGCTCCATTTAATTATATTTTATGACTATAGTGAAACAACTGTTTTTTTCTGTAAAATATGTTCATTTCAGAGACTAGATGTTAGGCATACATACCATCTTATATAGACTAGCTACTTGTCACAATTAAGTGTGTTGCCTCTCTGAGAATAGCTTTAAACACAATGTCATCCATTTCCAAGCAATGAAATGAATTACTTTATAACTTAAAGTGAATTAGAAATTTAGAAATTAATATTCCAGCAATATCACGGCGTGAGACGTACATTTTGGTCATGTAGGGATTCGAACCCGGGTCTTCCGCGTATATATATATATGCACTCTTACCACTAGCTGTAGGTAGTAGGCCACCCCATCGCCCCTTATCAGTAAGAAAAGAAAAAATAACGAGAAAGTAATTTGTAGAAATAGCGAAATGGATTTATACATAAATATATTTACCAGATAATGTAATGAACTTTTTGCAGTTTTAATAATACGCACATTTATGTAAACCCGCCCAATTCTGTTAGCAACTGTATAAGTTTTGCTACAGATCTCTTCTATTCCGACGTGGAACAGGTCGGACGCCTACAGCTGTAACACGATGAGACAATTTATTTTTATTGGTTGGGTTAACATATCAGTGTGAGCGTTGTTTAAAATCTGTTTTTAATTGTTACGAACATATGACATGCCCACACGGGCGAAAGTTGATCTGTGCTGTGTCTATCTTTAGTACGCTACCAGGAAGTAACTCGCGAAGCATGCTGGGAGACCAATGGCGATTGCAAGCAGCTCCTTGGGATTGAGAGCAGTCGTCCACACACAGCCGTGTCAAAGCATAATATGACATCGAATATTATTCTATATTATGGCAGAGGATGAGGTCTCAATTCATGGATCCAAGTTGAGCGCTGTTGAAAGATGTAAGGAGCGGGTGTCACGGCTGTTTGGGGTAGCCACCCATACGTCGTTCATTGCTTTGAAAGACGATGGGCCGTGCAAAATTCGCTTGTGTGCAATCGGTCCAAAACCACAGGAAAGTTTGGAAAAGGCGAAAGTAAGTATTGTTAGAGAGGCCATTTGTCAATAGAACAGTTAAGAATAAGCGGTCGAGTTGACACCAACAGAATCAGCCTGTCGGCCATAACAACCAACTGCGCAATTTCTGTTTCCGGGTTGCAGGAAAGGTGACGACAGGACAGGTAGCGCGAGCCATGCAGGCTCTATTTATAATTTTAACATGTGGGCATTAATCAGCTAGGAAGTAAACTCGCATAGTCACGAGCGTAAGGAGACTGTTCCTGCAGTAAAGGCACGAGGACAGAAGTGTAAGCATGGGTGTTCAAGAAAGGGTAGGTCATTTTGAAACTAATAATCATGCTAATATCTGTATCAGCTGGTAGAATGAAGTTAGAGAATCAACAGCTGATAACCATTGATAGAGTGTGTGTGATAATAGAGTGTGTGTGTGTGTGTGTGTGTGTGTGTGTGTTATAGTGTGTGATATAGAGTGTGTGTGTGATATAGTGTGTGTGTGATATAGTGTGTGTGTGTGTTAGATATAGTGAGTGTGTGTGATGTAGTGTGTGTGTGTGGGGGGGGGGGGGGGGGGAGATTATGACTTTCACTTTCACTGTTACCCTTATATAGATTTTGAATTATTGTAATGTTGTAGATGAACTACAGAAAGCGAAAGTCAATTCTTATAAAAGAAATTCAGGATTATACAGTCCACTAATCTGAGACCAGTGAAAATATGTAGGACACATTTCTCCCAACATGTTGTAAACAGTTTTATTACCCATAGGTAGGTTGTAGAAATGAAGATTTTATGAATAGTGTACCGGTATGTGCACGAGTGGAAATATGACTTCACGTGCACCAGTGTATTGTTAACGTCATCCGGACATTATTGTTGACATAATTTGAATCTTATTGTGACGTAAGGTCAGAATGACGTCACATTAGAAACGATTTCATAGCTGAAGATTGTTGATGTCGTTTGACAATTGACAGTGATCATGATAACTGCATTTTCACAAGGGGAGCTAAAAAGATTTAAGAAATAATGGGTAATATAGAAATTATTACATTTGCATGTGTGTCACTGTATACTGATTTAACAAAGCTTGTGTAATTCATGTATTACCCTCGCTCTCGCAGATTGCAAGAATTCTGACACACAAGCAGGGTAAAGTATAGGTAGACCTGCTCCAATGCTCATCTTCGGCCTCAAGTCTGCAGCAAATGTCAGTAAAAATTATCAAATTGGAATTAAAAGTTTCCCAATTCATGTTAATATCATTATAAGAAATGTTACAACTTTGTAGAGCTAACTTGTATATCACTGAGACAGGGAAGAGGCATTAGAGATTAGTTTCACATTAACCCACTGAATGCAATGCTAAAGTACCTCAGAATTTAGGAAAACAGACACTTTTTAAAGATCCCAATTTTGAAAATAAAAATGATTTTTTTTCTCAGTTTGCCTTAGTATAGATAAATCCCTGTCATACTGATGTAGACATCTATATATAGACATTATCAGTTATACCTATCTGGTCCACAGTGTAAGTATCTATATATAGACACCATCAGCCACACCCGATCCGGGGTAGAATAGGTCTTCAGCAACTATCGGGATCTTCAAATGCTGATAATAATATTGAAATGTTGTCTCAACAGATCTACTTGGAGGCCGTACTCGGTGAAGACCCATCTGTCGTCAGCGACACTTTAACTTTCTCTCCGCAAGACTTCGACATGGTGCAGAAATATCATGATAAGATTGAATTTCTTTCACAAGCATTTGTTGACATCCTCCCAAAGTGTACTTTAAGAATACAAGGCAAACAGACAAGTGTCAACTTAGTAAGAGACTGTATCAGTCAAGTTCTTAACCGCGACAGTGTCTTGCCTGTTCCTTCAAACAGAAAGAACATTTCTTCTTTATTAGTTAGATGTGTAGACTCCTCTTTTCTGGGGGATCGCTTGAGTCCAGAGCACTTTACTGACGGAGCTCCATTGTCGCCAGCAGTGTCCGATCATCTCCGGTCTGATGAAGTTGGTACTGATAACACAGAATCCAGTCATTCGTCTCAGAGTGGGAACTACCGCCCTGATTTGGGGCTCATTGAAAGGGGGACATTTGTTGCAGACATAGCAAAGTCACCTGTGTCAGTCACAGGAAGTGAAGTTTTTCGTGACAATAGTATCAGTTCAAGTTCTCGGAGCGACTCTAGCGAGTCTGACCTTGACATGGACAGGTTCAGCTCGGCAGAGTACAAGGCCAAGTTGGAGAAGGCTGTAAAGTTGGGCTACTCTGAAGAGCAGTTGATACAGGCATTGCAGAAATTGGGATTTGATGCGGACCAGAACCAGGTCTTGTCTGAGATGATCAAGCTGGGGTCGTCTTCCAAGGGAACCCAAGAGGAAGCCAGGGGGTTTGATGAAAGGATTGACAGCTTTGAAGATGTAGATGGGCTCATCGAGAGGAGGAAACGAGACGTGGTTGATGACAGCAGCAACCTTCGACATATCGTCATTGATGGCAGCAATGTTGCCATGAGGTAAGGCTATTTGGTTTCTATGGTTACTGTCAAGTATATCCTGGAGCTTTTTAGCTATTTGTGTCAATCATTTCATTTCCACATGTACAGTCTAGTAGCAGTGTGTTGAAGCGTGACATGAAGTCAAGGGGTGCCTGTCGTGACCCCAGTGTTGAGACAGATTGAGAGGGACTTGACGTAAATATGTGTATTGCAATACTGTCTTATCATGACCTATGTATCGTGATACTTATCGTGGTGTGACTTTGCTCCCCAAGCTAGGAAAGAACCCCAGGACCCCCATTAGTTTACACAACTGTAGCAGTAGGGTGAGTGAGTGAGTGCATATAGAGAATCTCACCCTCGTGTCTTTTGATATCAAATATATCAACACAAGTTGATAAAAGTGGAAAAATTCCGAGGCTTGCCGAGGATTTTTGCCACAATTATCAACGAGTGTTGATATATTTGATATCAAAAGACACGAGGGTGAGATTTTATTTATCATCCAACATCATTCTTTCAACTTTTCAATTTGTAGACAGTAATTAGCAGTGTCTTCAGTGTAAAAAGTACTGCAAACAGCTTCAGTAGCAGAGCCATTATTGATGTCTTTTGATTGTGACATCATGGTAACCAGTGATGTCACAATGGTCTGCAAAGCCATGTGGGAGCCAGTTTGGGATGATAAGTTATGTTGCTCAGCATCAAAGCTCCAGAAAACGTTTTGAGCAATTGAGTTTTTGCTCTAGGGTTTCTATTTTAATTGGGTTATTACACTATTCATTGGGTAACTAACATTCTTTCACTCGTCTATTTATCACTCTTTTGGGTTTTTCCAAAAATAAATGAATATTTTAAGATTTGAAAAAAAAATGAAATAATGATTTAGATGTACAGATGTATGTAACTGTTCTAAATATATAGACTTGACTCGGAAAGAAAATTAGCTCGTAATTGTGTGTCGGAAATTAGCTCCTTTGTTTATATGCATGCTGAAAAGCTTCTATGGGTATTTACGCGTGGTGTTTTTATACATTTAAGTAAATCATTTAATGCATGCATTTCTGTACGCAAGTTAATTGAAAGTAATTGGGTTTTGAATATTTTGTGTGTGTGTGTGTGGGGAGCTTATCTGTAGCTCTGTCAGCATTCACTTATATTACTCAACAGTGGGGTACCATCTTATCAGGTTTGGTCACCTTCTGTAAGACCCAAAACAAGAAATGTGTGATTTCTATATCACCCCATCCAGAGTTAGCAAAGGCACATTGTTCAGTTCATCTGATCAGCAATCTGTCCCCACCTATCCTCAGAAACTACTGGACCAAGTAAGCTCACACTTCAAATACTTGTTCCCACAAATTTGTTCAAGAGGTTCGAATCCGATTTTCAATGTGTCCGCCATGGCAGCCATATTGATAAACCTAGTTTGATTCCTCACTAAGCTGTTTTTGTTGACAAAGGAATGAACTATGGTTCACATCACATGTGTAGTTAGTTGTGAAACTTAACATTTATCTTCTGCTTTTTGTGATACCGTATTCTACGTAATAAGCGCCCCGCTCTAATAAGCGCCCACAGCGATATTTGCTACTATATTGGCTAGTGAACAATCCCAATTAGCACCCCTTCCGATTGATCAATGTACACAAGACATTTATTCGCATATAATACGCACTCATGTGTTATATGCACCCTTAATTATGGGCAATTCAATTCTGGAAAAATATATCTGTCGTATATAAACATTTCAGGCTGTAAGCATAAACCACAATATTTATCTTTCAACTCGGTTTTTTCCACCAAAATAATGTTCTAATAAGACCCCCCTATTTCTATTTTTGAGAGTGCCCTGGGCGCTTATTACGTCGAATACGGTATTTTGAATTTTGACCTTGAACAGACCTTAGCAAGATCATGCTAGAAGTTGTATATCATGACATTTCTACACCATTTTTGTTTAAAATGTCATGAAATTTCACGAAATTGATAATGGGACTCCACACATATGTCACATTTGTTGTGATATTTTAAGTTTGGACATTTATTTGACCTTTCCACTTTGACACAACTCCTAAATTATCTTAAAATGCATTTTCTTGCACTGTAAACATCGTCTCCTCAGAAACCACTTTGACAATGAAGCTGAAACTTGACGTGCTTGTTCCTGCCGTTGATGATAGCCCAGTAGCGTAGTGCTCACTACAGTTACAGGCTGCAGATACGAAGGTGGCGAGTTCGATCCACTGAATTATGAAGAAGACATTTGTCGTTTGATTTTATATCATTCCGCACATACGCAGATTGTGTTAAGTGCAATATCAATTTCCAGAGAGAGACATTCTTTTAAATATCCACGGAACAGAGGGACTTTCTGTAGAATATGCCTGAGACAGAATGATTTGCTGTAGAATATCCACGGAACAGAGGGACTTTCTGTAGAATATGCCTGAGACAGAATGATTTGCTGTAGAATATCCACGGGACAGAGGAACTTTCTGTAGAATATGCCTGAGACAGAATGATTTGCTGTAGAATATCCACGGAACAGAGGGACTTTCTGTAGAATATGCCTGAGACAGAATGATTTGCTGTAGAATATCCACGGGACAGAGGAACTTTCTGTAGAATATGCCTGAGACAGAATGATTTGCTGTAGAATATCCACGGAACAGAGGGACTTTCTGTAGAATATGCCTGAGACAGAATGATTTGCTGTAGAATATCCACGGGACAGAGGAACTTTCTGTAGAATATGCCTGAGACAGAATGATTTGCTGTAGAATATCCACGGAACAGAGGGACTTTCTGTAGAATATGCCTGAGACAGAATGATTTGCTGTAGAATATCCACGGAACAGAGGGACTTTCTGTAGAATATGCCTGAGACAGAATGATTTGCTGTAGAATATCCACGGGACAGAGGAACTTTCTGTAGAATATGCCTGAGACAGAATGATTTGCTGTAGAATATCCACGGAACAGAGGGACTTTCTGTAGAATATGCCTGAGACAGAATGATTTGCTGTAGAATATCCACGGGACAGAGGAACTTTCTGTAGAATATGCCTGAGACAGAATGATTTGCTGTAGAATATCCACGGAACAGAGGGACTTTCTGTAGAATATGCCTGAGACAGAATGATTTGCTGTAGAATATCCACGGGACAGAGGAACTTTCTGTAGAATATGCCTGAGACAGAATGATTTGCTGTAGAATATCCACGGAACAGAGGGACTTTCTGTAGAATATGCCTGAGACAGAATGATTTGCTGTAGAATATCCACGGGACAGAGGAACTTTCTGTAGAATATGCCTGAGACAGAATGATTTGCTGTAGAATATCCACGGGACAGAGGGACTTTCTGTAGAATATGCCTGAGACAGAATGATTTGCTGTAGAATATCCACGGGACAGAGGGACTTTCTGTAGAATATGCCTGAGACAGAATGATTTGCTGTAGAATATCCACGGGACAGAGGAACTTTCTGTAGAATATGCCTGAGACAGAATGATTTGCTGTAGAATATCCACGGGACAGAGGGACTTTCTATAGAATATGCCTGAGACAGAATGATTTGCTGTAGAATATCCACGGGACAGAGGGACTTTCTATAGAATATGCCTGAGACAGAATGATTTGCTGTAGAATATCCACGGGACAGAGGGACTTTCTATAGAATATGCCTGAGACAGAATGATTTGCTGTAGAATATCCACGGGACAGAGGGACTTTCTGTAGAATATGCCTGAGACAGAATGATTTGCTGTAGAATATCCACGGGACAGAGGGACTTTCTGTAGAATATGCCTGAGACAGAATGATTTGCTGTAGAATATCCACGGAACAGAGGGACTTTCTGTAGAATATGCCTGAGACAGAATGATTTGCTGTAGAATATCCGCGGGACAGAGGGATATTTTGAAGAAAGGCCCTGCCAGAACAATAGGCAATAGAGTATGTGCTGAGAGCTGCTGTCTGACATGGCGAGCACTGCTTGTTTGTATCTTGATATATTATATGACCACTCATGTACAGTCAAGTCCCATTAATCCGACATGGTTGGTTGCATATGATTATGTCGGAAATTAGGTAGTTTAAACGTTTGTGATAAAAAATTGGACAACTACACAATAGATAACGATACGAACACATAGGAAAAGGAAAAAAGAAATATTCATATTGTTGTGTTACCTTGTCAGCGGAATATGTTTTCTAATCATGCAACTACTAAAGTTTAACACAAAACTACTGTTACGGGCTGTATGACTGATTTTTAAAACATAGTCTGGAATGGAAGTCGCTAATTTAAAACTAGTGCTGCAATGTTTAAGAAAGCTGCTTTCTTAGTGGCTAATGTCGACTTCCTGTTAGTTATTTCATTGCTTGGTCAAAGTTTGCGAAAGGTCGTTCTGACGTGACCTGTAATGGGATGTCCTCAGTGGTAGCGAGAACTTGTATCCGATTTTAATGAGATTGAGGTAATTTAGGCATATGATTAATCCTGTTTTGTTTATTTAAAGCAGTAATTGTTTATTGTTAAGCAAATCAATCTCTGCAGCCGTTGAAATATGCAGCTACTCGCTGACTCGTCTCGCATCAAAACACTGGGCTGTGTACTCTTGGGCAGATGACCACGGAGTAGGATGATCACTGTGTCGGATTAACGAGACTGATTGAGTGATTTCAGCATTTCGTTGCAAATTAGTTGTGTCGGAGTCGGAGTGTGAGACTGTCGGACTAACGGGTCTAAATAGCACTGATTTAATCGGTCCCATCATTTGTGTTGGATAAAGCCGATTGTCGGATTAACGAGACTTGACTGTATTGTGGGGTAGCCCAGTGGTTAAAGCGTTCACTCGTCACGCCAAAGATCCAGGTTTGATTCCCCACACGGGATATTGCAGAAATATTACGAAAAGCAGCGTAAAACCATACTCACTCACTAACTCATGTAAAGTGATATATATCATATTGGCACCATGTATTATGATATATATCAATATCATATCTGCACCATATCTGCACCATGTATTGTTATATTCATCATATTGGCACCATTTATTGTGATATATATCATATCGGCACCATGTATTGTGATATATATCATATCGGAACCATGTATTGTGATATAGATCATCTCGGCACCATGTATTGTTATACCTATCAGTTCATCATGATGTAGGGCGGTCGGGTAGCCTAGTGGTTAAAGCGTTCCCTCGTCACACCAAAGACCCGGGTTCGATTCCCGACATGGGTACGATGTGTGAAGCCCATTTCTGGTGTCCCCCGCCGTGATATTGCTGGAATATTGCTAAAAGCAGCGTAAAACCATACTCACTCACTCACTCATCATGATGTATATTCATGATATTGCATCAAACCTTGGATGAAGGTACACAGTCCTAGATGAGGCAACTCTCAAAGCTCTGATGACAATAAAGACAAGCTCTTTCCCAGTGCATGGCATGTGCATTACCTCCCGATATCATCGCTGCCACTCACCCCAAAATGTAGTGACAATTATGTTTGTGTGTGTCTTTGGGAAAGCCGTATGGTAAATACGGAAACGGTTTACGACTAACTTTCCCAGATGAATTTATGATAGTTTGTATAATCAGATTTGCAGACAAACAGAAAGCACCCAACTTACATTTTAACCGTAGTTGAAATGACATAGAATTTCAAATTTACAAAGAAAAGAATTAAGCTGGGTGAAGAGCACTCAGCATTTTGACAGTTGTCTCTTGTTTGTTAACATAATGGTCAGTCAGTTGTGAGTTAAACTCCAGGCATGGCTGTAGGCTGCCTAGCACTGTAGGGAGCTGGGACTGGTGACAGTGATAGCATAGAAAGCTCCATGAACAGGCTTTCCCTGTGAGGAGTTTCAGTGCACATACCTAAGGGAGGCCACTCTCATGACTTGGGGGTATTGTGTGTCCACCTTGTTATCATCAGCTGACATGCCTGCTCCAGTCTTTATTACGTCATACAATTCAAAGTTATACATAGCTGTAATGTGTGGGATTCTAATGTAAAACATCCTCACTCACTCTGACTTAGATGTAACCAGCTTTCGCTCACTCACTCTATGATGTAACCAGCTTTCGCTCACTAACTCTATGATGTAACCAGCTTTCACTTACTCTGATGTAACCAGCTTTCACTCACTCACTCACTCTATGATGTAACCAGCTTTCACTTACTCTGATGTAACCAGCTTTCACTCACTCACTCTATGATGTAACCAGCTTTCACTCGCTCACTCACTCTATGATGTAACCAGCTTTCACTTACTCTGATGTAACCAGCTTTCACTCACTCACTCTATGATGTAACCAGCTTTCACTCACTCACTCACTCTATGATGTAACCAGCTTTCACTCACTCACTCACTCACTCTATGATGTAACCAGCTTTCACTTACTCTGATGTAACCAGCTTTCACTCACTCACTCTATGATGTAACCAGCTTTCACTTACTCTGATGCAACCAGCTTTCACTCACTCACTCTATGATATAACCAGCTTTCACTCACTCACTCTATGATGTAACCAGCTTTCACTTACTCTGATGCAACCAGCTTTCACTCACTCACTCTATGATGTAACCAGCTTTCACTTACTCTGATGTAACCAGCTTTCACTCACTCACTCTATGATGTAACCAGCTTTCACTCACTTACTCTATGATGTAACCAGCTTTCACTTACTCTGATGTAACCAGCTTTCACTCACTCACTCACTCACTCTATGATGTAACCAGCTTTCACTTACTCTGATGTAACCAGCTTTCACTCACTCACTCACTCACTCTATGATGTAACCAGCCTTCACTCACTCACTCACTCTGATGTAACCAGCTTTCACTCACACACTCTGATGTAACCAGCTTTCACTCACCCTGTTGTAACCAGCTTTCACTCACTCACTCACCCTGATGTAACCAGCTTTCACTCACTCACTCTGATGTAACCAACTTTCACTCACACACTCTGATGTAACCAGCTTTCACTCACCCTGTTGTAACCAGCTTTCACTCACTCACTCACCCTGATGTAACCAGCTTTCACTCACTCACTCTGATGTAACCAACTTTCACTCAATCTGATGTAACCAGCTTTCACTCACTCACTCTGATGTAACCAGCTTTCACTCACTCACTCTGATGTAACCAGCTTTCACTCACTCACTCTGATGTTACCAGCTTTCACTCACTCACTCAGCATGCTCCCTGTTATTATTGAAAGAGAAGCTAAGTCTTGTGATGAGAGTAAACCTATTTGAGAACAGCTGATATGTTGGCAATATTACAGACTTCATCTCAATGTTATTTGTTTGTCTTACAGTCATGGCAAAGAAGTGTTTTCTTGTCACGGTATTCACCTTGCAGTGGATTGGTTCCGACAGCGCGGACATGAGAACATTACGGTGTTCGTACCGCAGTGGAGGAAGGAGACGTCGCGGCCCGATGCCCCGATAACAGGTCAGTCACGAGCAATATCAATCAGGGTGGGAGAGGTTATTTGTTTCAGAAATCGTTGAATGATTGATCATGAATGTGTGTACCAATATCTTACACATTTTAAGATTTAAAAAAAATAAAAAATGTTTATATTGTATACAACTGTTCTCAATATATAGGAAAGTCGATTAGCTTGTACATTGTAATTGTGTTTCAGAAATTAGCTCCTTTGTACGCATGCTGAAAAAGCTTTATTGGGTATTTATCGCTAGCTGTTTTTAAACATTTGAGTTTTTCATTTAAGACATGTGTATCTGCACGCAAGTTAATTGAAAGTGATTGGGTTTTGAATATTTTTGGCAGTTGTTTTACGCAAATACGCTGTTTATCTGTACCTCTGATTTAACAATTCTCTGACACACAAACATGCCAGCTAGGAAACATTATGTTATGAAACGTTTGTGTTTATTAAGGTCAAGGTCAGTTTTGTTATCTCCAACAAATTGATTACATTGAGCTAATGTGATCATATGAGGAAGAGAATTTATAGATGTCAACTTATTACGAGGAACACGTTTCGGAGTAAATGCTTACTCGTTCATCAGGTATACTCCAAACCTTGTGTTCCTCATAATAAGAAGTTGACATCCATGAATTCTCTTCCTTATGTGTATTACTTCTCAGTGTCTTTCAAAGACTTAAAATGATCATAATATTTAGAAATTCTACCATGATTTCATCATGTTTATAATCCAGTCAATTCTTAACGGTCAGTCCGAGGTTTCATGTCACAATAACCATGTTTGATTGAAACAGCTGATTTGACATCATGGAAACTAATATTTGTATAAGAGTATTTCTTTCTGAATTGCAATGAACATGGTCAACAAGGAAATAGTGATATTTTCACACAAAAGCAAACCATCATTATAATCGCATCTCTGCCCGTCGTCGTTGTTCCCAGATCAGGACATCCTGCTGCAGCTGGAGAGGGACGGCATACTCAGCTTCACCCCCGCCCGGCGCGTGGGGGGGCGGCGCGTGGTCTGCTACGACGACCGCTACATTCTGAAGCTGGCGGCGGAGGTGGACGGGATAGTGGTTTCCAATGACAATTACCGTGACCTTGTCAATGAAAAGCCAGAGTTCAAGAAGGTCGTAGAAGAGAGGCTTCTTTTGTACACCTTTGCATCCAACAGGCGAGTTGACCTTGACACAAATAGTAACATGTTCTGGATAGTGGCAGGAGACATTGACAAGACGTTACTATTAGAGCCAGTGGGGACCTGTGAAGATCCGAGATAGAATAGGTCTTCAGCAACCCATGCTCGCCGTAAAAGGCTACTATGCTTGTCGTAAGAGCCGACTAATGGGATCAGGTGGTCAGGCTCGCTGACTTGGTTGATGCATGTCACCGTATACCAATGGCATGCTCATGATGTCAATCACTGGATTGTCTAGTCCAGACTCAATTATTTACTGACAACCGTCATATAGCTGGAATATTGCTGAGTGCTGCATTAAACAACAAACAAACAAGAACCAGTTGGATAACGTGTTGCCCTGAGCGTCAGGGAAGTGTACATCTGGTTGTGGTCATTAAGCGTTATGAGCGTGCATCTTGTTGTTTCTATGTTCGTGATTATGGTCTGCCAATAATGTGTAGAAATCTAGGAAAAGTTAGTCATGTTTGACTTCATCAGCCCAAGTGGTCTTTGGCCTTGTTGGCGGTCAGGAAGCCTTGTGGTTATAGCGTTTGCTCGTCACACCGAAGAACCTGGTTTAATTCCCCACTTAGGTGCAATGTCTGAAGCCCATTTCTGGTTTGCTGTGATATTGCTGGAAAAGTGCTACAAACGGCATAAAACCATAATCACTCACTCACTTTGGCCTCGTTTCAGAAGATTTTGGTCTTGAATATGGATAGTTATTAGCTAGTGATTAGGTATTCTATTCTGAGGGGCAGTTCGGTAGCCTAGTGGTTAATGTATTTGCTCATAACGATAAGGCGCTGGTTCGATTCCCCACATGGGTACAATTTGTTGAGCCCAATTCTGGTGTTATTACTAGAATACTGCTGGAAGCACAACTCGCTCACTCCCTCTGGTCTTTTAGCTACTGATTAGTTCTAATCCACAGATGTTGGGACTAAGATATTGCATGAAGAGACCACGAATCAATGCCATTTTGTAGAACTTCCTGTGTTTGTGTTCAACCAGGTTTATGCCCCCGGATGACCCCCTTGGAAGGCGGGGCCCAACTCTGGACAACTTCTTACGTAAAGAGCCGACCGTTCCCGAACCTCTGCCCCCTGAATGTCCGTATGGTAAGAAGTGTACGTACGGCAGCAAGTGCCGCTACCATCACCCAGAGAGGAAGAATCAGCCACACCAGCTTGTGACGGACAAGCTCAAGGAACAGGCCAAGCAGAAGATGCAGGAGTGGGCCTCCAAAGGTGTTGATGGTAAGTGATGGGGATTCTGGGTCAGAAGTGACCCCCAGCAACCATATGAAACAGGTTGTCACGTGATTTGTTGATTGCCTGTCACCTTGAACCAATGCTCATGATATCAATCTCTGGATGGTCTAGCCCAGACTTGATTAATTACAGGCTGCCATCGCTTCACTGGAATATTGCTAGAGCCTACAGGTCTTCAGCAACCCATGCTGGCCGTAAGAGGTGACTAACGGGATCGGGTGATCAGGTTCGCTGACATGGTTGATGCATGTCATCCTATCCCTGGATTGTCTGGACTGGACTCAATTATTTACAGACCACCGTCATATAGCTGGAATATTGCTGAGTGCAGCTTTAAACAACAAACAAACAAATCTTGTTAAGTGTCATGAAACAACAAACAAACATAAACTGTGAGCTTGGGTGGCTACACTGTTACTTGACATCTTAGGACAGAAGGGGGCATAAGTGGTCCAATGGCCTAAGATGCCACATTTTTGGGGTCTCAGGTGGTCCATTGGTCTAAGGTACCACTAACTAATAAGTTGTCCTCTTCATTTGCCAGACAAGAAGAAGCCGAGGGACGTGGGGAAGAAGGTCCCCAGGAAGCAGCCTCTGTCCCGCACTCAGTCTGTGTTCCCCGCGGGCCTCTCCGATGAATTCATGGCCCCGGCAAGTATAACCAGCACAGATCTCTCAGATATGGCAAAGCCAGACAAGCCGGACTACAATGACAAATTAGATAAGTTACGAAAGAACCTTGAACGAGCTGAGAAGGACCGTAAGGTGTATACTGATGACCGTGAACCATCTCCATCGATCGTTGGCCGACGCACTCCGAACTATGACTTTCCTGGTCTGGCCCAGCAGGACAACCAGCTCAAGGTGCCGCTGTCTCAACCAAAAGAAGGCCTTGTGAGTGGACATCTCCTTCTGGCCAAGAAGTTGTCCGATGAAGCTCAGGATTCCAAATTCTTCCGTAAGGACGGTGATCATTCTCCTGATGATGTGAGCAGTGCATCGCCACATCAGTTCACATACCCTCCAAGTCCTCAAAGACCCGCATCTCAGTCATCTGGTCTGGGAGACAGTCCGTACCACCACAGGGTTTCCCCGCACCATATGCTTCCTCCCCAACCAGAACCCGGTGTCTGTCTGTCCGGCCCCAGCGCGCTCATGAGGCAGGATGGTTCGTCTGTAGGGTCATTCGAGTATGACCAGCAATGCCAGAGTTTCCCGCTCCCGCCGACCAGCTTCCTCCCTCAACACCATGCTGGCAGCGGCGGCGGCAGCAAGAAGGGGCAGATGATGTACTGGGGCTACCCGGACGAGGTGTATGGACATTCCTCCCTGCATCACGCTCCCAGTGCGCCCAGCCATTCCGGACATGTGTCTCTCAGTCGGTCGATGCAGCGACAGAATAGCACATCCGACCCTCAACTGCATATGGTGGGTGCAGACGGGGAAAGAATGAAATATGACAGTGACAAAGGAATGCCTCATGCATATTCATCTTCAATACACCAGTACTCACCATTCCATCAGCCTGTGCAGCATCAAGCAGGTGAGGCAGGATATCCTCAAGGAGCAGGTTACATGCATGGCTGGGGGGAGGTGTCAGGGGACATGATCTCCCATCCCGTACAGCGCACGTACCACCCCTCCCCACAGGATCAATATTCTCCTGCTGGTCAGGAGAGAAAGGTCAGCTCGGATTATGGGGTGTGGAACCGACCAGGCAGCATCCCCCAGTCCCCCGTCAACCCCTACAGCCCACAGGCAAACATGTCGCATGTCCCCTTCCAACAATCAGTGCAGCAACCCATGCACTTGCACATGCAAAGCTCCTCTCAGATACCGTTCTCTGCCCCGTCATCCATGCCGCAGCGTGTTGACGCCCCCATTGAAGTCAGTGACAGCCGCTACGCGCTGTACTACCACCTGTGTGGGTTGTTCCCGCGAGCCAAAGTAACCGCGGTGATGAACCAACACCCAGAGGAAAGGGACCCTAAGATTCTCTGTACCTACATCATGAGCTTAGGGGAACGCTTATTCTAATGGCTAGAATGCACAATACCGGATTCCGCCATGTTAGTAAGGAATGTGCCTGACTTCCTTCCCTAGTTAAGCTTTTTTAGCTGCCTCGTTAGAATAACAGGGTTGGGGGATTGCCCCGAACATAACACTTAAAACAAATGCGATCACAATAAATGTCATTTTTAGTTTCCAAAGTTAATGAAGCATACCCTGTGTTTGTTGAAATGTGGCCAGATAGTTGTAATGGATGAGGTTGCCGCACACTCAAAGAACGTCAAGTTTTTTATGTTAATGTCCAATTTTAGATGTTGATGAATTGCTTTGATATTCAATTTTAAGATTTAATCATACTAAAACATAAAATATATTTTTCTGCATATTTGGAGCTTGATCCCCTGTTTTAACAATAGTCAAGGTGTTGCCTGCTTCTATAATAGAAGCATGAAACCAACATGGCAGATAGGTATCCGGTATTCTCTAGGTGCACAGTGCAGTGATTAAACCAGATTGCCTGCTAGTCACAGACTCCTACTGAGATCCACCATGTTGTATAACACTTATAACCTGCTCTATACACACATAACCACCACAGTAGACTTCGTAGCAGATTTTGCCATTGTCTAAAGCCAAAGAAAGTTGAGCAGGTGACCGACATATTTTACCTGTTCCAAGTCCAACAGGACAACTTGGAAGATTAACATAAATTATACCTTTCTGAAATGACAAGACGTCAATGGATACTTCATAATTTAGGAGTTTCAGCAGCCTGACAACACAAACAGGTGTTGTCGGAATACAGGAATTGAGTGGCCATTCACTTCTGCGATGTGTAGACGTTTTTAAGCATGACTACAAGTTGATATAATTTGATATTATCTTGTTCTTCAAAGTCAACATTTATGAAAATTACTGTAGTTGTGTATTGAAGAAAGAGACAAGTTCTTCAATGTTCCTGCAAGAAAATGTAATTATGTGTCCTGGAATGCTTCTTGGACTGTATTATGATTATATCACTGTCAACATGGACATTATACATCCTACTGCTCTTAGATTGCTGACCTCAGTTTCTACAATTTATTTCTGATTAGTGAAAAAGCCAAATCAGTCCTAGAGTGTGAACTTGATTGTCGTTTGTCATGGCTGTAATCTTTATTTCTTGTGACTAATGCTCACGAGTGTAGTTTAGTTGGACGTCAATCTCTGACATAATTAAAATCAGGAACAGAATGAAGCCATTGTGTCAAATGGGTCCAGGGATTTATCAGAATAGAATGGAGATGCAATACATGGGACAATGTTTGGCTGACCGTGGTGTAAGGACTGTATGTAACGACCTAGTTGTCCCTTGCCACGAGGTAGAATGGGGATATAGGAACGCCACGAGGTAGAATGGGGATATAGGAACGCCACGAGGTAGAATGGGGATATAGGAACGCCACGAGGTAGAATGGGGATATAGGAACGCCACGAGGTAGAATGGGGATATAGGAACGCCACAAGGTAGAATAGGGATATAGGAACGCCACGAGGTAGAATGGGGATATAGGAACGCCACGAGGTAGAATGGGGATATAGGAATGGGTGCTGTCTGTCAGTCCTCCCGTTCGTCTGTCACGTTTCGTTTCCAGAGCAGAGCTAAAAAAAACATGAGAGATATCGTAACCAAACTTGGCACATAGATAGGTCTAGTGGTGAACTGGTGGCTTTTGATAGCTTGAGTTTCCATGGCAAGGACTTTGACTGAAAATGGCGGTATTGGAGAGGATATGAGTATTTCATGCTTGTTTATTCTATGAAACCCCTGTAACTATTGGTGACAGGACATCTGCAGTTGCTACGTAACAGTGGCTTATTATGAACTGTAGGTGGCGTGTGAAATTACGGCTCGACAGTCGTAGATAGATGACCTTAACTTAAGAGGTAGCCATCTATCAGTTTGCCCAAGCGAGGTTTTACTCTGAAATGACAATATTATTGTGCTATTTATATGGTTGCAGGGTTTTTCTACACAATCGTTGTTGTGTAAAGTGTTCATTTACGGTCCCCATTTAGCAGATGAAATGTTGTCTTCATCTCCAGGTTATTTTTTCCTGTGTATCATTCATGCTGTTTTCAGTTTTAGCTTGCATAAGCTGAATTTGTTTCATCAATTTATCTTCAAAATTTTATTCAATATATTGTGAATATTCATTTTGGTTCAATCATTGCTCCAACTGGCAGCTCGCTGTTGCTTCCTGCTACCATGATCAGATTACTGCCACCCACTCCTTTAAATGGACCTTAGTTGTCGAAGAATGAATTAATAAACGTCATAATTTGATTTTAATATAGTCATAAATGTCATAACTTGAGTTAAAATAAGTCATGATTGTTGTTGTTAGGCTATTGTACACCAGTGTGTGCATTTTGTTTTGTGAGATGTTCACTCAAGATGCTGAGCTGGTAGTGAAGACACTGGGTTTGTACACTGTACAGGAATTCCATTGTGACATTTAGGTTGTCATGGTTACTGTAGGGCTTCCAGCCTTGGGGAACTGATAGATGGCATACTAGGGATAGGCAGTTGTCTTTAGAAAAGCCTACAAAATGATTTTGTCATTAAATTGGGTGTTCTGGCCTCGTGTGAAGTTTGTCTTTCTGCTCATCATATCTAGTATATGCAATCAAAACTATAATTTCTAATTGTATTCTAATTCACTTTTGTTTAATGAAGGTTTTACGCAAATTTATGAATGGGCATTGAGTCACTTTCCTGCTGCTTTCCTCTCTGTACAAGGTCCTAGACTTTGTGATGTGAAAATAGCATTGATTGCTGACAGGTAGTCTATCTCAACATGATAATGTATGGAAATCATGCTTTAATGTTACCGTGGTTACAGCTTTAACATGTTCAAACAAGTTCAAGTTTTGCAGATGTAAAACGTTATCACCCGAAAATGAAGAACTGGCTCAGAATCTGCAAAGGTTTATTTCTGTGTACAATGATGCAAGACGTCTTGATGTTTTTCATAGAACACGTGTGTTGGATGTCATCGTGGACATTATGCAGTTTGTCCTTGGAGAAAACCAGTGAGTTAGTGTGATACTTCTGTGGATAGGAAATGTCATGGTTCTGAGGCACCAGTGCAGCAAGAAAACCACAACTTCAAGTCTCTGTGCCTCAAGTGCTCAAGAAGCACAATTTGTCTTAAAAAAACATGTAGTCTGCCTCAAGAACAAATCTATTTTCTGAGAACTGATTGCTTTGCAGTTTATACTTGAGGTCAACAGGACAGTGCTCTGGTTTCCGAGGTATCCCGGAGACAGGAAGTGTTATTTGTCATGTTGTACTGTAACAAGTGAGACATGAGAAGAGTGATAATATGTAAGAATGTGGACCTTTAAAAAAAACCTTGGGAAAGCCTGTTCATCTTGGTCTCTGTCCTCAGATGTGCTGTGACTTCCTTGTCAGTTTGTACAGACATTGAAGGATTATCCTACAGTTGCTTAATACACTTCAGACCTCACCATATCCTCTGTAAGGGTTACCATGCCTGCATCATGGAATGGCAGCCATTTTGATTATTGAAGTCATCTGTTGCTAAGAGTATGTTTGTGAGGAACAGCGTGGCAGGTAAGCCCAAGTGTGGCAGAAAAGTTGAGTGTCGTATTTAGGTCATGTGTGATAGATTTATGTCCTGTTGAGCATGGGAGGAAGTACAGCTCAATATCAGGTGGTCAGGGGAATCTGGTGGTAGGGTAGGGAGGTCTTATGCACTGGGGAAGTCTAATGCAGGGTAGGGGGAGGGGGGGTGGTGGGTGGGGATTTGGATGTCTGGTACAGTTGGCAGTGAGGGTAGTCGGGCAGACTGGTACAAATATGGCATCAATTCCAGTTAAAGTAAATCAGGCTGCTAAAAGCTCCCATGTGAGTGAAAAGGTACTACTTCCCCACAGACTGGTCCACAATTACTCTGAGAAAACTACTTCCCAAAAGCCTGATTAGCAATTGTGTTGACAGAATTGTTGCCAACAAATTTTGAAAAGAATTTTGAGAGCAAATGTGAGATAGGGAGAATGAAATACTCCTCTGTTTTGGATCCTTTGGGATGTAGTTCGTAACTCTGCTCATCAGCTTCTTGACATGACAGATATCAGCAGCATGGCCGAGTTAAATGCAGGGTTCTACAATGCTGGGGCCCTTCAGGTACATCAAGCACATCAACTCATCCTGTAGTTGCTCCAAGCACAAGAGGCCTCTCACATGGGTACAATGTGTGAAGCCCATGTCTGGTGTCCCCCCATCGTGATATTGCTGGAATATTGCTAAAAGGGGCGTAAAACCTCACTCACTCACTCACTAAATCACTCGCACACAAAAGGCCTGATGGAGCTCCCAATGGCCAGTGATACTTTGAAGGACGACATTCTTCGTGATACAGGGGCAAGGTATATGTTGGGGTTTGTTGAAGCTATGTCCTGGTGATCTCACACAATCCTAGTTCATGTGTCCTTTGTTATATATGCTTATTGACTGTGTATTAAAGAGAAGTAAAAGGCAGATTCTGTGCAACATTTAATATTCTGTACAGTTGCAATGTTCTTCAGTCCTTGGTTAGCGCTGTCTGTGGGAATGTATCGGACTGTATGTACAGTGTATATTCAGATGCATGTTTCTGTGTGCATACCTACTACGTTAGTGCTAGTAATGATGAAAGGTCATGCACTACAGTATGTTCGTCAGAGTTGAGATCATGTTGTTTAATGTCTTCCTCTGTTCATGGAAAGTTTGGTCAGAATGTTTGTTTTCTTGTTTTCCAGGATGTCTTGGTTTATGTGCCAAGGATCAGAAAGTACAATGAAAGAAATGTTAAATTGTGATTATGTTCATGAAAATACTTAAAGCTTTAACATAGACCTAACAAAACATATTTTAAAAGAGCATAATTTTCAAACATTTGGAATGACTATTATTTTTATGGTAGACATATTTCTAAAACAAGAAAATAAAATATCTGACTTAATTATTAAAATTTTTTTTGCCAGACCCAGTCTTACAATAAAATATGCCATAAACTTTGACCAATCTGTAGCAGAAAGTAGATGTGGCATTGGCATGTAAGCAGTTTGTATGTCCTAACTTTCAAGTAGGACATCGTGTGTCTGTGGTCAATATTATTCATGTTTAGGAAATAGAAGCTGTTGCTGCAAATTTGGTAGAAATTCTGATTTCAAATCAAAAGTTTGTGTTCAGTTTCTTTTATCTAACCGTTAATGTTTGTCTGATGTTATTGTATGTCATTGACTTGATCATATCTAAGGGAGAGAATAAGATTAATCATAAATCATGGAGTTATCTCCCATACCTGAAATGTACAACGCTTTGTTCATCAGCAGTTGTCTTGATTCCCACAATCGAGCGGTTGCGAAACTCGTCTCGTCTGTGGCATCAAGCAGTATGTCACCTGTCAGGTGATCGTCGTGAGTACCTCGATTTGAGGCGTTTTAACATTGCCATGGTGTTGTGGTTGGTTAGGTGTTTTCTGCCTTGAATGTCTAAAAATGTACTCAAATGTCTCAATTTTGCAATATTTGACACTTTTCAACATTGAAACTATTGAAGACAGGCTGTTATCATGTTTTTACAGAAGCTCGAAGTACGAACTGTAGAGTTGATTATCTTGCTTCAGTAACCAGCTTGGCTTGTGTGTATATCATATTCTATTGCAGTCCTGAACTGGTCACGTGAACCATGTGGTCAAAAACATTGTTTTGAAATTTGCCCAATATTTCATTTGCTTTGATGTGGATAAATAATTTTCAGGAAATATGCAAACGCCAGCCAAACATGTGGCCTCTGTTGACCCAAACATTCAATGTTGTCCATTGTTATTTTATTTTATGTATCGTATTTTACATCCACAGTGAAACATTTTTCTTTTGAAATCCCCACAATAACATTACCAGCTCTCATGCAGGGGAAGTTATTTAATTGGATAATAGCTCTTGGAACGATAAAATGTTGTAAGTGATAAATATTTAACATTGAAACTGTTTGGGTGCTTTATGTAGATGTTGTTAGACTGCCTTGTGGTATGAACCCATGCTCTCAAGAGGAGGTGTTATCTGTACCCTTACCTTGTGTGAAGTCATCCTCTTGATGGAAGAGAAATATATATACTGATAGCAATAAATAGGGGAACACGAAGAAGTGTCGCAGAATATTTACTGCTGTATTTAATTTTGTTACCTA